ATGGTTTGTGTGGCAGCATTAACTGTATATTACACTTGTTTCTCAACACTACTCCCATTGTTAATAGACGCAAGAAAAACCACATGAAAACACAGCAATCACTCTTTACATATCTAGTTCAAATCTGTGAAACCAATGGGTGAAATAAATTCATTTAATTTCCAATAACAAACAAAACCATAGCAGTAGCTGCTCGTAAGCTGTGCATTACCTCTTTATCCTCGCAGAGTTTGGAGAGCAGATAGACGAGAGGGTCGAGGTTTCGAACATTTTTGGACTTGAGCTCCTCGTACTTCCTCAAGAAGTCTTCGGGCGTCTTAGAGAACTCCGCTAATTTGACCTGAAAATGACAAAAACAGCCATTATTACCATTAACAACACATTCATTTCCACAAGAGGTGAGACAAATCCTTTTCACAGATAATATGAAACCTGATTTAAACCCTTTTACACCTGTTTTTATATTTAAATGGTGACACACTACACTCTTTATCTGATAACCAGCACTTATCAAGGAATCATTTTCCAGAAGAATAATGTTTCTATGAAAAAGAGAAATAAGCTTGCACACAGCGAGTACTGCAGAGCTACAGCTGCTGACAACTGCGAGAGGAAAACTCAATTCAACCTGCAAAAATATAATAAGAAAAGATCTTTATTTCTTAAACACATGTACTGTACACATGCATAGACACATATCTCACACAGTATTCATTTGAGGAACTTAAACGTTTGATGATGTGACCTTTGTTGGGGTCTGTATCTAACAAACATGTTTTCTTAAAGACTTCATAATAAACTTCTGTGATGTGAATACTGCGATTCCAATAAAATTGTGATTAATTGTGCAGCTCTACTTGATCTTAATAGGCTAAAATAGTTCCCTATTATATAAACTCCAGCTCAAAAAAAGTCTCACAAATGATATGTTAACAGATAAAAGTCTGCTCATGCTCAGGTCACAACACAGCAGGGTTCCCACTCTTTCTAAGAAATTCATCTTCCAGGAGTTTTTCCTCATTTGTCTGAGAATACAGGACAGCGCTTACTCACACCAGTGTTCATGGGGCTCTCCAGCACAGCCAGTCTCTACCCTGCAGCCTCAGCGGAGCATAAATAACTGCTCAGATCAGGTAGAATCTATTTTATATTACAGGACATTAATCTATTCACCTGTTAGCCGTTTAAAATAAATTATCACCCATCCACGACACATCCAGGACAACATAGTTCCAGGATGTTTGGTCTTTAATCAATATCCAGGTTTAGTCTACTTGTTTTCCAGGACAAGCAGGAACTCCAATCCTCACTAATTTAACCACCAATGATGCAGAAGTTCACAACCCATCCTTCCCTCATCGATTTCAGTGCACTGTGGCTCATTTCCTCTGCACTGCAGATTGTAATAAAGCCTCCTGCAGTGGGTTGGACCCACCTTGGCACTGTGGGCAGACACTGTGGTGGTCACATAGGGCGTCCTGTGCTTCTGCAGCAGGTCGATGTATCCCTCCGCTCCGTCGCCTCCGCGGACGTGGAGCAGGCTGAGCAGCTCGTTCACATCGTGGTGGATCCTGAACTCACTCATGGCTCCGGCAGCTGTTATTAAAGGAGAGCAGTTATTAAAACACATCACAAACAAGAGGAGCTAACTGTTGCTAGGTTGCTAACACAGCCAGAAGCGGTTGAACAGAAGCAGCCTGTCGGGGAGAGGATGCAAGCGGCGTACCCCGCCATAATACACCTTATTATGAGTCTGACTGTACCTGTGAGTGGTCGTCTGTGCTACGATACAACAACAAACAGCGGCAGGTATCAAACGCGCCCACAACCGGTCAAATCTTTCTTCTTCTCCTCCTGTAATGTGCGCTGTAGTGTCGCCACACTGCCCTCTCCACCACCACCACCCCCCCCTGCAGGTTGAACATGGCGGTGCATCTTCATCCAGCTGCAGCCAGTGGTTCCCAAAGTTGGTCTGTTATTGGGGGTGAAAGGTCACACAGCTGGAGGTTGTTTCACTTTACCAAAAAATCCCCAAAACCAGCTTCAGTTCAGCGTACAGTAATATGGAGAGCAATGCACTATTACATAAATAAATAATATATATGTTTTAATTAAAGGAAACTAATTAATCAATAAGCTGGTGTGAGAGGGTTTCATGGCAGGTAAAGTGAAATGTTCATACTTATCGGTTATATTATGAGGATATTGTTTGTTAGTTTATGATGCATTCAGCCGGAGTCTGACTTTTATTATTATTATTATTATTATTATTATTAATGTGTGTTTGTCTATAGAGTGTGTCCTTTGTTTTTGTCTTGTTTACAGTGTATGTGCATTACGATGTGTTGTGATGAGTAATGTGAATGTGTGTATTTGTATATATAATATTGTCACCATGTAAACCGTGTGGGCCCTGGGGACAACAGCGACTGAATGCAGACTCTAAAGGGGCTCTTAGAAAACAAACAAACCCATGACCCCTGACTACATGACTTATTTTATGGATATTTCATATTATATTTAATTCATAACAATAACTGTGCAGAACAGATGATGAACCATACAATGAACCTAAACAGTGAACTCAGTAACTGCAGGGAGTTTGTGTAAAACGAGTGATTTGGATTCATTCTGAGCAGATTATTTCCTTTGAATATTGCGTGATGAGTTTTTCTGATGTTTTTAGTAACTTTTTATACAATTCTCTGTCCGTTTTATATATTTTCTTTACTTTTAACAATCATACAGACTTTTTTTTAAAACAAATTCAGTGTTTTTCCCCCTGACACTGCATTGTTCTATTAGCACTTTGGTTATTGTCTACTTTTATCTTTGGGTTTTGAAATTTTAAGACTCCTGTTACACTCTGAAAAACTATGATGGACATTTTTAATTATGTACTGACATTTCATAGACTCAATGATTGATCATTAGCAGATGCATTAATAATGAAAACAGTTAGTTAGTCGCAGCCCCCAACAGATGAACTTGTATCCACTAACTCTTAATTACACTGATTAGAAAACGCAGTATAATCTGTTTTTGAAAAGAAATGCATCCTCGAACCTTCGATGGCCTCCCTAATCCATATCTCTGCTCGCTCCTTCTCCACCATTACATTGTGTCGTAACCAGTTTGCTGAGTGAGCACCAGCTCTCATCTGAAAACAAGCCACGTCTTTGTGTCACAGTGAAAGCAGCTGAACGATTGCTTAAAGGTCATTACAAATCCTGTGCGGTTCTTGTGGTTTCCCACTTCAAATTTCTTTTTACTCTCGAGTGCTTGAAACACTGGCAGACAAGGAAAGTGATTCAGCTGTAAGTCTGCATGAGGAATGTGTGCAATCTTACAAATATCTCGGGCCGTTATTGACTCAAAACTGAACTTTGGAGGAAGCTGTGTGCAAAAAGGGGAACAAGTGTTTGTTTGAGGGAACTATTTCTACTGTGGGAAAACCACGATGACCTTGTTTTATCTTGTTTTTATTGAATCAGTTTAATCTTTTTCTTTGTTGTCAGGGTTTGAAAAGAACAGAAACTCCCTCAATCAGATTGTTAAATGGTCTAGTAGGCTGATTGGTGAGTCACAGCTCAAGCCAGAGTTACAGCGGATAACCAGCTCGATTTTAAACGACTTCCACCTTTTGCACAGTGAATTTCAGCTTTTTCCTTCTGGATGGAGGTTTATAGGTTTATTAAGAGATTTATTTTCTTGTTTTTACCTGCATTTGTACCTTATTCAGTCTAGTGGTTCTTTATTTTAGTGGTTCTTTATTGTTCTTTCTATATGAGTCCTGATTTTTAGACTCTGGAGCACTTTTATCTTTTATCCTTTATCATGTTTGTTTCATGTCTATTGTTGTTTGTTGTGTCTGAATTTCTCTCAGGAGGAGGAATGCCTTGTCTTATAATGGAAACCAAATCTACCTACAGGCGGGTACAAACAAAGTAACCTTGAACATGTGCGTGAGGGGGGATTCACAAAATAAATAAAAATGTGTCTAACACATAATACAGCACACGTGAAACTCATTCTAAATAGTTTGTGCGGCAGAAACTTTAGAGATAATTCAAATGCAGCTGGTAAACAATCCAATCAGAGAAGCCCTCATGAGCGTATGTCACCCGTGCAAACAGATAAAACTGAAATCTGATTCATTTGGCATCCGTATGAACATGTTGCCTGTTCTGCTCCATAAAGACTTGTTTGTGATATGTCATAGTGGCTGGCAGCTGTGTTGTTTTGTTGTTGTATGGTGGCTCTGAGGGTCACAAAACGCAGCAATGTTGGACAACAACAACAAAAGAGAGAGATAAAAAGGGAAATAAATAACAAACAAATAACCAAAACAAACATCTAAGATATAAGTTCAATTAAATTAACTTAAAGGGGGTTTAATTAGGATATAATGCAAGTAAATCAGAGTCTTAATGCACTTTTCCAGCTGTCTTAGGGATTTATAAATGGCACAAAGCTTGGAGCAACTTTAAAAAAATGTACACTTGTTGAATGTAAAACTTTATCTGCAAAAAAAAAAACAATATCATAAAAATTCAACATCTTTGTTTTGCATAAAAACACCAAACGTAACAGATTTTACAATCTTTGTAACCGCACGTGGATTCTGTCTCATAAAAGCTCGACAACATTACAGGTGTAGAAAAGAGATTTAATATCATTTTTGGCAGACTTTGTACAAACATTACAGTCTTATTGAATCTTACTCTGAAGAATGAACTGCTGCACTGGATTATATTGCTGCATATTGAACCGTGATTGGCTTCCAAAACTTGTGATGTCACAAAGTGAAGGTCAAACATCCGAGTGAAGTAAAGCCAAAAACATTTTGAGTGTAGGGTGGATTTAGTATCATAACTAATTATTCCAACTTATTTATTTACTTAAATTAAATGTTTCAGATAAAAAAAAATTTAAAAAATTTAAAAAAACGCGAATATATGACAGCATCGCTCTTATTTTGAAAAGCGAGGACACAGCGGAAGTAAACAGTAATCACGTTACAACCCGGAAGAATTGCCTTTTTTTCTCCGATTAACGTTTGAATAGACGAGAATGAGCAATTTATCTTGCGAAGCGACGATTAATCGCGATGCTGCTAACATCGTACGGCCTTCGATCACCACATTTGTGTCTTAACCTCGTCGGCTGGAGGTGTTAAAGGCGGTCGAGTGCGAGCAGCAACGCCCTGATGTCCGCCGCCCCGACGGAGAAAAACATCCTCCCTCTGTTTACAAATCAACGGAGAGAAACTGTTTCCCCGCAGTGTTTCCGTGAGCTAATCGTGTAGATTTGTTGTTGTTGTTGTTGTTGTTGTTTCTCCGCACGAAGAGAACATGGCTGAGCTGCATGTTGTGGAAACGAGCGCTACGGGCACCGTGGAGCAGCCGGAGCACCGCGACGTCCGCGGCTCCGTGCGCCTGGCGTCGCCCACTCTCGTGGTTCCGCCGCGGGGCAGCCAGCTCAGTCCCGGCGGGGTGTCGAGCGCTGGCGGCGGCGGCGGCGGCGGCGGGCGGTCGGTGTTCGGGTTCCCGGTGAAGAGCAACCCGAGCTCCCCGTCCGAACCGGTGGAGAAACCGGGCTCACGCTGGGTTCGGCTCAACGTCGGTGGGACCTACTTTATCACGACCAAACAGACGTTGTGTAGGGACCCGAAATCGTTCCTGTTCAGACTGTGTCAGGAGGACCCGGACCTGGACTCTGACAAAGTGAGTCCATAAAGTCACAGTAATGAGCTTTATTTGATTTATTTATAGTTTAATTACTGTAGAGGTCAGTAAAATGTATGTTTGGATCTTCATTATAACTGGTAGGCAAACATTTGATCCATTTGTCCCCATTATAATCTGTTTTTTTTAGGTATTTCCTCCAGTTAATATTGGTTGTTTTCACTATTTGTAATGTTATTAATGATATTTCCAGTATATTATGATATTAGAGAACATGTACATAAAGTTATTATCATATTATCAAACAAAAGGTGCTTTTTTTGTTATTAATCCATCCTCTTGAGTGAATATAAAAGTGACAAAGTGAGTCCATAAAGTCACAGTAATGAGCTTTATTTGATTTATTTATAGTTTAATTACTGTAGAGGTCAGTAAAATGTATGTTTGGATCTTCATTAAAACTGGTAGGCAAACATTTGATCCATTTGTCCCCATTATAATCTGTTTTTTTTAGGTATTTCCTCCAGTTAATATTGGTTGTTTTCACTATTTGTAATGTTATTAATGATATTTCCAGTATATTATGATATTAGAGAACATTTACATAAAGTTATTATCATATTATCAAACAAAGGTGCTTTTTATTATTAATCCATCCTCTTGAGTGAATATAAAAGTGATAAAGTGAGTCCTTAAAGTCACAGTAATGAGCTTTATTTGACTTATTTATAGTTCTAATTACTGTAGGGGTTACTAAATATCCAGTAAAATGTATGTTTGGATCTTCATAATAATTGGTGGCTCCATTTGTCCCCATTATAATGTGTTTTTAGGTATTTCCTCCAGTTAATACTGATTGTTTTCACTATCATAATATTAGTAAGGATATTTCCATTATATCATAATGTTGTAGCAAAATCATGATCACATAATTAAACAAAAATCATTTTTTATTATCGATCCATGTAAACTCTTAAATTGTAAAGTAACTAGTAAACGCAGAAATGTAATGAAGTGTAATATTTCCCTCTGAAGTGTGGTGAAAAGTATAAAGTGAGAATTGATCATTTATACTTTATACAGAGGTTTTGTCTTCAAATCACTTATTTTGTTGGATCAAGAGTCCAAAATCCAAAGATATTGAGTCTCAACTGAAGGTTCACTCGTTGCCACGATTCTGAAAGACTCAGTTCACTTTCCCATCAGACAGAGAACAACAGCAAACCCTCACAGCTGAGAAAGAACTGGAATTAGGTCACTGATACGGTTGTGTATTGGCATGAATTTGGAGATACGATACGTAACACGACACAGGTTACAATTCAATACATTGCTAAACTGTAAGCGGCGATGTGCTGTGTCAAATGCATAAAGAACGCACCTCCATAAGCATAAGATCTGTACTTTTACTATGCAACCAGTGGGACCTGCATTTGTATTGATCACAGCCTCAATAACTTTACAAACTTTCATTTTTCAGTCTGTTTTTTAAATGTTTATTGATCAATGGTGTAACCACAAATACAGATTTTCCTTTTATATCCTTTGTACTTTTTTTTTTGCCTGTAAGGACGTAAAATAGATCTTTAATTGCTTTCATAAGGGTTCATAAGGGAAATCCTGCATCCAAACTTGTTCTTGCTCCAGAAAACCAGTAGTCCACAAACCAGCGGGCGACGTCATGTTGATACAAATATATCAGTGTTGGCCTGAATCAGCTGATAATGTTGACCGATGTGTCTGTAATGATAATAAACTCATGTTTCTCCTCTCCAACATTTCTTTTTCTGGACGTTATCCAACTCGACATTTTGTAAATGATGGTCCCATTTAGGATGAAACAGATGATAAAGCGGCGGTGCTTTAAGCACGGCGTGTCCTCTGGTTCTCAGGACATGAAATAGGTCTGAAATTGCTTTTATAAGGGTCTTAAAAAGATCTTAAAAAGTCTTAATTTAACCTGTTGAAACCTGCAGAAACCCTGCATCCAAATATGATACAAATTCCAAATATTTTCTGTGGGGATTTACCATTATTCTTATTCCTTTATATGATTGTAAGTTGAATATCTTTGGGTTTAGATATTAAATTTAGCCAGTCTGGGCTCCAGAAAACCAACATTGCAACCCCCATAACACCAAACTGGAGGCTCTAAAACAGTAGTCCACAAACCACTGCCTGACGTCCCCGTTTGGTTTACCCTCTGTTGATACAAATATGAGTTTTAATGATAATGAAGTTGTGCTTCTTTTTGTTTGTGAGGACAAAACAATCCTCCTCACTAATGTCAACCCCTGAATGTGTTCCTACAGGACGACACAGGGGCCTACCTGATCGACAGGGACCCCACGTACTTCGGCCCCATCCTCAATTACCTCCGGCACGGAAAACTGATCATGGATAAAAACCTGGCGGAGGAAGGTAAAACGTCGCGCGGAGTCGTACCTGTCAGCGAAGGTCAATTCACAGCACAGAGACCAAAACAATCGAGTCTAATTATCTTTTTTTTTTTTCTTCCCGTCTCAGGTGTTCTTGAGGAAGCGGAGTTCTACAACATCGCATCCCTGGTGAGGCTGGTTAAAGAGAGGATACGGGACAACGAGAACCGGACATCTCAGGTACAGAGTACAGACCGATGGGAGCAGATCAGACGGCCGAGAAAATAGAATAAATCTGTACAACAGACTTTCTTCCAGTCCAAATCTACCCAGAAATAGCTCGTCATTGGTGTTTGTGCACAGATCGTTGATGTGGTTTCTGTGTGCTCTTGTGGCGTCCCTCAGGGCCCCGTGAAGCATGTGTATCGAGTACTACAGTGCCAAGAGGAGGAACTCACGCAGATGGTCTCAACCATGTCGGACGGTTGGAAGTTTGAGCAGGTGCAGAAAACGCAGCTCTTTTTTTTTTCTCTCTCTCTCTCTCTCTCTCTCATGTTTTAGTTTCTGCTTTAGTGCTTTCAGAGCTTCAGTTTGGAGTTAGGCTGAAAACATTTATCAGGAAATGAATGTAAAACTAAGATATTTGTTACTAAAAGGCAGTAAATTGTTTAATCACTCAATATTATTTTGGTTCCGACTGACGTGTCAATATCAGACTATTGGAAAAAATACTGTAAGTTATGCCTGTTGATATATTAGGCTACTAGTAATTATAATTCACACATTTTTTATTAATTTGCAGATTATTTGGGGTAAATTGTGTAAACTGTCATTCACAAAAACAGTCTAATACTCTGGAGCAGGGCAATATAATAATAATATAATATTCCAGCCATATAAAGCAACTTCTAGCTGTAAAAAAGTGCCTGTTTCGATTGACATTATCCCTCCAAATATGCATAAAAACATGACTGCAAACATTAACAGTCCTGTCTCTAAATGACCTAAATATGGCTGTATAACTGTGAGGGAAACAATACTCTGGAGGTGAAGTCTTCAGATTGCTTGTTTTATGCAACAAACAGTCCAAAGATAGAAGATATTCAATTTATTATCACACTCTGAGAGACTATTAGCACTTGGAACCACAACAGGAGCTGCAGCCAGTGAATTCTTGGCGTTAAAAAAAATGACTTAATTAATAAACCGAGTGAGATATGTTCTTCTGTACAAAGAATGGTGAATCTGCAGGACGGCCAACAGCGAGGTGTTTCAGTTCCCCATCTGATGTGTGTGAATAAGGCTCAGACTTTGCATTGAGTTGCTCATATAGGGCTGCAGTTACAGTGGTAACAACATTATATTCACATCTGTTAACATTGTGTTTAGTATGAGATGCCAACACAGCTTCTTTTTCTCGTTTTATATCAACTTCTTCCAATTTCTTTTGTCCAATCAAAAACTAAACCTGGAGATATTCAGTCTATAATGATATAAAACAGAGAAAAGCAGAAAATCCTCTAAAATCTTCAGAATTAATAGACATATATACATTTCTTCCATGTCTTTTCTCCTTTGTTTCCAGCTTATAAGTATCGGCTCCTCCTATAACTACGGCAACGAGGACCAGGCGGAGTTTCTATGTGTAGTTTCCCGGGAACTCAACAACTCCACCAACGGCATCGTCATCGAGCCCACCGAGAAGGCCAAGGTGAGCAACACTAGTCTCTTCAAAGGATAGTCTTCTCAACAGTGTGTGTGTATTTAAAGTGTGATATACATTTTTTTAAAGGGTTATGAGGCAAAAAACGCTGAAGTAGAGCTCTGAATGTGTATTAAGCTGAAAATTGTTCCAAGCAAAGGCACCATGTCCTCCTGTTTGAGGAACGTTGGATTAAAATCTCTCTTTTAGGAAATTACTGAGCCTTTATTTAAACAATAACTATATATTCATGAGCTGTGTTAAAAGATTTAAGGGGGTTTAGGGCTGAGAGCCACAGGCAGGGAGGAGAAGTCAGCAAGTACTGAGAGATTTTCACAATAAAATACCACCTTAAGGATGAAATTAACAATTGCTTTCTTTGTTGATTAATCAATTAATTGTTTAATCTGTAAAATGGCTGACACAACTTCTCACCAACAGTTTAAATCCCACTTACAGTCACATAAAAGAGAGAATAACAGTAAATCCTCACATTTGAGAAGCTTGAACCAGAAAATATTTAGAAATTCTCTCCGATAAATGACTGAAAGGATGACTTGATCAGCTTTATCCTTTTTAATTACCTTCACAAAATCAGAAAACCAGAAATAAGTCGGCTCCAGTGTGAGACGTTCAGGGATTTCCTCTGACTCGTGTCTTCCTTCTTGTCCTCACAGATCCTTCAGGAGCGAGGCTCGCGGATGTGAAGAGACCCAGAACCTGAGCTAAATAACACTTAAATCGACAAAAACAAAACAATAACATGAACATTTTCTCCAGTTTTCATCAAGATCCATCAGTTTATCCTCCCTCCTCTCCCTCCTACCATCACCGCCATCATGGACCCCCTTCCCTTCCTCCTCTGGTGTGCCTTTCCACAGCGGGGGCTCCCCGACGCCCCCTCTCTCCTCCAGTGCTGCAACACGACCCCGACTTGTCTTCTCATTTCTTCTCCTCCCATCGCAGGCTGTGGGACACTTCAGGGGGAGTTTAAAAGGGAATACAAGGGAGCGGTTTTTCCTCACAGCAGCTTTTTTTTTTGATGGTCAGTGTCACTGCGGTGCAGGCTACGGTTGCTGATTGTAGCCCCTTATTATTATCAGTGGATGGAGGCCCAGCACAGAGCTACTACAAATCAATATCATCATCGTTATCATCGTCGCTGTTAACAGACAGGATACTCCTCTCTCTCTCTCTCTCTCTCTCTCTCTCTCTCTCTCTCTCTCGTACACTCGGCTCTGTCGACTCAACAGAAATCTCCTCAGGACTCTCACAGGACATAAAGGAATGAACACGACTCCACTGACTGAGCCTCTCTCTTTTACCCTGGGATCTGTTAAGGGAGCGCCGCCGCACGCCGCCTCCCTCTCCCTGCACTCCCAGACTCCTCGGGGGCTGACGTCTGAGGAGGCACAAACAAACCGAGGCGGAGAGGAACGACGAGACGAGCGTTCGCAGCGTTTTCCTCCACACTCTTGAGTCTTCAGAAACACCTTAAACCAGGTGGTCTTTACAGACGCCCCGTCTCCATTTCCGGCACTGCGGCGTCCTACGCTCATCCTGTTTCCTGTTTCCAGGCTCGATCTGAATCTGTCCTCCCCAGGGAGAAAAATTTGGGATATTTCCGCGCAAAAGGAAACAAATGACTCAAAAAAACCAAAAAAAAAAAAGAGACTACACCTGTGTACAATTTGTCAAGGCATGTGAGGAATCTATATAAATCTATATAGGCTACATGATGAAACTATATGAAAAATTTGAATGCAAATGGTGTAATTATTGATTTCTGTATCATAGTTGTCATATATTTACATATTCTGGTGGGTGAGTCTATTTAAACGATGGGAGAAAATATCATTATTTTTTTTCATAACCAGTTTTTTTCCTGAAGGTTTCCCACCCGGTAACATGGATGTGCCTCTCTGCTTTCTGTCCACGACTCAAATATCACGACGAATTTCAGCTGCACGTTTTCTGTAGTGTTCCTCAAAACAAAAACTAAAACAAAAAAAAAGAAGAGATATTTGTCAAATATACGTTTTCTCTTAGATATCCTACTTTGATCTCTTGCATATCTTAAAATTGTAATTAGGGATAAGGAAAACTACTGTCATTGCCATTTGTCCAGACAAGCGTGGCCAGTTTGTATGCTGCCTCAAAACCCCTCGCTCTGTCTCTCTCTCTCGGTCTGTCTCTCTCTCTCTCTCTGGCCTTGTGCTACCTTCATGCCAATACTCACTCACTTTGCAGCTGCCTCCGTCGCCAGTCCTCAACTCGACACACTAACTGACTCGTCTCGTCTTACGTTCTGCAGCACTTGTGTAGCAACTGTGGCGCCAAGCTGAATTGTACTCCTCACGCTTAAAGCCCTGAGATACCTGAGCCGACATTATCGCAGAAATTTACATACTGTCAGTGAACCTGCCAGATGGGGAGTGTCTTCAGAGTGAAGCCTTTATTTCAGATGTTATGTGACTTCTTTTGTTTTTTTTTCTCTGTGCTAGCAGTTTAGGTACCAACTTGGCTAAAGTATGTTTCTCTTGGAATATACTTGACATTAAGTTGCTCTGTGACAGCGCTGTGTTTAAGGCTTGTAACAATATTGGAGGAACTTATGTAATATCTATCCTGGTTCTAGCCCTCTGAATTGCTGCACACATCTCAGATTTTATAGAGAAGATGAATCGTTATCAGGCCGAATATATGTTTGCAAATGATATCCAAAGAGAGAAATGGAATTGGCTTCTTCTATAAATGTCGACCTGAAACAATCAGTCAATTAACTGATTAGATGATTGGCAGAAAATGAATCTGGAACCAGTTGCAAACAACCGTAACTTTCTTTTTTCAGTTTATATCATTAGAAATTAAATATTTTGGGGTTTTGATAAAACGAGACATGAAGACATTTCCTCTGGCTTCTGGGAATATTACTTTTTTTGCTGTTGTCAGATGTTTTATAGACTATAAATCAGTTAATAGTTACCACCAAACTATAAAGCTGAAGTAATCAATTAATATTATAGCCTGTAAAATGCCAGAAAATAGAGAAAAATGCCAAATGCAATCTTCAAATTGCTCGTTTCCTTTATCGAACAGTCAAAATCCCCAAAATATTCAACCTGTAGAGAATATAAAATAGAGAAAAACAGTAAATCGTCACATTTAAGATTCAAATTCTTCATTCTCTGTCAATAGACTTCTCATTATCTGACTAATTAAATACAGAACAAATCCACAAATTAACAGGTGTGAATATATTGTCACTGGAGTAAACGCAGCCTTGTTATAAGAGCAACTTAATGCGACGTTTGAGCCATATTTACACATATCAGATGGAGAATTGAAACATCTCGTCCCATCGTGCAGACCGAACTCGCGTTTGAATCACCGTCCCTTGAAGCTGAAGGGGGCGTCCGACCTTTATCACCGGCATTGATCACTTTGATACACCCGTCTTTGTATAAAGAACGTATTTGATGCAGTTATGTTATATCAAGCATGAACAAAAAGAATGCATTTAAACCTGAAAAAAAAAAAACCCTGTACCTTTGTTGTCTCCCTGATTGTGTTCAGTCAGGCCTCAGAGCTCAAACTTTGATGTGACTTCTTTTTTTTTTTTTTTTTTTGTTTGTGTTGTGCAGTTTTATTCTGCTAATCTGAGTCGTGAGCAGACCGTGTGCTGCTTAAAATGCCCAAAACGTCTCATCGAGGAGCACTTTCTTTTTTTTTTTTTTGGTTCTCCCTTGTTGTTCTCTGGGCCTTTGCAAAGCACCTTGGGTGTCGTTTCCCTTCGTCTGTGTCCAGTGTTGTGCCTTTGACCTGTGTTGTGCACAGTTGTTCTCCCCTCTTTATCATACGGTGCCTCTCATACCTTAAAAAAGCCAGGAGGCCCGAGGTATAATGTATAATGCGGTCTTCAGCCTGTTTTCTATTGTTAGGTGTTTCAGTGAGAGGCAAGCCAAGCAAATCTATCGTCCCCTGAGTTTCAAGTTTTATGATACATACCGACAAACTGAAAATGAGTACCAGCTGCTTTTCTTTGTGCCATTGCTTTTGAGCTAAACCCACGATCCCTTACACCCCCTGGAGGTTCAAATTTGGGTCCGAATCTGCTGTAAACACTCGTGGTGGTTGTGTGTTCGCGGCGCTACCACGTAGGAGCGGGGAGCAATCGACAGCAGGAAGACCAGTCAAAGCAGGTTTCCCTCCTCTGCTTGTATCTTAGTAAAACTCCAGCAGTGCACTTGTTATCGGAGACCGATTTGACTATAAACTCGCCGTCATTTGGCTTCTTTTTTTCCCTTTTCGTTGCATGCTGAAGCCATAACTAACGATTCCATTTTTAGATGTGTGTGTAATCAACATTTTTGAAGCACTTACTGTACCCGTCACCTTTTGTAAAAACCCAGTTTGATCTTCCCGTGGTTTGCGTAGTTCAGTGGTTCCCAAACTGAGGGAGGGCCAGGACCCTGCAGAGGTCATAAGATGGTTAAAAAAGAAAGAAAGAAGCTTATATTTTCAATATTTCTTCCATGCTAGCAGTGTCGGTCGGTCTACCACGTTGGTCCGGACTGAAATATCTCAACAACATGCTAACACACTAATGTAAAAAAAAAAAAAAAAAAACAATACCTGCACTAGCTACGCTGTTATGCTATAAAATTCCCATCAGCCTTAGCTGTGCTCTGTTCTTAGAGTTCTTCAAATATTAGTTAACACACACATCTGACATGCTGACATTAGCCTTACAGAGCCGCTACCATGTTTCTTGTGAATTACCGGATAGTTTTACTTCTTGAGGACTCAAATAAATGATTTAAATGAGAGAGAGAAGGGAAACTTGAACACAACCGATCGACCGGTGATGAGGGGTTCGTTTTTAAGGCGCCAGAAGCCAAAAGGTTCGGGAACCACTGACCTTTCTGAACTTTGCAGTGTGGTTATTTGAACATTTGAATCAAGCACCCCTTTCTTTTCAAAAGTTTTTACTTTCACCTGCACTACTTAGCCTACAGATAATGTGCAATTTTAACAAATCTGCAAAAAAATAAAATAAATATATATATCTCTGTCGTTTGGGCACGTGGGAAAAAAAAAAAAAAAACACGAGAGCATGCATTGTTCTAGAGATTATGATGTCGTGTACTGGATTTTGTCTGACCTCTGTGTTAGTGCAAAGTGTATGTGATGCATGGTGGGGGGAGCAGAGGGTAGGCATGGCTCTGTGGGTATGTAGGTGTAGATTTCTTGAACAGTTGGTCTACAACTCGACATATTCTCTTACTCACATGTTCTGTTCCTTTTTTCTTGTTTTTTTGTATCTTTGTCATGTCAGTTTAAACTTAACAGTAGATGAAGATTAGCTAGCTTCGAAAGGCAAATTAACCAAACCAATCGGATTCCAGCCCCACAACCTTGGTTTATATAGCATTTACACAACCCCCCCCTGCAGGTCGACACACACAAGAGAGTTTTTTTTTTTTTTTAATTCATGGATCATTTTGCCAGTTAATCTGTAAACACCTGCATGCGTTTGTGAACATGCACACTTGTACACTCATTTAGACGTATTGAAAAATGTCACCTATTAACAGTTACTTTTGTGTTCATTTATCAACAGTATTGATGTCAAATGTGAATATTGTCAATGCAGACTGTGGAGAAAAATGTTTGGAAGCTGACAAAAATTTTGTCCGATTTTGTTTGTTTTCACTTTTATTTATTTTATATTTTTTGAATTTTGTCTACCGATGTTGTTTCTTTACATGTAACAATTTTAACAAAACCCCGTCTGGTTTTTAATCATAAAAATGTGTCTGTGTTTTAAAATGTGGCTCACTGACTGTTTGTTGGTCGTCTTCACTGTGGATTTAAAATGAAACACGATGAACGAACTGAAGATTTAGAAACTTGTTCTACCGGCAGTGATTATTTTACTTATTTGCATATATTTTAATTGTTTGAATCAGTAAAGTGACTCATTTTAAGGTCACATAGATCACAGTAAATAATAAGATGAGTCAAGGCTTTGAGATATCCACTATTATGTCCACTTATTAATTTAGAAATGAATTAATTTGGGCATTTATCCTTTGCTGGACCAGCCTCTTAAAAGAAAGTACAGTACACCCACTGATTACATGAGACATAACTCAGCAGCAACAGTGGTGGAGGAAGTATTAAGATCTTTTATTTTAGTAAAAGTACCATTACTACACTATAAAAGTATTACTTAAGTAAAAGTATGAAACAACAATCAGGGAAATCTACTTAAAGCATTAAAAGTAAAATGCAATAAAATATCCTCTGTGACTGTATTATATATTATATCATTAGGTTATTGTGACTCGTGCATTAATGTAAATGATTTTAATGTTGTCGTTGGTTGATCTGGAGCTCATTTTGAACTGTTTAGTACAACAACTAATGATTATTTTCATTATTGATTAATCTGCTGATTATTTTCTCCATTAATTGTTTGATTTGTACAAATTCTGAAAATAGTGAATCACAATTATCACTTTACATTTGTGAAGTTGGAACCACGAATCAACAAATTACTTTAACCTGTACTTTTCCGTACTGTTGTGCAGTTTAATGTTTAACAAAACATCCTATTTTATAAGCTCTCTATGTGTTTCATATGCAAAAGTCTTAATATGTAAAGCAACAAGATAAGAGAGAGTTTATTGTCATCCGTCTGTGTACAGGGCAGTACAGTCCCAGGTTGATGCAACATCACGTGGGAGTGAAGTAAGAAAGCACAAGATGCAACAAACATAGGTACAAACATGTAGTGCAATACGCAGGACAACTATAAGAGTGTAAAAATATAAACATATAAGTAAGTGTGTAGTGAAGGAGCAAAAATAATGGAGCACTGTGTATCGGACCTGGGATAGGAGGCCTAACTGCGTCCATGTGTGCCGCCATATTGAAAGTAATATTAAGTAACTAAAGCTGTCAAAAGTAGTGGAGTAGAAGTAGAAAGTGGCATGAAAAGAAAAGAGTCCAATAAACTATAAGCAACTTCAGTACAGTCAGACTGTAGATACTCTGCTGGTGGGTGAGATTGGTACATTGTGATCAGTTCACATGTAGACATACTCTATGTGGTTTATGGACTCATAGGATAAAGGCACACGAGCCCCTGAAATAACTCAGTAACTTGATTACTTTCTGTTACTTTTTGATTAAGTCAAGACCAAATATGCAAATAAAGAGAACTGAATGATCAATAATATGATGTGTATTGTGTAAAATGACAGAATAATGTAACATTGGAAAAGAAAATGGGGAAAGCTTGGTGTATTTTTTAAAGAAAAACTCAATCAAATTCAAATGAATTCATACCTGAAAGGCAGAACTCACACTGTGCTGTGATGTATTTTAATGTTAATGTTAATTTTTACAAACTGTAACTGTAATGTGGTTACGTTTTTTATTTCTGTAACTAAATGATTACAGTTACCTCTTTTTTTGTTACCCCCCAGGCATGGACATTTAAAAAAAAAACAACAACATACGTTTCACACCTGCAAATCAAAACAATCTAAAGAAACCAGCAATAAAAACAAGTAAGTAAAACACAAGTAATTTTTTTAAATGGAGCAAAATATTGTGTAAAATGTCCATTAAATTCATAATTCAGACAGCTAGTGTGCAGAAACACAAATATACAGTGCTTCTATATTAAATAAATATAAACAACTGATGAATAAAATGACGCAAAAGAATGAATTACTCAGAAAAACCATAAATTATACGGATACAGTGATGATTGTGTGCTTTTACTGGTGTCTGGATTTAGTCCAACGTGGCGTTTCACTGCCCTCTCTGGTTGTTTCCCCTCCGAGCACATCCAGCCTCACTGGGTCTGGTTGACGGTGGTCAGTAGTGTCTGTTTGTACCAGTTTGTGTGGCTTTCACACAGCTTGTTGCTGAACCCAAATATAAAAAAAGTATCTTTTCCAACACTTACAAACACTAAAAATGTTAAAGTTTATGGCAGCATCTCAACCACCTGCTGCTGTTTGATCATCAGCTGATTCCTTCCACCTCACATGCCGCCTGCACTCCATTTATTTCCTCACCGCCACGTAAAGAAAGTGAACTCACGTACATGACCAGTGATGTCACAGTGTCCTGGAGTACACCTGTACATCACTGCAGCGAGTTGTGAAGTCAAACAGCTGGAGGTCAGCAAAAACAGGATTTCCAGGGGGTGTTAAGTTACTATTTAAATGTAACTCAACCAGTTTTTTAAGTGGTTCAGTGGTCAATTTATTTTCGGGTTTGGTCCTAAAATCAGAGGAAGCGGTTTCTTGTAGCAGCTTCAAAGGACCACTGTATGAGCTTTCAGTGGTATCCAGCAGTGTTATTGCAGATTGCAATGCCCTCGCTTCACCCTCCCCCTTTCCTAGTGCAAATCCTCACTCAATTCCCTAGAACCAGTGTTTGGTTTGTCCTCCCTTAGCCACTGTAGAAACATGGAGGTTCAACCGACGGCTCCTTCTAAGGTAACAAAGACATAAAAATTCTTATTTTCAGGTGATTATACACTAATGAAAACTTAATTATCCAGATTATATTCCATTTGTCTGCCAAAACATCCTAAATATAAAGTGTAAATGTTACACACTGGACCTTTAAGAATCTTATTCAAGTATAGGAAATAAAGTAAAATTCACTTTAAGTCTTAAAATTATGCAAAATGGCCCTTTAATCAAAATAAAGTTGTGCTGGGTTGTTAAATCTATCACAAGGTATTAAATTAAATCCACAACAGCCATCACATAAATTGAACAAAGCAAAATAAAATGGAAACACTCAAGTAAAATAAACACATAACTGTACATCCACTACTGAAATGACCACTGCACAGGCTGCATGCTGTTATGCCACCAGCACACTGTGTCCACCATTACGGCTCATACAATGCACAGTCTCGGGCCTTACAGCAGCTCCCGGCCGCCTGTGTGTGGTGTAGCAGGGCTGGGTAGCTGTGAGGAGGAGGGGGGCGCGCTGGGGCCTGCGCAGCCCCGCATCCGACGCTCGCAGGCGGCCACGTCAGTCTCCTCCCACCGAGAGCGGGCGGACGCTGGAGCTTCGAGCAGAACCAGCAGCTGCTCGCTCCCGGCAGTGATCGAGGAGCCGCGCCTGTGTGTGGTGGCACTGACCGGGGCTGCAGGACCACGAGCAGGAAATAAAGGTGGGTGATTCGTTTTTATTTTAATTTACAGATTCACGGAAGAAATTGTGGTTAAGTCACTTCCTCTTTGTGCCGAAAGTGCTGCGCCAGTGATGTCCAGGATATTAATCTCTCAGGGTAAAATAACACTGATGGGAACAGAAGATTTATGTGGTGTTTTGTGCTTTTTAGAGGCGATACTTTCAGTGGAGCGAGTTAGTAGTAAAGCTGATTTGATTTTAGGGGCGTTGTGATGAGATCTGGAGCGAAAACCCGTTTATCTTGGTGGGTTTTCAGCCGTAAATAAGCCGAAAATAACTACCAGTTGCCACGTGGGTGAAGCTGACCGAAAGACAGTGTGTTAATACAGCTGAAAACACCAACAGAGCAACTGATTAAGGCTGATAAAGCTCAGTTTGTGCGGCTTGATGCCAGTGTACAGATCCCCACTATCTGATGTAAAACGGGCCACTATTACGCAGCGCTCTCATCCCTCCACGGGCTGTCCCACAGGAGAGATCAGCTGCTCAGCATCACTTTTATTCATCAAGGTGGAGAAACACGGAATACTTGTCCAAACACTCTCCTTCCTCCCCCCCTCCTGACATCTCTAATAACATTTAAGAGATTTATGAGAGAGAGTTGCAGGAGGTGAAAGAGAAAAACAGGATGTTCATGGTTTGGTGGCTCAGATTGCTGAGACAGGAGAGCCTCCCCCTCCCTTACAGAACCATTACACAGTCAGAATAAGAAGAGGAATATGAAGGGAAGAAATGACAGAGTGAACAGGCAGCCACACACACTATATGGAAAAGTGTGTGTTACCATTACCTCTGAGTCCCAGAGCAAAGCATCTTCCACTTTGTTCTGAATGTATTTCCAGTCTTTAAACTTTCCTAAAGGTCCGGTGTGTAACATTCAAGGAGGATCTATTGGCACGCTTGGAAGGCTGAGCTGTATTCAGTTGGTTGCAGTCTGCAACTTCACCACTCGATGGCACTGTATCCCGCACACTGGTCCTTTATTAAAGAAAAGTTTACACTTATTTTTTTAGTTTTAACATTTTGGAAAGGTGCATGTTTGTTTTCTTACTAAGAGTTGGGTCCGCACGGTAAATATGAAATATGAATATGAATTAGGAATATAGGAAAGACGCTGGAGAAACAGCAAGCTTAGCATAGGGATGGTAATCGGGAACCGGCTCCAGTTGAGATAATAAAACTTTTAGGTTTACTTTTTTTTCCCACACAGAAAATTGCTCAGAAATTGGAGCGCTAAGCAGAGTCGATGGCATTGGTATCAGTACTATCTTATCAGTTCCCTTCCCTAGCTTAGCATCTGTCCAGCAGCACCAATAAAGTTCAATTCAGGTTTATTTGTACAGCACCAAATCATAACAGAAGTTATCTCAGGACATCAAATAGAGCAGGTTCTGAAATATAAAGCTCACTGATTGACATGTTGTATCTTGTTTGTTTGATAAGTAAACAAAACAAACTGTTTTATGGCGGCATTATTTGGATTCAAAGATAAAAATCTGCAAGTCAGTTTGGCTGTTTGCGTAACGAGTTTTGCTGCTGGGGAAAAAGGAGTTTGTAAAACCACTGCAATGCCCCACGATCAGGTGAGTGCAGAGACATTAAAGTTGCATGATCAGGAACATAATGTCAGAAGATGCTGCACTGCTCGGTAGTTGGTAAATGTCTTTGGGGGGAAATTCTACTGGAACATTTGCACAGAGGGCTTTTTCATTCAAAGGTTTTCACAACTGTATGTTAGTCTCATGCCGAGCCAGATTCCTTAGATCCAGTCAGACCTCTTCTTTGTTAATTCACTCAGAGTTCTGACCCGCAGACATAAAGTCCTGCGTGTCTTTTTATGATTTGAAATTGTGATTTTAAACAAAAACTGAAGTGATGGTGTTTCAGCCCCGAAGCACCGACAGGAAATGAGTCGCTGCACATGAGACAAGAAGTCTGAAGCTTCTCTGAACAGCAATATCACAAAGTCCTCCATCTGCCAGCTCAGGAGCATTGCCAGGACTAGGTAATTTCTTTCAGGTACAGACCCCGATTCATGCCTTTGTTGACATTACTGTAACTTGGGCTGCCTTTACTGATCGCCTTCAGCTTGGTACAAAAGATTTGAGCACTTTTCCAGTTGGTTTCCCTGCACCAGTTACTGTTTTATTGCTTGGTGTTAAAAGAGCAGGCAGTTATTGTCCCATTCTCTGTTGTTTACCTCTGTCCATACACTCATAGCCTGAAGCCTGTTGACCAGCTGTCGACTGTCTCCTGGTCAAGCTGGAGCAAGAGGCCGTAGCGTTTGTCATCAGGCTCCGTTAAAACTGCTCTAATCAATGTTTTAATATTAATAACAGAGCAAATGACTATGTGCAATGTGTAGTAAAGGATTCGAGGAAGTTTGTTTATCATTATACAACACAAGGTTGCACAACGATGAAAGATAATAAATAACACAAAACAATAGATTTACAACCAGGAAACAACTCTACAGCTCATCCCCTGAATCTTAATCTTATCTTATCTTATGTTATGTTATGTTATGTTATCCTATGTCTGGTAGCTCCTTTGGATCCCTGTATGAAGCGGTTTCTTGCTAATTGCGTAGTGGGAAAGCAACGTATCCAGTTTCTATAGCAAGTTGAATCCCATGTGAGTTCAGGTGTGACTCCTCACAGAACAGACCGTTTATACTGTCCTCACATGTTCATGAATGAGAAATAGATTAGAATGGTTTGTCTCCAACTAAAGTTAGTCAGGAGACAGAAAATACAATATTGGGGAAATATAAAACTATTAAGTGATCCAGTTTCTTCTATAATTGTTTGCTATTTTGTTTTTAGGTGTCCGTGAAGGTCGCAGCAGTTACAGTGACATGGGCCTCAAAAGTAATTACACACCCTGCAGAGCTAACACAGGAGCGCTGCCTGAGCTGCCGAGCAGAAAATGACTCAGAGAAATGGAATCAGAGGGACGAGCGATCGCTGCCTCCACTCGGAGGCCGCCGTGGTTGGCGATCGGGCCAAAGGCGTGGAGCGGGAGAAGGTTCCAGAGGACTGTGAATCCGAGGAGGGAGGACGGGGAAGCTCGGTGGCTGTAACGGGAGTAGTCGAAGCTCCAGATGGCGGTTGGGGCTGGATGGTGCTGGTTGCCACCATCTTGGTCCTGGCTTTGACCCTGGCGTTCCCCTCCTGCGTGGGAATCTTCTACACCGACCTGCAGAATGAGTTCCACGCCACCAACAGCGAAACCTCCTGGGTGCCCTCCATCATGACGTCGGTGCTTCACGCGGGAGGTAAAGTAGACAAACTGGTCTGGTTTCCACTTAATGTGTACATTAACTTAATTACTGTGACTATGTCTTGGTATATTATATATTTGAGTTGGAATAATTCCTCTGTCATCGTATTATTTGCCCCCTTTGCTTCGGGGTAATTGAAGTTCCTACCTGCTGCTGTTGTACGGGGGACGTCTGAAACCTGAGAGAGGATTTGTGTGTGTTTTAAACTGTCTTGCTGTGTTGGTGTTGACTTAAAGAAGATCATTCCATGAGAAAGAGCAGCCAGTTTATTACCCACAACCCAGAGGGACCTGAGTACACGACACATGACACGACAAGAATTCAGGATAACAAAGAAATAATAATCCTCACTTTAAAGGGACATTGTGTAACTTGAACTCATAAGCAATAAAACACACCTTTGTTTAAAATCAATACATCAGTACACTCACTCACTACTGCCTCTGACCTGTAGCTTAGTTTTCTGACCTCTGACCTTCTGACTTTCTGACCTGTGTTATTGTTATGTTTTAGTGTTTGCCATTATACTGTACCTACCACTTGTGGCCACAGTGGCCACTGTTCAGCAGAATACAAAAATATTGATCATTCTTCTTTCGGTGGTCATATTTTGTTCATTAGAAATCAAAATGAGATTGTGGTTTTATGTAGAAACATAACATACCTAGACAGGATTTCTAGATATTTCAAGATATTTAAAACTCCTCCAACAGATATATTGTGTTTCCTTCCTGTGACTTCTTCACAATAAAGGCCGACCCACGTTTCTTCAGCTGAACACTTTTAATGAAGCAGCTGAAGTAGAATTTTTTTTTGTTTTAAAGCTGTGATGTAGCTGTGGCAGACTCCACCACACGTACACACACTGAATGGCTTTTACCAAACAAATGTTGACCATAACTAGTATCCAAAACTGGGTGTAAATTAAATGAAATCTTAAGGATTAAATAGGTTTTCATCCTTTGTGTGTTAGAGGATACTTTTATCTTCTCATGGAGCTTTAACAGAGCTCTCTCTCCAGTCAATAATGTCAACTTCCTTTCTCAATGACTCATTATGTAAGCTGAATGAAACAGGGAAGTAGTGTTAACTGTGCAACGGCATGCAAAGTCAGTATAGAGGATAAAGGTGAATGTGGCAACGTGTATGCTGTGCTTGTAGGAGTGTTTGTTAGTGTCCTCTTACGGTGAAACGAGTCAAACATAGAGAGGAGTTTGGAGTAGGGAGGGTAAATTCACATGGATATCCAACTATTGGACACAATAACTGGAAGGAATGTGGTAATCTGGCCCTTCTGACTCAATCAGAGAGACTTTGTATGTTAGAAGAATAAGAAGCAGGTTTTTGAAAATGTTAACCAACATCAGTGGAAAATTGCAGATGAACTTTTAATACCAATGTAAGAATATGGCCATAGTTTAGCACCATACGCGTTCAGCCATGTATTAGCTTTTGGCCTAGTCTTGTTATCAGAGGAAGGTTGTGGTTACACAAACAATTAGTACATGTCCAAGCTATCATAATGGTATCGAGCTTCACCTCCTACTACATTCTTCCCTCCCTTTCTGAAAACACACCTCGAAGCTTGTAAGCTTTGAATTGAATTTAGTTTTTTTGGCTCTCATGTGGCACAGATTAGTTACTTATTATTAACATTTACACAGATTTGGACCTCCTCTCTCTGTGCCACACCCAGTTTCTGTTTAATTTACGACGAAATGACTCTGACTTTTCTCGAGCATTAAACATGACACGTAAAAACATAAAATGTATGCTTATATATGAGAATAAATCAGAAAAAAGGTTAATACATGAAATTAAAATGACGATTTCAAATATTATGTTCACTAGAAGGCACAACAAATGATGAGTGGTTGTTCGTCCGTCCGTCCCATTCTCGAGAACGCGATATCTCAGGAACGCCTTGAGGGAAGTTGGTCAAATTTGGCACAAACGTCCAGTTGGACTCGAGGATGAACTGATAGGAATCTGGTGATCATAGGTCAAAGGTCAAGGCCACTTTGACCTCACAAATGTTGTCCATAACTCAAGAATCCATGCACTGTTTATGACAAAATTCACACAAATATTTGATAGGATAAAATGATGATTACATTGTATAACCACAGTGACATTATTCAACACCATAGTCCAGGAACAGAGGAGATTGTGTCAGAAACCGAACGGGGGACACATCTTGGGTGGCCCCCTTGCTAAAAATGTGTGTGAATAGCTTCTTCACAGTGAAAGCCACATTTTGAAGCTTTGTCTAATGTCAAGGCTCCAACTCTGTGTTCTGTCAGAATCAGCTTTATTTGCCGAACATGTGAACACATACTTGGAGTTTGACTTGTTTCTCTCATTGAACTTCAAACAGCTGCAACAGCAAAGCTTATCAAAGTTGAGTCAAATCAATTTCATATCCTGAGCTACCTCAGGAAGAACAGTTTGTCCCTTCCTGAAGAGGACTTAACGGTTCTGAATCAAGTCCAGTTTTTTTAAAATTGATTTTGGACCCCAAGGGTCTTATATGAGTCCACCCTCTTCACTTTCTGTCCTTGGACGACAGCCAGCACCGGGGGCCTTCTGGTAGTCCACCACAAATTATACTTATATTGAGCTTCAGGCGATTGTCGTTGCACCATGTGATGAAGCTCTTTATCAGTCCTCTGTACTCGTCTGTAAAAATAACTTCAAAGTAAAGACAGCATGTTTCTTCTGCAATTATACACGTCAATATAGTGATAACTTTGCCCAAAAATATGTTTAATACCATTTATTAAAGTCTTAACTACATATATTATGTAAATGAGACTGGACGGACATGGATGTAAATTGCAACTTCAGTAGTTGGTGGTATTAATCCACTGCTTAAAATAGTCCCAAACAATGCACTGTTTCCTCCAGTTCGAGTAACGTTTGCTAAAAACTAGATTGACCAGTTGTTTTAGGAAATAACTGGGCCTTATTTAACATGAAATCATATATTTGTGAGCTGTTTTTGGTCAATAGAGGCTGAGACAATATGAAAAACAATTCTCCTTTAAGCTGCTGCATTCTGAGCTATTCTCTTACTAGTTTAGGAGTACAGAGAGCTACAAGGGGCGTGATAACTGCACAGTTCTCAAGGTTTTTGGAGTCAGGAATGCTTTGATCTCGTAGATTTTGCTGAGCTGACAGAAATGTGACAAGAATCTCAGGTTTATCTTCATTAAGCTTCACAAAGTTTGAGTCGGTCGGTGTCCAGAGGGCAGTGACGGACGCAGCCAAGTACAAATCCAACTTCACACAGGATGGTTTTGTGTGACTTTGAGGCTACTTCTGGTAAAACTTTAAGGGAAACTTTTTCAACCTGGACTTTATTTTCCTGTGTTGAATTGAATTTCCATTATCGTGATATTGGTAGATATCCTCACATGGCTTTATGTGACTAGCACACAGTCCTATATTGAGTTACTGATTTATTTTGAACAAGAGGACAAGAGGGAACCTGCATCATTCCAGTCATTCCAAGATCCTAAGCCTGTCACCATGACCGAAGGCTCGGCTTTCCCATTGTATCCCAGACAAAACAGAGTTAAACCAGATGTGTGGAAATGGTATAGATTTCAAAATACAGAACAGGTGTTTTCTTAGCAGTAATGATGTGATAATATCGTGCAGCGCAATTATGTTGAACAAGATAATCGTGACATGAAGTTTTCCCATGCCTAGTCTCAGACTTTTCTCGGACTTGGTCATTGGTGTCACCAAATATTCTAGTTGGTCTCGGCCAAGTTCAGCAGTATATGTTTTTTTTTTTTAGGTAACTTTGTCCTTGAAAACAAAACAATTGCTGAAGCATGTTCAGAAAACCAGTATTGGTTTAATTCAAAATCCATCTAGAACCTGGTTATCAGGCAGCCGATCACTTGCAGGCGTATGTTTGGATGCCAAAATCATCTCATCTAATTGGCAAAAGTATTCTCCTTTTCTGTCTCTGTCTGTCTCATTTGGACTCGGTCCGGACCAGTGGCTCCCAAACTGGGGTTCAGGACCCCCACCAGGGCTCGTCAAAGCTTCATAAGGGAGTTGCGAGGCCTTCTTGATTTTAAGGGGTGCTAGAAAACTTAAAAAATATACAGAGTAGGCCTGTATCTCAACATTTCCTTCATTTCTGTGAAGTAAACTAGATGGAAGTTTAGATTTAGTTAATGTAACTCCAAACATTTTAGCAAAGTTAGAAATACTTAATCAAGAATGTTTTTAACTTTTCTTAATTAAAATAACTTATCGCATTACAGTGTATTATTTAATATCTAAACTTTGACGACCTGAACACAAGCTAGGTCTAAAACAAGCCTATTAAGTCTGTACCATAGTTAAAAATAAAAAACAAAACAAAATACAGACAGATTGTAGAAAAGGTTCCAGAAAATATCTTAAAGTGAAATATTCGAAGGCAATGATCTTTAAAAAATGCTCAAAATTGATCCAAATCTCTCGTTTTACACAAACTTCCTTCTGTTATTGTGTTCACTGTTATCAGTTGTTCTGTATATGTTGAATGTAGTCAGGGGGTCCCTTAAGGAGAAAGGTTGGGAACCACTGGTCTAGAGTTGGACTTTGGATTTGACAGTTTCAACTAGACCTGGTCTTGGACTCGACAAAGGTGGTTTTGACTGTAGCACTAATGAAAAATACCTAAGTTAGACATTAGACTTTAAACACTTGAAGCAGTGTGTGTGTTTTTAGGCTCAGTTAGGTCCCAGGTATTATCCCCATCAGTACCTTACAGCCCTGTTGCCTAACAACACAGGCACCTCCAGTGTGTGTCGAATTTACCACCCCAGTCGGTGACCTTTATCCAATATACCCCACCGGTTTTAGTACTGAGGCTTCAGGTGAAGATATTTGTTTATGAGCTGCAATTGAGGTAAAATGACGTAGTAGAGATGGGTAATTCTAATATATTTCGATGCTGACGCAACAAAATCTCATTGCACTGACAGTTATATGGGTCAACTGCAGTTAAACACACCGTATGCACACATGCATCCGTCATACACTCAAACATATTTTCAGTCACACTTTCAGCACTTTCATTCAGCTGGTACAGATTATAGCTAAACACAAGTTATGTGAAACTGGCTGTAGGATTAAGCGAATGACCTCGCCTCTAGCCCACGTCTCCTCTGGTATGCTTTAAACTAAGAGCATTACATTTGATCCACAGGTCCCTTTTGTAGCGTGTTGGTGGAGAAACTCGGTTGCCGAGCGACGGTCATGTTGGGCGGAGTCCTGAGTGGGCTTGGGATGGCTGCCAGTTCGTTTACCCAGTCCATCGGCGAGCTCTACATCACAGCTGGGGTTATTACAGGTCAGCAAGCATTCAGCTAAGTTATCATGCCCAGCTGACACCTGATGACCGTGGTTACACACAACCTGGCCGGAAAACAGCCGACGAGGCGTGGAGCAATTTAGCAGCTGAAGTGCCAGATAGTTTTCTCAAGAGATGTCGGACGCCAAACCTAGAAATTACAGATAAATACAGAAAAGTTAAGTTAGAGTTGGTGTTTTTTGCCCTCAAGTGGCCCAAAAAATCAAGCAACGCTGCTTTAAACAAAAAAAAAAAACATTTTAAACTGAAGAGAATTCCAGTTTATTATTATGACAAATTTTCATAGTTTTGGCTGTAACTAAATTTTATTTGCTAAAGTAATTGTTGAGATTTGGGAATAGGAACTACAACCAAATCCAACAGGGCAGGAAACAAAGTCAGACAATCACACACAAACAGTTTAACCAGATTGTCAAAACAACTTTGTTTGGAGGTAAAACTGAACATGAGTGCACATGAAATAAAAGTAATAATGCTTCAATATGACACATTTTATGTTCATTCACCTACGGTAAATACAGTAGGTCAAAACTGAAGTAGGAAGTCTTTTGGCAAATTGATAAAGATAAAGTAATATGTTCCTTTATTGATCTCAGAGTTAAGAAAACAGAATAAAATACAACAAAATAGATGTTTACAACAATACAACAGTTTTATAATTCTAGCATTCACCTTAGTTTTCTCTTTCAAATAAGTTTAGTGAACTGATTGTTGGAGTTTGTTTCCAGATCTCAGCAAATAACTTTTTTAATAACACAATTTTATAATTTTAGATAGAAATCATAGACTGCAAAAATAAGACCCAAGTTATGATAAACTAGACCTTTAAAGTAGATTGTTGTTGTTCAGAATATGTTTAGTCCTGATATAACACATCCATACACGCTGCACATTCTCTGCATACGTTTTTAAATCAATAAACACACTGTTGTCCCTGATCTTCTTTCATCGTTCCAGGTCTTGGTTTCTGCTTCAGCTTCCAACCCGCTGTTACGATCCTCGGGCACTACTTTGTGCGCCGCCGTGCGTTTGCCAACGCCATGTCCTCCACAGGCACAGCGCTGGGACTGTGCACTCTGCCCGTCCTGGGCAACTACCTCCACACAGAGCTGGGCTGGAGGGGCAGTTTCCTCGTTTTGGGGGCTGTCCTGCTTAACTGCTGCGTATGTGGCGCAGTGATGAGGCCCCTCCAGCCCCCAAAGCATCGAGGCCAGCCCCTGATGAACCACGGACCCCCTCCGCCAGAGGAGGAAGGCGTTAAGAAGAAAAAAAGCTGGCCAAGAACGATATGGAGCTTCCTGGTGGCGTCCATGAGGAAACACATGGCCTTCGATCAGTTTCTCAACAACTCACGTTACTGTGTGTACTCTATAGGCATCACCTGGATGATGCTTGGGTTTGTGGTTCCCTTGGTGTATCTGGTTCCCTACGCCACAGCAAACAACATGGAGCAGGGCCGCGCCGCGCTGCTGCTCTCCATCCTGGGCATCGTCAACATCGTGGTGCGGCCACCGTTTGGCATCATCTTCAACATGCCCTGGTTCAAAGGGCGACACATCTATGTATTCTCCTCAGCTCTGCTGGTCAACGGGCTCAGTAACAGTATCTGCTGCATCGGGCCCAGCTTTAACGTACTCATCAGTTACGTGGTCGTCTACGGGCTGTCCATGAGCGTGGTGGGCTCGCTGATGTTCACCGTCCTCATGGATATAGTGGAGATGAGCCGCTTTCCCTCAGCTCTGGGCCTGCTCGCTATCATGGAGAGCATCACGCTGCTCATTGGGCCTCCACTGGCAGGTAACATGAGAGAGAGAGTGGCGAGATGGAGAGGACAGATATGGTGGGAATGTAGGAACCACTCGCATTATTATCCACAAAATCTAGTTTCACAGGGTTCAGGCAGGTTGACAGTTTATTCAGGTGCTCCGGGGGAAGAACTGGTTCTTTGGTTGAGTGAAAAAACATAAAGTTCTTATTTTCAGGTGATTATATGCTAATAAAATAACTGCTAATAGATCCTCCTAAATGTTTCACACTGGACCTTTAAAACTTTATTTTTATTGTGTTCTTTTGTGTTTATTTGAGTGTTTTTCAGCTCTGAGCCGCTTTGTAGGTTTAATATCTAGATTAATGTTTTATGAGTGGATTTAATTAGCCACTTTTCCAGTGTGCATAATCAAAACTGGCTTTGGATTCGTATGTTGTATGGAACTGGGACACAGCTGAAGAGCAGCTTGCTCTCCTGATTCACAACCCGAACCTTTCACCATCCATCGGGGGCAGAGGTAGACATGGCCTGATTTTAAAGGGCGTGTCCTCTAGATTTTGATCACCTCTTGCTGATAGCATCTGACTGGTATTTACTGTGTGCTCTGAAAAACAATTAAATTAAACGTCCAGAGCAGCTCTGCCTCTGATAAATATTAACACTTTGTATCAGACCGTTAGGAGTGACCTTGGAGCTCAGTCCACTTTCTTGCTGCGATCTTTTCTGCTTTAAATCAGAAAAAAGTATTTTGAAATAGATTCAAAAACACTAGAAAAGTTATATTGTGCACTCTGTGGTTTGCTTCGGTGCACACGTTTCTGCTCGTGTGTTAATGTGAATGGCAGAAATACAGGAATAGAAGGGGCGGCCCCTCCTGCCGCAGGCTGTTGCTGTAAATAACAAAATGTTCTCAGTCAATTTGGCTGCTACACATAGTACAAAAGACACGAGTCAGCAGTAGTGAGAGAAGTATTTAGGTCTTTTATTCAAGTAAAAGTACTAATACCACACAGAAAATACTCCAATACAAGTAAAAGTCCTGCATTCAGACTCTTTAAAGTAAAATTTAAAGTGCTCATGGTTCAGTAAAATGGTCCCTGTCAGTGTTTTACTGTTACTGTAATACTCAAGTAAATCAGAAGTACCTCAGACTCATAAGTGCAGCACTCGTAGTAAATGTACTTAGTTACATTGCACCACAGCAAGTGTGTGTTCATTGGCGGCCGAGCTGGGAAAGGGCAGAGGCTCTCCGCTGTCTCAGATGACAGTTATGCTTCCCCTGTTTATCTGCTGCTTATATAGCCGGGCAGACACAAGTCACAACAGAATCACTTTACACACGCACGGTCTGCTCTTCCATGTGGTTGCACTCATCTGAAACGAGTCAACAAAGAGCACACTCTTATACTTTATTTATCTTATTTTAAGGGTCTGTAAATTCCTTTTAATTCCCTTTGGTATTAATTATAATGTAAAACAAGGTTGGAAACAGTGGAACAGTGTGTTGTCGTTTAAAGCAGACACATTTTATGGAAAGCTCCATTTAAATTATATTTCTTATACGTGTATGTTGTTCAGTTGACCTAAAAAGACATTTAATGTCAGTGATATAATTTTTTTGGCATCTGATGCTTTGAATTGAAGGAATGTCTCTTTGCAACCCTTCATCATTGATTGCATGTCTCCACCGGCTGTGACAGGTTCAACCAAAGAGTTATTTTTTCCACCGCTTGCTTTCTTTGAATACGTTTAACGGCTGAAATTATCCAGTAATTTACAAAAACAGCAAAATTCAGAAGTTGAGAGTTTTAAGAAAGAAAAGTTTTTCTTCTGCTTTCCTATCCTGTTCTGACCATCTCTTTGTTTGGGAACCACTGCTCTGTGTGTCTGTGAAAGACAGTTTTATTACCAGTAATTATCACTGTCTCAGAAGGGTCTAAAAAATGCCTGGCCACCCCAGATTGCTGTCAAATTGTTGTGTTAATGATAAAAAACTGAATTAATTTAATGATCCACGTTTTGGACAGTCGCTCCAGGAGGTTGCGATAAAAAACAAATAACGCAAATTCAACCACAGGTTTTGACCAATCATTGCAGCTTCCAAAATGTTTTAATGAGTTATAAAACAAAAAAAAAACATGTCTATTTTTGCTATTTTCACTTTCTCCTGCAACTTTATTGCAAAAAAAAAAAAGCCTAAAACATCATCATCATTAGCGTGCATCACGATTTTTTGAAAATCTGCTGTGAAATCACAAATATTAGGCTGCAACAATCCTGTAAAACCCTGGAGGGACTGTTTAGACTCAGTGTCAGGCTTAAGTTCAGTGAAAAAGAATGCATTTGGAACAATATCTGAAGATGTGGAAATGTCTAACATTACCTTTAGATAATTCTGTTCTATGCTTTAGTAATGCGCCAGATTAACGTAATTATTTGAGTTAAAATGTCTTTATTTGGGGGGTTTTCAAACAAATATTGATATACAGACTGTTTGCAATTAAATCAGCATATATTTCTGTCTCCATGCCACCCTGTGAATATTCTTCTAGATCCACCCCTTTCTTATTAATTTACAGTTGTTGATTTCTAGGAAATAAGAATATAGTTCAAATAAAATGTTCAAAATACCGACATTGCTGATGTTTTCTCTTTTTGTTGTAGGAGTCCTGGTGGACAGGACAGGCCAGTACTATCACGTCTTCTTTGCCTGCAGTGCCGTCGTTGCCTCGTCCGCCGTGTTCCTCATTGTGTCTTTTTACTGGCTGGACAAAAGGGACAGGAAGTGGTCACAGCAGGGTCAACCATCCGCACTGCCTGAACCAGCGAGACCTGCTCTGGACATAGTTCCCGGCTGTCAGTACAGCAGCGTGCCCACAGAGGGAGACAGAGACAAGGCCTCGGCTAATGGGGCGGAGTATATCACCAGCGTCTGAACCCTGCGTACACTGTGTGTCGCCCTCAGCACGCTTCACACTCTGGGTCAGACTGTCCTGCAGATTAATTTGTAATGTTTGTGCCAGATGTTGCAAAGCTTGCTTTTCTGTGGTTGAACGTCATCTCGACCTGACCCGGTTTGAATCTGGTACGCCATAAAAGTCTAAACAAACACTATGAATGATTTGCACTGTTTGACCACGGTTGGACACTTAATCTTACGTACCAAAATTAACAGATGTGCACTTACAACTACAATGTGATTGTACTGTTTCTTGTAAAAATGCTGCTGATCTTATATATGTGATCACACAATCTATCATACAAGCCAAGAGACACACATGATTCTTTGTTTGTAGAAATCACTCAAGATGCTTTCAGGATGTTTGCTGGAGTTTATTGGTGAATTAGAATATGAGCTTACAGACACAAAGAGTGGCTCTGAGCAGGTATCCGAGAGTGATACAGTAGCCAGAGTGGTTGAAGTCAAAATAACAAGCAAATTTTGTGTTAATATGAATGGGTGAAATAAACGGGTGAGGAAATGGGTGAGAAAAAAGCAAGTAGAAGAGTTAAAGGACCAGTGTGTAGGATTTAGTGACATCTAGTGGTGAAGTTACAGATTGCAACCATTTGAGTACAGCTCAGCCTTACGAGCACGTAACGATTGTCTGTTCTGGGCTACTGTAGATAATGGTGATCATACACTAATAAAGACACATTATATTCCAGTTCTGCCAATAGATCCTCTTAAAAGTTGCACACTGGAACTTTAAACTAAGGATAATGTTCTTATTCTATTTTTTTTATTGCCAACAAATCTAAAAAAAAAAGACCAAAACCATCAATGAGTTTGCGTTTTAAGTTCCCATCATGCAAAGTGCAGACGGCAGACCACACATGGCAGCTTCCCTTCTGGTCTAAACTGATAATCAGACTGAATCTCTTTTTTGTTTCACTTCATTCTTCAGACGGATATTTACAGTCACTAATTTTCATGACTGTAGCTGTGAAGAAAGATGATCTTTAATCCCGCTCAAAGAAATAAAGAAATATCGGTCATTGGACACAACACCAGACCGATATGAAGTGATTCAGAGGTCTGGAACCAGGCTTAATAATCGCCGCCTGAAGGCACTCTTAATTCTTGTTTACACTGGCGCAGCTCCAAAACCAGGCCGGCACACAGCTCAGCAGCTCGTGCCGTTTGTACATAAACAAAATACCGACTAATAAACTAATGTTTCAGAAGGGTTTTTAGTGGCTGAATCCAAATGTTAAAGGTACCGTCTGTGCAAACACTTTACACATCCACACTATGTGCTGCTGTTTGATTGTCAGCAGATTGAGTTTCAGTTGCTGCCTGTGGTCTATTTAGGGGAGTTGTAACACGAAGTGACGCACTGGCAGCCGTTGAGTTACAACTTTTTTGAGACTAAATACAAGCACTTACATTTGGGTGCTTGCCAATATGAGTACTTAATAATTCCATTACAGTTCTAACAGTGACTTCCCCAGTGAATTTCAGACTGTAACAAATTAAACGTTGTGCTAATGTTGTTGTAAAGTTTAGTTAAAATATCAAACTGCTGACATTGCTTCTCCTCCGGCTACCTGCTCAACTAACGAGAGCTTACGTAACGTCTCGCTGCCGTAAAGGTGCAGCATTGGAGTAGCATCGGACACTGGTTTCAGTACCAGTGCATCCCTATTATGCTTTAGGGCTCCAGGGTGTCTTTCAATACTTTATGACTTCTCAAACCTGTCTGTGACACTCAGTCCCGAACCCAGTGGTTCCTACTGAAGACCTAAATCTTTAAAAACAGCTCATAAATATGTAATAATAGTGTATTATTTAGGGACTATTTTCAGCTGCGGATTAATCCACATTTGCTGCTCTAGTGAGTATTTACGGCCTGTTTCAGTACTTTCAAAATAAAGTGTGTTTGTAGTAAAGAAGAAAGTTTTTTTTTAGAGCTCTATGGCAGAGGAAGAACATATATTCGGCTTTATATACATTCATTGTTGGTTTTGGTCTTTTTATGGGATTTATTGAGAGTAAGAAAAATCACTGGAATTATTCTTTAAATAATCAATTTTACATCTTCCTCGTCTTTAACTGTCAATAACTTGTGAAGGCATTAAACACCAACACGCTGAGCATATTTCACCCACGTTATTGAGTGTGGGTCGCTTTAGATCATTGAAGGAATATATATTGTTCTTCACTCACTGTCACATGTGAGAAAACTTTCTGTAGCAGCAGTAATGAATCATGTTTTTGTGTTTTCGCCAGCTTTTCACTCCTTAATGGAACAGTGCCTTTTTATATATAGATATAGGATATATATAAATATATATATGTATATAAGTGGTGTGTTTCTACACACAACCACAGGATGAATATCACACGTTGAATGTCAGCTTAAAAACTAAAACAATCATTTCACGAGAGGAGCAGACTGGAGGAGTCTCACAGTTTTATGACACTGAGTTTACCTTCATGTGACAGACTTCAGATCAGTGAGACTATAATCGCACCACCTGCACAGGTTTGAACAAAGCTATTTTATGTCTGTCACATGTGACTGAAAGATTAAATACACGTTTCAGGTATGAGCTGTATTGCAGTAATTGAAAGTGTAACCAGCGATCAGAGGATTTATTAGTAATTTTTTTAAAGGCTTGTCTTGCTTTGGGCCAAATTATACCTTATTATAGATTCTTTATTTATACATGATGATCAGGAGGAAAAATAATAAAATGAGTTTTAAAGTTGTCTTTGTTGTGAATTTGTGTGAGTGTGAGTCCAAACATTTCTTTCATGCACTAACAAAGCATCAAACTGCAACCACAGTGGTATTTACCCTCTCATGCTAATTAAAAAACTACAATTATTGATGTAAAAGCAATATTACTAACTGTGGAAAGCTGGAAATTACTGTAGTTTATGGTCATTTAATAGCACATTTATATGAATATGTGAACAGAATGATAAAGGCCTTTTAGGGCACTGGTTCCCAACATTTCCCTTAAAGGATGCCCTTTTCCATCATTAAGTAAACTGACTTAATTACATATTTTATTTATATTTCATATTATATTCAATGTGTAACAATAACAGAACAGAACAACTAATAAATTGAACAATGAACCCAAATAATGAATGAAGTAACTGCAGGAAGTTTGTGTAAAACAAGAGATTTGGATGAATTTTGAGCAGATTATTTGCTGTGAATATTGATCAGAGATTAGTTTTCCTGATATTTTTAGCAACTTTTAACATCTTAAATGTATGGAAGCAGATTTATGTTCAACATTTTGACCTTTAAAATAAAAAATGTATTTTAACATTGTCCGGTGGCACACTAAAAATACAAAGGCTATAACATTACTCCAAAGTAAAAGTAAAAGCCAGATGAAAAAGATAATTTATTTTGGTCTTTTTATATGTATATATAAGCACAATATTATATTCGTGCTTTTATTTTTAAGTATCTGATTTTTCCTTTTTATATGAAAATTGTTGTTTTTTTCCTTGCAGAATTCCACATCCACAAATCTAAATTTAACAATTATAAACCATCTTTTTCGCTTTTTATTACTAACTAATTTAATTATAATTTTACTAAAAAAAATAGGAAAGCAAACTTTATTGACCTTCTGTGTTCATGTATTGTCTGTCTGATATAAACTGGCGCCATCCTGTGGCCGTGGAGAGAAACAACGGGCTGCAGTTTGAGTGTAAAAGGATCAAATGAGCCGTTTGTTTAATATCTATCATACTTACAACAGATTAAACGAGTAAACGACCTGAACCGAGTGCAGTGTTGTTTAAAGGATGTGTTTGATTCCGGTTTCAGACGTCAGAGCCGTTACGCCCAACGACGCGTCACCAACTGAAAGTGAAAGTGAAAGTAAAACATCGCCAGCTTTGAGCTAACCGTGGACTTTCTGTAAGGGGTGGAAACTCAGGGTAAGACATCCAAATTACACACTGAAAACCTCAACTGCACATACATATTAATGTACCACAGGTTTATTCAGAGTAACGGGAACCTGTAACCGACCTGTAACGGACTGACGACGTGTTACAGACGTTATTAATCGGGGGCTAGCCGCTAGCTTCAGTGACTTGAGCAATAAGTTGGCTGTGAAGTTAAAATAGTTCATTAAAAAATACTTTAATATGTTGTTATTGTACTGGTATTAACGTGGAAAACGTCAGCTGACAGTATTATATTATAATCTGATTCATATTGCTTTGTTTATTTGCGTACAGCTGTGGAAAGTAACTAAGTACATTTACTCTAGTATTGTACTTTACTCAGTTATTCCAGTTTTATACGACTGTATTGAATATTTTCTTAATTAGGTTTTAAAAAACAGCAGTGGTGGGTCCACTTCCTATGAATGAATGTACATTATCCCGTTATTAATTAATAATAATAATAAAAAATAAGCTTTTACGTCAATGAGAATAGGGACACCACGATGTAGAAATACTCTAAAACAAGTAAAAGTACAGAAATGTTGGCACATTTCAGAATATATTATTGGATTATAAGTATTCAGTAGTGGAATGTAACTAAGTACTGTACTTAAATACAATTTAGAGGTACTTTATACAAATATTCTATTTTTAATCCACTATTTTTATTTGATAACTTAAATTGGAATTTGCAGAACTTTTTATTCTTTATTTAGAGTTATTAGAAAACATACAGATATATATATATATATATAAACATTTGAATGTAATACGAACATAACAACATCCATACAATAGAAATACTTGAGTAAAGTCCCTCCAACGTGTACCATCAGAGTTAAACTGTCTAACAGGAATATTTGTTGTTCCAGGATCAGATTCGACCTCCTGCATCCGACCGTCCACCAGAGGAAGATGAACGAAGTGGCAGCATGTGGATGTTTCATTCTTCTGTTCGACGTGGTGCTGGGTTCGGCCCAGTGGGCCCTACTGGTGCTGCTGGGCTGCTCCAGTTGTGGCGGACTGGAAGGCGTGTGGGCCTTTGGGGCAGCGAAGTGGGCCATTCTCCATCTGTTCACCTCCAAGCTGACGGACGGAAAGCCCCCGGCTGTGCTCTGCAGGTTGGTAGCGCTCCTCGGCCTCCTCTCTCCTGCGTTTGAAAGTGGACGCTTCCTCACGGCGCCCCCCTCAGAGCCTTACACGGGACCCAATCCCGACCTCAACGTTCTGCTCCTGGGCCCGATGTCCTCGTCACTGGCCTGTGTGGTTTGGGAAAAGGGCCTCAGCGGTCAAAGAAAGACGAGGAAGGTCGACCCTAAGCTGGATGCGAAGCGGTTGCTCGTGAGGATGCTGAAATACTTCAAACCAGACACATTTTACCTTATCGCAGCTTTCAGCTTCCTCATCTTAGGCGTCGTCTGTAAGTGTGAAACATTACCAATCGACAGTACACAGTATATTTTATATAGTCTGCATATACCGTAATCCTGATTAGCTCCATACTGTATCTACTGAATCAGAAGAAACCTTTTAGAGTCTGAGGTTGTATTCTAAATATTTCTTGATGTCAACAAATCCCATGAAAAGACTAAAACCAACAGTGTGTTAGTCTGTTTCTAAACTCTCTCTTACTACCCCACTCCGTCCGTCACACTCAAACCCTCAAAGTTCTTAGTGAAGGGTCACAAATATATAGTTTAATATGTCAAAAAAAAAGGCTCAGTAATTTCCTTAAAACAGTTTTTATGAAACGCTACTCAAAGTGGAGTAAATAGTGCATTTGTTGGGGACTTCATCAGTGGATAAATCCACATTCGGTGCTGTATTTACAGGAACATGAACACTGACTTGGTGAGTGGCTCAGACTTTGTGCAGCTTAATGAATATAAAACCTTTTATCAGATTATTGTCACATTTCTGTCAGCTCAGGAACATTTATAAGATCAAAGCATTCCTGTCTGCAGAAACCTTGAGAACTGTGCAGCTATTACGTCCACACACACACTGTTACAGCTCTCTAATGGTGGTCAACCAATGTGGGTTCTTCAGTGGCTGATATTTAGAGAGCAGGACGACTGATTGCTGATATAAAAACAACGAAAAGTCATATATAATTCTATTATTCCATCCACATTACAATCTAATATACTTGGTTATTTATAGATGGATTTTCTATTAATTAGTGAAACAGAAATATACATAAGGTTTCTGGTATTTAAGTCATTCAACTGCATTATTAACATTTTTATGTATATATATATATATATATATATATGGGAACCAACCTTTTCACCACCTCTCACCCACAGGAGGGGGCGCTAACATCGTTCCACAGCAGCCACACTGAGAAACTGCCTGCAGACATTTTTTTGTTCTATCTCAACAGGCCAGATAATCTGTCTATCTATTCTTATTGCCCCAACAAGAAGGCCATTGGTTCTTACTGAAAGCTCACAAATATAGGATTTCCTATTTAAAAGGGCTGGTCCTCTAGTGAATGTTTGTGGCAGCAGCACGGTGTATGTGTGTGTGTGATTGATGGTAATAAAGGACCCGGTGCAGCAGTGCGGCTCATTGAAGAAAGATACATCAGGCTTTAGATACACACAATACTTTTTAATAGGACACGTTCATTGTTGGTTTTGGTGTTTTTTTTATGGGATATGCTGAAAATAAGAGAAATATAGAAGATCATTGTATATAACATTTCATTCCTCTGTCCTAACAGGTGATACGTTTATTCCACTGTACCAGGGGAAGGTTATTGATATGCTAAGAGGTCAAGTGCTTCAATCCGGCTTCTTTTATGCGATCGGACAGCTGACACTTGTCTCTCTCGGAAGGTAATGAAACTGTTTGCATATCCTCTTGTCCTTTTGTGATTTCACTAACAACACAATTACCTAAAAAAAAAAAAAAAAAGATGAAATGTCTCCATCTCAACAGCGCTCTGTTCTCTGGCTTACGAGGAGGCATATTTATGTGCACCCTGGCCAGACTGAACAAGAGACTGAAGCATCTGCTGTTTCACACCCTCCTGCAACAGGAAGTGCACTTCTTTGAACAGAACAGCTCTGGTGAGGAGAAAACTGTAAACACACTTCACATCTGTTATTGTGGGGCATATCTTTGTGGACACCACACTTTTTCTACATAGTCAAGTCGGTTTGTTTTCGATAGCTCTTTTAAAAACAACAGGAGCTGAGCCAGTGCTTTCCAGTCGAGGCAGATGGAAAGAACATTTCACTCACGCATTAATCTGCTGCTGTAACAGCCTCCACTGCTCTGATATTACAGCCTGGCTGCAGGAATTTGCTCCCATTCAGACAGGAGAGCATTAGTGAGGTCCAGCACTGATATTTGGCGCTAACATCTGGCTCACAGTTCGTGTTCCAGCTCATCACAGAGGTGTTGATGGAGCTCTGTGTCTCACCAAACTGGGAAAAACTTGTATTTATGGACCTGAATTTGAAACAAGAAAGGATCAAACACTGTTAGAAGCACAATACGGTCTAAAATATGATTGTATTTGGACACAGGTGTGATTATGTTTACCCTGTTCACCATCTTCGTTTAGTGTGTTAGCACACTATCATTTGTTAATTAGCACTAGACCTTCGTGTCATTAGTTTTGCAGGTATTTGAGCTCAATATTTGTATTTCTTTACCTGATGATGGTGCTAGAGGAGCAGTTACAGGATCATCTTGAGGGGGACATGAATGTGTCACACTAGTAAGTGGTCAAACTGTCCATTGGAGAGGTGTCCTTATTCACTAAAAGACAGAACAGTCCACAGAAGCTCTTAGCTGACCCATAAAGTTTATGACCTAAAGTTATTGGTTACAACTTTATAACCCATTTCAAATGGGAGCCCTTCTAGAAAGTGGAACCAATTTGACTTTTCCTCCATAATCTGAAACAAACATCTGTCTTTTCTCCCTTTCACCACTCAGGAAGTCTTTCCTCGCGCCTGCACTCTGACGTGGACAGGATGGGCCGCACGGTGGCGCTGAACGCCAACGCGATGGTTCGCAGCACGGTCAAAACCGGCCTCATGCTCGTGGTGATGTTAAAACTGTCCTGGGAGCTCACCCTGCTCACCTGCATAGAAATGCCTCTTTTGGCCATCTTGCAGAACAAATACATCACTGTGTCCAAGGTAGGTGTGAATATCCAACAGAAGTTCTGTTCAAACATCACAGTGTTACTTTAAATATTTATGAATATATATCAAAGGAGGCTTTCTCCTTCCCACCTCCCAAGATCAAGAAGCAAACAAGGATTCAGCCTTTACAAAATTGAATACTCACCAAATATAAAGCCTCGCAAAAACAAAAATGCTCCCTCTTCCTACAAATCCCAGAGCTGCTTCATGTCACATCACACAGTTTTATGTTTTCTTTTTAAAAGTAGCATAAAGGGAACTATATCTACATTTAATTCTACAACCTTGAGTTGTAAATTACAATAAAATGACCTTGAATTTTGATAGTATTTACAACATATACAACCATACTGGCTGCCTGGAAGCAGAGAGAGGAAAGTGTGCTGCAGGTTGGTGGAAGCCGACCCACCACGAACACAATAACACAACATCCTTCACATTATTTTCTTCTCTTATGTCAAATTTAAAAATAAAAAATGCAAATCCTGTAATAACACAGAGCTCAGCAGCTGTTACAGAGTTATTACACCATGATTCAGTAAGCTTTAAACATAGAAGCATCATACAGTAAATCACAGCTGAGCTCACAACACCAGTGAGAGGAGCTCCAACGCTAAAAGTTACTGATTTTGTCATTTTTAGAAACAACATTCAGTCTGTTCTTGTGCAGCTTCTTGTTTCTGAATCAGTGTGTATTCTTTGTCTAACAGGAGCTGAAAGATCAGATCCAGGACTGTCAGGCTAAGAACAAAGACCTGGCCTCCCAGACGATCAGCGGGATTCGTACGGTCCGCAGCTTCAAAGCAGAGACGGATGAACTGAAGAGGTATAACGAGGCTCTGGAGCAGATGTGCGCTATTAAGAGACGTTCAGGAATCTACAGTGCAGTCTTCGGCTTAACACGGAGGGTAAGATGGCAGACGAGCACATCCATGGATGGATTTATCCAGGAAGCAAGACAACATGTTGGGCTTTCAAATCATTATATGGTCATCTGTATCGAGGCTCACTTCCACCAGGAGAAGAAAATATGAAAAATTTGGGAAGAAAGAAGTAGAAATATGGACCATCATTAAATACTATTATGAGATAATAAATTAAAATATAGATTTTTTTTAATGTTTTAAATCAAAATGATTAGATATGAACTCAAAATCTAAGTTTTCAATGTGGAAATGATTAAAGACATCAATGTTTTTGACTTACAAGGTTGAAAATATGATATACTTAGTCATAAATAACAAGTCAGAATTTTTACATTTTAAGTCATAATTCTGAAATAGTAAAGCAAAATTTGACTTCAATTAGATATGACATTATAATTTTTAGATGTATTTATTATAAAATAATAATTTGAACAAGACACATTTTTTTTATTTAATTAATATTATATTTGTAAACTTTTTTAAACTTTTCATCAATTTTTTTTTCTGTACACATGACCTGCTCCATTGATGCTAAAAAACCTTTAAGTTTGGCCCTTTTGTTTTTTTAGGAGCCTGTGTAATCTGTGAGTAATTCCTCTCTATGTACTTTGTCTATTTAGCTGGTGAGTCTGGGGATTAAGGTATTAATGCTGGTGCAGGCCCGCAGTCTCATCTCGTCAGATCAACTCAGCATCGGTAGTCTCGTGACCTTTATATTGTACCAGAAGCCCATGTCCAACAATTTAAGGGTGAGCTGGGATACAAATATTTTACACTGCACTCGAGTTGTAAAATACATAATAACTGTTGTTGATAAAGATTGTTTGATTTTTGAAACAGGAGATTTTGTATTGCGTTGGAGAGACGATGTCCACAGTCGGAGTCATCGCCAAGGTGTTCGGTTATCTCGACCGAACGCCGCAGTGTAAGAAGGACGGCGAGTTGGCTCCGGAGAAGCTGCGGGGAAGAATAGTTTTCCAAAATGTCAGCTTCACATATCCCTCATCTCCTCCAGATAAACCAGCACTGAAGGTTTGACCCTGTAGTGTCACCGTGTGTTTAGAGTGGTTAAACATTAAACAAGCCACTAATTCATCTTTATATCATTAACATGTTCTGCACAGTCGGTTTCTTTGGAGCTTCAGCCGGGGAAGATGACCGCACTGGTGGGTCCGTCGGGAGGGGGGAAGACTTCCTGTGTCAGCCTCCTGAAGAGACTCTACGAACCCCAACAGGGAGAGATCCTGCTGGACGGAGAGCCGCTGCACCATTACCAACACAAATACTTCCATCAAAAGGTACAGTAGGCAACTTCATCATCATCATCATCATCCGTATCTATTAACAGCTGGCTCACAGGGAAACCAGTTGCATTCAATATTAAGACTGTTACAATACATCCAGGTAATTCAAACAGAGCCAGGCACTGATTGGTTGTTAACAGATCAATACCAAGGTCCATAAACAAATGTTTTGTCCACAACCCAAAGATATTCAGTTTACTGTCATAAAGGACGAAAGAAATCAGAACATATTCACATTTAAGAAGCTGAAATCAGAGAATTTGGACTTTTTTTCTTTATAAAATGACAAATTATTATCAAGATAGTTTGTAATTAATTTAATAGTTGACAGCTTTACTCAAAACCACAAATGTCAACCTCATGGTGGCGCTAGAGATGTTTGAGATATTTCAGTCTGTGGTGGACTGACTGACCAACCTGCGCTGCTAGCATGGCTAAAGGCAGCTGATTTAAGCTGTTTATCTGCTGTTAATATAAAACCAGCATGTATGAATGTTTCCCTGCTCTTCCGTTCTGCTGACGTCTGATCTGTTTATTCCAAACTCACATTTCTATCAGAGCTCTTTGGATTGAGGGGAGGTCAGAGTATGTTTTGTGGCTAATTTAGCTTCAGTTTTATTGTCCCCAAGGGGAAATTTCTCTTGGGCACAAAATCATAAACATCAGAAAATATCTTAAAACCTAAAAAAGGGCATTTTCCAGCACTGTACTAACACTGGTGTGTGTTTCAACCTCATTTATTTAGGTGGCCTTGGTATCCCAGAATCCTGTGCTGTTCTCTGGTTCACTGAGATACAACATTGAATACGGCCTGAAGGACTGCACCATTGAGACGGTGAAGGAAGCCGCAGAGAAGGTCAACGCAGACGATTTAATCTCTGAACTGGAGAGCGAATATGACACAGGTAGAGACGTGGGGATGAGCTTGTGCCACACACACACACACACACACACACACAGTACAAATAGGTTATCATTAAGTTCTGAATGCCACAAATACAGTTTTCCTTTGTTATTGAATCCTATTCCAGGTCAGCAGTTTAGGGTGAAATGAACTGTTGAATTCCATCATTTTATTGTCTATTTAATGTCAGTAAGGTATTCCTGTTCTTTATATAGTCTGTTTGATGCAGGAATAGTATGCTTATGTTTTGTTTTTACACTACACTATGAGTGCAGACAGTACTGACTTTACACTGAAATAAAAAGTTAAAACTGATATTGTAACGAAAACAGCTGCTGAAAGTCGGTAAAATATACACTAGAAATTATGTGGAAAAGATAAAGTAACAAGTCAGCTTTTGGAGAGAGGTGCACAGTGTAATGGAAACTGTAACAAGACTGTAATATGAGAATAATAGAGTTAAATATTAACTTTTAACAGACAGCGTGATGGCTGATGTGACGTGACAAGAGGAGAGTTGTTTACAGCTCGAGGTGTCCGGCTGGTGATCAAAGGCCACCACGGCAGACAGAAACCGTTCTTGTGTTGGGATATTTCAGTAATGATTGATTCAAACAGTTGATCAATGGCTGGGATGCTTGTGTGTATTATTTAAATAATCTATGTACCCGTGGTTCGCCGTTACAGATGTAGGCGAATGTGGTGGCCAGCTCTCAGCTGGACAGAAGCAGCGCATCGCCATCATCAGAGCTCTGGTTCGAGATCCGCAGGTCATCATACTGGACGAGGCTACCAGCAAACTGGATGTCGAAGTGCAGCATGCTGTAAGTAAAAAACGTGGTCGCAGCTTTTATTTACCACCAACGAGAAACCCCCCTTCAGGTCTCCCTTTCAGAGCCACTTCCCTTATAGAGGTTCAGTTTTATTTGTTATCTCAGGACACTCAAGCAGGTCTAGAGCGTACTGCTTATAAAATGATTTACAGAGACCCAATAGTTTCCACCATGAGCACTTGGCGACTAGTAGAAGTTAAATAAAGCCAATAGTGGACTAGTCGTACCAGGTTCTTGATATTAACTGAGTGTTCTGACCCCTTTCTATCAGAACCAATATTAAGTGTTTCAGCAGTTTGAGCTACAGTAGCTCGTCTGTTGGATCGGACCACGCGGGTCAGCCTTCACTCCCAACGTGCATCAATGAGCCTTGGCCCCCCCATGACGCTGTCTCTGGTTCTGTTCCTTCATTGGACCACTTTTGATAGGTACTGACCACTGCAGACCGGGAACACCCCACAAGAGCTGCAGGTTTGGAGATGCTCTGACTCAGTCGTCCATCACAATGTGGTTCTTGTCAAAGTCGCTCAGATCCTCACGCTGCCCATTTTTCCTGCTTCTAACACATCAACTCTGTTCACTGTCTGCCTGATATACCCCCCCACTGACAGGAGCCCTGATAACCAGATAATCAGTGTTATTCACTGTCAGTGCTCACTGTGTTAGGGCTGATCGGTGTATTTATAACAGCTGTCTGTTAAATGATAACAGAAAAACTGGTAATGATTGTGAATGTGTCAGAACAACCAGCAAACTGACTTAACATTTTGTTCGTTTATTTTAACTCAGTGTAACATCACACTGGTCTCGTTGTTCCACAGAATAAATAACTTCCAACTTCACTAAAACAAATCCTGGCGAACTGATCGATACGATGGATGATGGATAACGTCAGAAAGAAAGAAATTAACTCTCTACAAACTGGCTCCCTTTTGCTCAGTTTCATTCCTCTCCAGGAGAGTGTGGCAACACAAACAGCCACCCTTGATTAAAGCGTCGGTGTGGCTGCAAGTTTTTGACTATATGAAAACAGTTCAGTTGATTGAATGAACCAAGTCAGGTGTGCTGCTGCATGGTTGGAATGAAAACCTGCAGCCCCACCGGCCCTTTCACGGATCAGTTTGACACCCCTGTTATAGACTAAACAATGAATCCATGAAACACGATTCTGATCACGGCTCTGAAGTAACTCTGTATTTCACTGTTGGGTTCAGGTGCTGCAGGAGGTTCTGTCTTGTGGTCGGACGGTCCTGGTGGTGGCTCACCAGCTGAAGACTGTGGAGAAGGCGGATCACATTATCTTCCTGGAGAAGGCCGAAGTCGTGGAGGAAGGGACGCACCAAGAACTCATGGCCAAGAGAGGACGCTACTATCGTTTGAAAGAGGAGCTGTTCTCTTAACTCAGCTGAGAAACGCTCAGTGAATGTAGTTGTGGACACAAAGCATCCAGTGAAGGAGGAGGAACGGTGAAGAAGTATTATTGTTTTATAATCTTTAAAGAACTTCCTTTTGCTTCAGGGGTCTAACCTAAGATAACCATCCCTCTAGTAGAGTGGAGACACCTGAAACTCCTGATAGTTCACGTGCCATGAAGGAGGGAAAACATGTACAGCAGCCTTTTAAACCATTTCTCTTTGTGCTCTCAGCAAAGGTTTTCTTTGGTCTCTCAACCAGGAGCAGATTCTGGTCTCTCCCAGCCTGCAGGAGTGGACGTGTAGACTTATATAACTTTTATAAATAAAGAACCATTATGTGCTTTTTATTGATGTTCTGTTTTAGAAATCAAACCTTTTTAAATGTTTGAAATTGTGTTTGTTTTTGCTGGATTCAGGAAGCTAAAACTGAACTAATCTCAGTTAAAACGTAACTAAACACTTCCATAGTCTGAACTCGGAGGCGATTGTGAAACCTTTGAAACACCAAACAGATATTTCGGTCCAATTTGAAGTCAATCACTGAGATTTGATGGTGATTTTCATATTTTTCTATAGTCATGATTTTGGTATTCTGGATGTTTAATTGAGTATTTACATCTTATGGAACTGAACTACATCTAAATATCGTACTTTTTACTCCATTACATTTGTCTGACAGCTTTTTCAGATTATTCCTGTCCAGTGAAAACTGTGTCTCTAAATTTGGGAATTTTGAATGTTTCTGATAAACTGAAGGTTCATTTATAGGTTGAGAAAATTCTCCTACTTCTTAAAATAGACTATTTAAAGAAACCCTCTTGGATTAGCTGGAAAATGTTTTTATTACAAAAACATAACGATCTTATAGAATATGATGCATTGCTGTAGATTAAACTACCCAACAGTATATAAAGTAGTTCAAATGAGCTCAACCTTAAACATCTACAGTAAAATACTGTACGCAGCACTGATATTAATCCACAAATATAATAGTAAAACTCTAAAAGGAACCATTTTATTGCCCTTTGAGTATGTTATACTGGTAATACTTGTACACTTTAACATAATCAGAATCACTTTTATTGGCCAGGTATGTGCACACATACACAGACTGAGCATAAATAAACAGGACTTAACAAAATAGACTTAAACTACTATGTACAGTTATACATATATATATAAACAATAACATTCGTAAACAGCAGACAAAAGTGTCCACAGAGGCTTTCTTATTTCAGTTTAGTTTATATTGTTTTCAAAAAGTTTAGTTTTATAGTTTTTATTAGTTTCAGTGGTAGTTTTAGTATTATGATATCATAATATTGGGGGTATGTGTCAGGGGTAAGAGTTCAGAATAGGTATTACAGTACAAACACATTGACTCACAGCCTCAATGTAATGCACCAATGCCTCCTCGTGCTTATGCTGACCAAATTTACTTTATATTTTCATTTTATTTTACTTAAAGTACACAGTAGGATTTTAGTTCCCTAGTTTTAGTTAAATATATTAACTTTGGTCTGGAGAGGATCTTTAACACTTTTTAAAGATAATATTTAAAGTCGATGTCAGATCTGTAGTTTCAGCATTAAAGGTATGGATGCATCTATTTCCTGGCTGCAGCATTAAAGGTATGGATGGATCTATTTGCTGAGGACTAACGGTGTGCTCCCTGCAGCTCGAGGCGCCCCCTGCAGGCCGTTTGCTGCTGCTGCTTGCACAGATCATTGCGTTCACACCAGCCGCGGATCAAGGTCCGAACGAGGAGCCTTTAGGGAACTCATGCAAACCTCTCTCCTGCGTAAGAGGAGTCCTTTCCTTGCTCTCTATCGGTGAGGATCTCTCCCCTCAGACCCAGAACAAGCTCTCAGTTTGCGGATCTTTGGCGTAGAGGGGCGCGGTGACCAGCAGCTGCACACAATGATCCCCAAGATTGCGCTGTGCTCGCAGTCTCTGCGGAACTACTGTGCTTTTTCCAGAGCTTTAAAAGTTGTGCAGACACCGTGGACACGTCATCCAGGACTACCTGCAGCAAGTCGGTGAGTCACAAACATTATTATAGTATTATTATTATTATTATTAAAGGGATAAACCAAGAGCAATGTAAAGACCAGGTTTTAAAAACAAATCCCATGTGCATGCAGATAAAGATTATTTTAAATTTACAATAAAGGAAGTTCCTCATATGTCAGAAACGATGTGTTCCTTATATAAATAAATAAATAAATAATGTTTGTCGGTAACTTTTTGTTTCCTTTTTTGATTATGTAACAGCGCCTGCAAGACAGATCCTATGATTGTGCTGACATTTAAAGTTATTTTTAATACTTCAAAACAAGTTCTCACATTTAGTCTTGCCTAATCTCAGCTCGGGCTTTTATATTAACAGCTTTGCTGAGTTGTTTCTGTGCGCAAACTGTTTGAATTATGTAAAAATATGTGAAAATATGTGAAAAAGCGCCGCTGTGGGCGGCGGAAGGAAGGGGGAGGAGACACCAGAGTGAAGCACAATGGAAATAAATGTATGTAAAAAATAGTGCTGAGTGTGGTTGGTGGCTGAGATTTAAAATGGATTGTGCAGATCAGATTATTGTATCTCTGCACTGTACCGATATGTTGAATCCGCTCTAAGTGCTGATTCAGGGTCAGTTTTATCTAACACAGTTACTGGAAAACAAACCATTGATTCCCATTAAAGTAACAGAATCACAGCTGCAGCTGTAGGTGGTGCAAAGTCCCTGAAAGTACATTAACTGCACTGCTCCTTTCCTTTAGTATATCCACTTTATGTTACTTATATTATTAGATATATTTATATCATTATGTATTATTCCAATAATTATACTATCGGTTATATATGATAATAATAATAATAATTTATTTTTAATTGTTTGATCTGCTTAATGTTGTACGGAAGCCAAAGTATGTTTTTACATATATTTTTTTATGAACTTTTCTAGAAATAAATAAATCAACAAATGAAATTATCCATTAACTTATCAGCCAAAAGAAACAGCTAATTACTAGTTATCCTATTGAAAAAAAATCCATAAAGAGCATCATTACTTTATTTTTCACTACATTTCAGAGTGAAATTTGTTTGATATAAAATACTTGAACACAAAACTGTACATTCAAGTATCTGGATGAGCGTTCTGGTTTAATTAAATACCTGTTTGTGGCCCATAGATGTAAAATTATCCATTATTTCTCATAAGAATTTGAGAAGTGTGTGATAATGATTTGTGTGTCAGAACTTAGTTTTCTATTCCTTCCTGATGATTTCAAGACTCCACTGATTTATCTGGCGTCCCTTTGAAGAGACCTGACCCTTATGTTGGGAACCACTGAACTAAACTGTATATAAAGTTGTTTAAATGACCAGCTAACAGCAGGAAAATGCTGCTTTCACATCTATATCAATATAATGTATCAGTCACAGGAGTCAGTTTTCTCCAGGATTTCTAATGCACTTTTTCCACCACTGCTTTCTAGTAAGTTTTTCTTTTGGCATTTGGCCTTTGTTTGACTCTTTACAGTAAAGATAATGTGACAGGAGACATGCAACTTAAGCTCTTCAGTCAAATTCCAATCGGGCGGGGAGTCGTAATCACGTGATCTCGGCTCCGAGAGGGACAGCTGCCCCGGGGGCCCCAAATTAGTTTAGGGGTGCCGCTAAATTAGACAGACAAAGCGCCTTAAGGGGGTTATTACTATTACCAAATCTAGAAGTCCTGTGTTTAGTCGATTTTGCTCTTATAGGGTACATCTCCCCAAATAAATGAGCTTAAAGACAGTGAAATAAAATATACATTCATACAAAGCTCTAATCCTTCTGTGTGTATGTCTCTATATTGATTGTCCAGTTATTTCTTGGTAGATGGTTCCAGATGCGTGTTTTCCTCGTGGTTAATGTTACAATCATATAGGTTTACATTACCACTTCTGAGAAATCATGTTTTATTCGCCTCTACTAGTCGTAGTTTACTTCTAACACAAGCTTGTATCTTCTACTTTTTTTTAATCATTCATCAATGAACCAGATATTTTCTAAAAGAGTTTCATGCTGATTCAAGCTGTAGAAGAGCTCCAACTGTCATGTAACTTTGTGTATGGGGAAAATGAATGGGACTGAATGGGACGACTCCTCCCATCAGAAACATGACATTATACTATATTATACTCTTGGTTATTAGTTAATTCAATTAATTAATTCAAATCAATATTTAACAAAAACAGTAGAGTAAAATTGCAGCCAGAGACTATAAAGGCATCATAAAGATACACAGGGTTGCAGCTCTGTTTCACTGTATTCTGCAGCACAATGTTTCCCTGCATCGTTGCTCTCTTCTGTGTTAAAGGTGAAATGACCACCTCTAAACCTTTTTTATCATTTCACTTATCAGTTCAACAAACAAACTATTAGGTCATATTACACTTTGTAACAGCCAATCTGCTGAGTAGTGCCTGATGGGTTTTTTAGTAGAGATTAAAAGGGAATCACTGAGGTTGGTCAGGTTGTTCCAGAGTTCGAGGATCTTGGCAGATGAAAACAAAATCTTTGTTTTAAATCTAGATTAGCAGACTACTATTAGAGGTAAATACAGTTACAGTAACCACTGGTGGAAAGGTCAGAGAAATTAAAGTAGATAAAAACAGTCCTGTACTACTAATAACCAAAAGTAAGACTGGAATTAATAACTACTAAAATTCTCACTCCAGGTTCCAGATTATTTTATTGAATTACTTTATTGACCGATTTTTCCTCATTTAGTTGGAAGAAGATAATAAACTAGAGCTGCGACTAATGATTATCTCATTGTTGAATGATCTGTGGATCATTTTAATAAATATATTAGTTGTTTAGTCTATAAAATGTCAGAAAATAGTGAAAAATTTAACAGTCCAAAGGTGTTAAATTGCAAACGTAGAAGAAAACCAGTGAATATTCACAATAAAGAAGCTGGAACCAGTGAAAGTGTTTATCAACACAGTTGCCAGTCGACCTGACTTACTACTCAAATAATTTTTAAGTCTACATCCAACATTTTATGTCAGTCAGACCATTCTTTATAGAGTAATTTAACAGCCTATGAAAACCTTGTTTTTGCTACCCTTCAATGGTTTAACTTCTAACATTGCTGCAGTGATGTCCAGGACACAGTGACATCACCGTTGGGTGTGGTTACTGGAGCAACAAAACACATTTCTGACAGGTCCTTTAAACTTTCAACCAGAAAGGTTTGCCGGTGGTTCTTGAACTGACATATACATAAAGTTCTGTGTCATCAGCATAGCAGTAAATAGAAATGTTATTATTTTGTATTATTTGGCCAAGTGAAAGCATGTAAAATGGAAATTTTAAGGGGACCTAGGACCTTGGGGTACTCCACAGTTCAAAGGGGCAGTGCAGTTTAATATTCCTATTAGAATTAGTTTCATGTGATTGTTTATAATGTTACTTCTTTCCTTGCATAGTGTTTATTATGATTTCTCTCCCATTTCTCCTGCAGTGGCATTCATGTGGACTCTCCGCCCACAATCCCAACGCTCACTACCAGCTATGCACACGGCACGTCTACCACATCCTTGCTCCACACTACAGTCGGAGAAACCCTGCTGCGGACTGTGGAGCGCTGGCCTGATAGAGAGGCCATGGCCTTTCTGGAAGGTGGAGTCCGCAAGACCTTTGCCCAGTTTCAGCAGGATGTGAGTCTTTTTCTTCAAAGTATATTGTATGTTTCCAGTGAATGTGCCCCTAACCACAACATAAGACCTCAACATACCATATTATATACACAAGAGAGATCAGAGTTCTTTCTGTACAAATAATCCCAAAAATTTTACGGTCGGTTGAGGTTAGACGCTGGAAAGCACACAAGCAGTCGAGGAATTACAGTATAATAACTTGCATAACAACGTTTAACAATATTCAGTTAAACTTTTCTTAATATCATATCAATCATTTTAGCTTAATTTAATACTTTTAACCTTCAGTATTTGGATCAAGTGATACATATTTATTTAACACTTTAGTGAATATATGAATCGTATTGGAGTTTCCCAATATTTGGGTACTACTACTTACCTGCTTGCCTCTTTGATGTTGCTGTTGTGCCTTTTTTTATGATGATTTTTACAAGATTTGGAGAAAAGTCAAAATCCTGGTTTTGAGAAATGAGAACATGTCGGCCCACATATATTATTTTACAACCCGTATAAAGTGAACCTGCCCGGCTCCACCTTCTCTACCATCCACAGTGCAAACTCCAAACCTATAAAATTTTTGCATCTGGACTCCAAAAAGACCAGTGGACAGAGAACTGATAAATTATTATTATTATTTTTACATTCTACAGTTTTATATGATAGTAAGCGAGAAGGAAGGAACTGTAAAGCATGCCCTGCTTTATGGTCTATTTTACTCTAAATGGTAATTTAACCATAATTTACGAAATGAACATTATGCTGTATGGACTTGAAACTATAGATTGAGACCATAAACTCATCAGGAAACTGTTTTGAAGTCAGCTCATTTCTCCAAAAGTCTCCATGTTATCAGTTTTTATTGCAACCAATGGAGCTTGCTTCGACCAGCAGTAACAATTAAACGTGACCTAACTAGATGAGTTTATGAACATTTGTATGGTGTGAGAGTCCCTACCCATCTTGATTTTGGCAGCTGGACAGTAAGAAGACGCCACTCAGAGACATTTCTGTGAATGAATCAAACTGTAGAAATGTGTGTGATTGTCGTGCCCATGACAAAGAATTTGAAGTACTTGAAGTGGGAGGGACAAAAATAGGCTTTTGGAAAGTGAGAGGGACGTCTCCCCCCTCATCCCCTGTGGAAAATACACCCTTGGCCCACAACTGGAATAACACATTTACTGCTTTTTAGTAGTTTTTTGTAAAATTTGTTTTTCAAATATGTCCTCTCGGAAGATTCTACCATTTTATATTTGAAATCTGACGTTGCAGTATAGGGGCCATAACACAGCTGTCACTAATGGCAATATTGACATGTAAAGCTTTCTGCCTTCTAAGAGAAACTCACCTGCATGTTCAGTCCTGTTCGCTCTGTAAACTTTCACCCAGTGACCTGAAGAATCCGTTCATGTGGATTCCAGACTTGTGTGAAATCGCAGATGTCATTAACCCGGTGCAAAGCGTACCTAAAGCGACATGATGAGGTCCAGTGAGAGCTGCTGCACACAGAAAAATACTTTGTTTAAAATTAACCCAGTGTGCATCAGTATAGCACAGACACAGTGGGTATAAAACCACCCAACAGAAGGGTTTCTTTGACTGGGTCCGTTTTTAACTCAGTGTATTTCCTCTTATGTTGCATATACCAAAGATTTAGTTCTTTAAAGTCCATTTTGTTTCTATTTTTTACATACATTTTTTTTACTGCCTCTCTGCTCTGCCCTGCAGCCACTAGTATGCCTTACCGTCATATTTCAGAATCATTTCATCATAACTGCTCTTTTTTGTTGACATTATTACAGCTATATATATATATATATATATAAATATAATTGTTTGTTAGGAACACTTGTTAGGAAGGTGTTTGTTTGTGCCTCAACATCTCTGAACTCCCTGAACTCAGTGTATGTCGAGGTGTTAGACTTTGCTCCTAACACGCAGGCTTAGGCAACAGTGTGCAGTGAGCTGCGATCCAGAACTGTAATCAAAAAGTTATTTCATTATAGACAATTAAACAATAATGTGCGCTCAATATTTTTATTTTCCACCAAAAAATTTAAGTTTTAATGCTTGACATCCCAGTCCATTCTCAGTGTCTGTGCACTGGTGGATCACACTGTATAAGCTGCATACTGGACCATCTCAATCGTCTTCTGTTATGCACAAATGCACAGTATGCACTTATGCACAGTGTTTCTGTTTTTAAATTAAATGTCCAACAATAAGCCAATGTGAACAAGATTGAACAAATGTATTGTTTACAGGATAACATCTTCTGCCTTCACCAACCTGATGAATGCAGCCAGAAACATTCCACTTACACTGACGCTCACACACTCGTTTACTGTGTGTGTGTGTGTGTGTGTGTGTGTGTGTGTGTGTGTGTGTGTGTGTGTGTGTGTGTGTGTGTGTGTGTGTGTGTGTGTGTGTGTGTGTGTGTGTGTGTGTGAGATCTTAAAGACAGAGACCGTCGTATCCTCTTCACCTCCCAGTCAACAAAAACCCGTTAAACCTGTTTTTTGTCTCTGTAATGTCTGCAGGTGGATCGAGCTGCAGCCGGGCTGCTGGCGCTCGGCCTGACGAAGGGAGACCGGCTCGGCATGTGGGGACCCAACACTTATGAATGGATCCTCTTCCAGTTCGCCACAGCCAAAGCTGGCATTATACTGGTGAGTGTGCAGTATGCTGTACAGCTGTGGCACAAATTAATGCTCACAGATTTATTTAGTGCAGCTTTGACGTGATGTCTTTGTCACATACTCAACATGTGGCCCAGAAAATCACAGACTTCAATTAAATCTATATTTTAATTTATTTTGGTGATATTTATGTTACTTTTCCCACCACAAAAACACAACTAGCAATGAATGTATTGTCTAAAAGGTTTTATGCACCTAAAGCCTGATTTATCTTACTCCTCTGTGCCATAGAGCTTTATTGTTGTCCAGAAACATTTTAAAACACACCAGTGAGTCACACTGTTGCACATGTTTGTTCATTAGGTTAAACACACACACTGTAGTTTGATTTGGCTCAATCACACATACACCGTCCTGCCGCCCCAAATACTCACTACAGCACCGAATGTGGATTAATCTGCCGCTGAATACAGTCCCATGTCCTGTTTTATTAAAGTCTCCAACTGTTTATTTTAACAGTTTATTTTATAATTTTACATATATAATTTACGTCTTCAGTAGGAAACAGTGGGCTGAACACGCTGTTGGTTTGGCCCTTTTCATGGGATTTGTTGACAAAAACAAAAATATAGAATATTTACAGCTTCATCCTTTAACATATTAATCAATATAATGCCATATAATAAATCCATCTTGAGGAAAAGACCTGAAGACAAAGTTCAGTAGGTAAGTGTAGTAAAGAGACGTAATATTTGTAACCAATGTGGAGGACAAACGAGTGTGAGGGCACCTTTCACCGACATTATTATATTGGTGCAAACTGCCATTCACAGGGACAAAGTCTGGTCAGTTTTGTTCTTTATGTACACTGTCTTTGCTTCGGCTTTGGCCCAATTTCAACTCTTTCAACCTTCAGTTTCTTTTTATGGTTTTACCGCTGTTCTAATAGGTGTCTGTGAATCCAGTGTACCAGCTGCAGGAGGCCGAGTTCGCCCTGCGGAAGGTGAGCGACTTCTTTACGTCCCCGTTTTCACTGTTAAACACAGAGTCTGTATCACATCTTCAATCCTCTGCTCCTCTTCTCACAGGTTGGATGTAAGGCTATAGTGTGCCCTGAGCAGTTTAAGACTCAGAAATACTGCAACATGCTGAGGCAGATATGTCCCGAGATCGAGTCGTCCACCCCGGGAGACATCAAGAGTGCCAGGTACAGCTGCGTGGTGTCCACCCATCACTGGTCTTAACTTAGTATTCACTGCAAAGCACGTATGCAAACATCAACTGTGGTTAATGTCAATGGGAGACACAGTCCCGAGCAGGTCTCTGCTGTCAATCATGACATGCAACCCCCTTTTTATAGCTTCAATTAAATAATTAAACAATTGAACATAAATCAGAGTAAAAGAACTACCTAAAATTACAGAAACCATCTTCGGGGAAAATGTATTTTAAGTTTAGTTTTTTTTTTTGGCCAAGCAGCATCAGTCTGTCCTCGGAGGTTGCTAACACTAACAGCAGATACATTAGCAGTTAGTGGAGTTGAGGCAGAGCAGCTGGAGGACGTCAGAGGGAAAAACAGACTATATTCTCTCCATAAAATATGATCCAGTTTCACCTAAATCCCTGATAAAGTAATCGGTTATGTGAGCATGCGTCACATTTAGTTTTACAGGAAGACAATTGATTGGACTTTGATATAAAAATACAAATAAATTGAGTTTTTGGACCTTTTTTGGCACACATTGTTAAATATGGGAACAATATAACTGAGGATGTGATCTTAAAGGGTTAAAATGACATTCTTCATTTCACCAGGACTTTTTTTTTCTTTTTTTCTTGTGGTTGTTATGTAAAAAATGTCTTTGGTGCCACGCTGGGGGAATTTAAACTTTGAACCTTAGTAGGCCTGTGTGAATACAGAGTCAAGACCCAATATTGCAGTGAAACTTCGAGCTTTGACTCACGTTTTTTTGTGTTTGTTTTCCCGTCAGACTCCCAGACCTCCGCTCCGTGATTGTTCTGGATAATCGACAACCAGGAATGCTCCATTTTGAAGACGTGATGGAGGCGGGAAGCAGCCAGTACGTACAGCAGCTGCAGGATTTGCAGAAGACGATCTCCTTCGACGACCCGATAAACATCCAGTTCACCTCGGTAATTGTTGCATAATTCCTGCTGACCCGAAGGGTTCTCAGAGAGCTCGGTGCTACCTGAAACGTAACTGGAGTCGCTTATCTTTGGTGTGGAGGGTGTGGCAGTTTTTCACTCACTGGGAGGAAAAAGGGCTGCAGACTTACAAAAATTGTTCTCTCGATAGTTCTGTGATAGAAATCTTCACCTTTCTTTTATATTCTTTACTTTTTAGACACATACTAAACTTATTTTAGGCTTTTTTACTGAGGATAAATGTTAAAATGACAAAAAGTACTATATATATTATGCTGATGTCAGGTTCAACCAATGATGTAAAACTATTAAGATAACCAGTTAACTGACCCACCCTGTTTGAAGAGCAATAAAAGAATCAGAATAACCTTGACATCCTCTTATCGAACCATGTTTATGGCTTTCTAAATACAGTCATTTATTTTCTAGTATCTGTCACCAGGAATTACAAAACGTTTGGACGTGTAATAAATCAGTCTTTATATATATTATATTATACTGTTGTCAGGTTCAACCAATGGTGTGGAACTGTTAAGATAAACACTTTTAATAAGACACTGTAGAGACATTCACATAACAAATAATTGTAAATCGAGCTGATGAATTAATTAGTCGATCGTCAGCAACTATTTTGATGATCAGTTAATTGTTTCTGTAGGTTTTCAACCAAAAAGTCTCACCATTCATTCGTTCTGGCTCTTCTTTTGTGGTGATTTGTTGCTTTTCTCTGTTTTACATGATTGTAATCTGAATGTCTTTTAGGTTTTGAACTGTTGGTGGGACAAAACAATAATTTAATTTGACATTTTGTACATTAAACGGTTAATTAATAAGAAAATAATCTTTAATTGTAGCCCTAATTGCAAGAAATCTGAAAAAGTATTTTTTTTGGCTGTATTGTAAGTTTATAAGATCACAGACTGTCTGTTCTTCACCATGTTGTTTAACCTTGACATGCTCTTATCAAACCATGTCTTTCTGAATACAGTGCATTTATTTTCTAATATCTGTTACCAGGGCACAACTGGGGCTCCAAAGGGCGCCACCTTGTCTCATTTCAACATCGTCAACAATGCCTACTACGTTGGCAAGAGAGTGGGATACACCTGGAAGGTGAGTCATCATGTATCAGAGTTTTATCAACCTTTTCTGACCAGTAAATCCTTAATTTATTATTTATTTATTTGTATTATTATTAAGTGAGGTTGGGGTACAGTTTAATTTGAGCTACTTTGAACTTCTCCCACGCTGTTGGACAGACAGAGGCCGTCCTGGAGGGGCTGCGAGCCGAGCTGCTGTTAACTTTAGCTCAGCTTGTTTCTCTGATAACTTAAGATCCAGACGTCCGATGACTAAAATCCTTCATCCAGTTCAAATCTAGAGTTAAAAAGCACCAAGATCTAAACAGTGGATGGTAACAATGTGGCTCACACTGGATAAACAGTCAATGTATGACAGCTTCTGGCAGACAACCACAACGCTGACGCAGGCACAAAGGGGATATGCGGTAAAAAGCAGCGTTACCTGAATAATGTGACAGATTTCTTTGAGTTTGAACATTGTTGGAAACATTTGGGATAATGTAGGCCTAAAACATAAAAGATCCACATGGTGTATCTCCACTGGAGCTGTATATTCTCAGTGCATAAAACCCTTTTTCTCTCCTGATTTCGTCCCACAGCCTCACCCTCGGATCTGTCTGCCTGTGCCTCTCTACCACTGCTTCGGCTCCGTGGGCGGTGGGATGTGTATGGCCGTGCATGGCATCTCCCTGGTCTTTCCCTCTGCAGGGTACGATGGAAAGGCCAACATAGCAGCTCTGGAGAGTGAAAGGTAATATCAGAAATCCTTGGTCTGGTCCGTACATTAAGGGTTTGTGGAAAATGTGCTCAGATGTCTGTACGCTGTATTATCCTGTAACAAAGGATCAAATGTGCTCAGAATATAATCAGCATTCATTCTGGAGCAGCAGGGTACCACGAGGTCTTTGTGATACAAAGGTAAGAGGGTTGCTTGTGATTAAAGCTTATTTCTAATTAAATAGTCAAATCTGAAGGAATTCAGTCCAAAGCAATGTGAAGATATCGTCACCCATCGGTTTGTGGAGAACTGTTTGAAGCCTCCAGTTTGTCGTTACGGTCGTTGCCATTACGGGTTGTTGGAGCCAGCGGAGGTGACGCACTGTGAGTTGAGCTGCTCTCATTGGCTGCCTGGTTTCGACTTTATGGTCTGTTTTACTCTAAATGGGACCATCAGTTACTAAATGAACAGCGTGCTGTATGGAAGAAGACTGAAACTAGAGCACAAGACCATAAACTCATCAGGAAACTGTTTACTGAGCTCATAAATCAACTGAGAAGTCGACTCATTTCTCTGTAAGACTGAATGGTATCAGTGTGTTACTGCAACCAATGATAATGAATAATATACGCAACACATCAGGATATGTGATGCATGCAGAGAGGTTACAGACTGGGAGAAATATGCTTGTGTGTGTATAGTCAGAATTGAGGTCAAATGTTGTTTCGTGGTAAGTCTGGTTCTCATTAGTGTCGGATGCTCTGATCAGATGGACTCCCTGAGGGGGATCAGATATCACATGGTGGTCTGCTCTTCACTGTTAAGTCTTTGTAAATGTCTTCTGGTGCTCAAATGATCACTAGACTCTGTGTCACCTAAATGGACTGCAGCCATTTTTAATGTTAATTACACCTGTGCTCTTCCTGCTCTGACAGGTCACAGTGTCTCCTGTGAAAGGGGTCAGCAGGACATTTATTTATTCATGGCAGCCTCACTGATAAGAGGCCAGTTTTTACAGTTTTGTCTGTTGGCAGTGAAAAGTGTAAGTGATGTGGGCCCCACTGACCCCCCGTCGCTGTATAAGCAGTCCGTATTTGGCCAGCTGTGGAGGGTTTAAAGTGCGGAGTGTCAGTTTAAAAGGATATTCTAAGATTTGTTGTCACTGTATAATAGTAGAAATACTATTATTACTAAAAATATATAAAACTATGTCTATGAGTGGTGAGACTGACACTTTTTTGAGTTTTAATGTTCAAAGCACAAAAAAAATCACTTTTGTTTATATTGTTTCTAAACAGAACAATCAGATTTTTTATATTTTACTTTGCTGGTGCTTATCATTTAGTGCTTACTCCCCCTAGAGGCAGTGTACACACATTTTTACCCCAACAATTCAAAGCATAAATTGCTTCATTGAGAAAAGAATAACTGAAAATAACTCACCTATCTGACAGAATAGACTTGTATTACATGTTGTATTTCAAGTTTCTGATTCAAATACAGTGTTTTTATTATGGTGAAATTGTATCTAAGTATTGCTGGCAATACTCAGATCCCTCATCCGTACAAAAATTGGATCAACCAGCCAGCTTTAGCTCCAAACCAGATGAAGAAAAAGAAACCTCCTCCTGCTTCCTCCTTCAGACACGAATAAGTGCACCAATCATCAAAGCTCATCTTTCAAGAAAAATACTGTCATATAAATCTGATCTTTTCTAAAAAACGTAAAGAGGTGTACCTTTTTAAATTTACAGGACACAACAATATTATTATTGGAGCTTTTTTCTTTGTGTTGCTGAAGCATGTAACATTATGTAAATTAAAGGAATAATGTCTCTAAAGCTCTTCTGTCAACCTTTTAAAATCACAGCCTGAGGCTTCGTCCGCGTCTGATGAGTCAAAACCTGTAGAGTCGGTTTCTGAGTCAGAAACAACCTTCACCTGTTTTTAATTGATATTCCTTCTGTGTCCGACTAAAGACTGATTTTAAATGCTGTGTAGTAATCTAATTTGTTCACTTAAATGCACTATAACAAGAACTTTATAACTAAGTGTCAAAGCAACAGAGGGGAACTTTATAACTAAGTGTCAAAGCAACAGAGGGGAAGAGTCTCCACAAACTGACACTCTTAAGTTTCAAAAGAAAGTGTTAAATTAAAATGTAGGTGAATTAGAAACAAATAAACCAAAACATGTTGTCAAATTATTTATATTTTAACCACCACCAACTAGCAAAGTCATCTAGTGTCTCAGAGAAATGTGTTTGAGTTTGAGAAAGAAAACCCCGACATATGCAAGTTTCTGACACTTTTTATGCAGGTTTATTTTGTGAATTTGGAAATGAAGATGTTTTCTGTAAATCTGTCAACTTTCCACTCCCAGGTGCACCTTCATCTACGGCACCCCCACCATGTACGTTGATATGATCAGCCAACCGGATTTGGCCAAATACGACTTATCATCAGTTGAGACAGGTGAGAAAAAGATTCTGCTTTTATAGAAAGCAGCAACAAACTTTCTGTTTTTCAAACAAAACATGTGACAGTTTTAATGATTTAATGCCTTTTTTTATCCCTCTAATATAAAAGAATATTTACATATTTCAAATACTTTTAAATTGTGTTTATTTTGCTGTAGGCATCATGGCTGGTTCCCCTTGTCCTCCAGAACTTGTAAAGAAGGTCATTTCTGCAATGGGCATCAAAGGAATAACAGTGAGTGGAGCTAACACATGTATAACTCGTTTTTAAATTGTTATTATGGATTATATTATATCTCACCAAGCAACTGATAAAAAAAATTTACTTTACTTTACAACATAAATCAATGGTGCAATTCTGCTTTCACACCCTAGTGGGAGACAAATCCTCAGAATAACATCCATGAGATTTAACAGGAGCAGGAATACACAGCACATGTGAGCACACTTTATATCACTACATATATTTTAGACAAAGAGAAGACTTGATTTTGTAAAAGGTTTATTGGATGTGAGCGCTTGTTTACCACGTCCAAAAGTCCAGGAAATGTATAAAGATACTGAATATACAGAAGATATGCATAAAGTCAACAAATCGGTAGCCCTCATAGTTGTTGTGGAGGAAATGGTTCACTTTTGTCTTCCAGTTTCAGGTTAAGTGTTAAGAAAATGTAAAATATGATACAAATAATTCTCTGTTTTAATGTATTTGTCTTTTCTTGAATTCTCACTCGTGTACATTCAGCATAAATGAACTAAATCCAGTTTTATAGATCTTTTAAAGAGGTCATATTATGCTAATTTTCAGGTTAATACTTGACTACTATAACAGTTTTACATGCTTCAATGTTTAAAAAACACGTTATTATTATTTTTAATTAAGCCGCCGCCTCCCGAGAGCCCCGTCAGCTCCCATAATCCTGAGCAGCGGGGCTGTCACCTAGTCTATAGATGGAGCCTGTTATAATGTGATGTAATAGAGAAAATGGAAGAAAAGGCTGAATACAAACAAAGTGTGTCATTAACTCTCTTTAGTGTGGACTTTTCAGACCTTTTACATGCACAAAAACATCTATATAACAAACTAAAGCACATGAGAAACTCCAAAAAAGCACAACATGGCCTCTTTTAACATGCGTTCGTACATTGAAAATGGCACTGGAAGTAAAAATACAGCTTGGAAATTGAATTCATTGGTCCACACGTTAAGCTTACCCACACCTTCAAAGTCTTATTGTCTCTTAAGAAACACGTCTTCAGTCGCTGTGTCCTTTTTCTTGTGGTCAGTCAGGGAATAAAACTGACATCACAAAGTAGAAAAGAGGGTGAACGAGTGCTGATTCTTGCCTGAGCGACAGTTGTAGGACGTTTCCTCGTAGTTTGTAAGAGCGTTTTTTGTTTTTGTCTCTGTGTCTTTATGTCTTTTGGAGCCGTTGTTGGAGCCAGTATGTATTTGTGCTAAGATAATCTAAGACTTGACAGAGGTGTCAATCCTCTCATATTAACTCTCTCTGTAAGAAAGCAAAGTAAGTTTATTTTTTTCTTTTGAATCTGGTTTGAGTTTACATTGTGTTCATGCTAATCAAGAAACACCTCAGAAACATATTTTTTGGGGGATTTGTGACTGTTAAAATGTTTCTGAGGTACTAAATGCACCAGGAAAAGAGAACAGCACATCTGTCCTTAAAGCTGCAGTAGGTAACTTTTATAAAAATAACTTTTTGCCATATTTGCTGAGACTTTCACTAAATCCTGAACTTGAGATAGATAATCTGTGAAAAAATCTGGTTCCTCTGGCTCCTCCTGAACTTTTGCTAAAAATACAAAAGTTTTTCCTTTTGTATTTAAAAAAATTATATTTTTATTACACAAACACATTCTGGAAATGATCGTCGGCCACAAAAGTGATTGAAAACGTCGTAGTATGGATGCCAGGCCAGTAGGCGGCAGTGTAACTTTGCAACACAACGCTTTCCTCTACAGCGCCAGAGTATAAACAGGAAGAGAAGATGGCAAATGACTAAAAAGCATCAAAATATATCTATTAGGTTGAAACGTGAGTAATAGTCGTGTGTGAAGTGGAGCCGTGTTGTCACCATATTTGGCAATAAGTAGCGGCGGCGAGAAGGCGTTTTCAGGTCAAAATGCTGTCGTGTAAACAAGGAATGAGACTCAACAATTAACTAGTTTTTTCAGCTCTGATTGGTTGTTTTCATTCGGGCCCGGTGGATTCTTACAAATACCAGTAGGAGCACTAGGAGGAGCCAGAGGAACCTGATTTTTTCCCCCAAATTACCTGTCTCATGTTCTACTGTCAGGATGTAGTGAACAGTTTTAGCAAATATGACAAAAAAATAATGAATAAAAGTTACCTACTGCAGCTTTAATGCTTTTTGTAGGCTTCAGTTATTCAAATGCATCCTTTGTTTTGGTGGTTTCCACTTCATACTTAAGTCTTCATTTTTGGATATAAATGGATGAAAAGTCCATAAAGCTCCCCGTGTGTTTATGTGTGAGAGAGCGACGTGTGTATCTATGCATGTGTTTGTTTACACTGGTGACAACATGTGGCAGAGGAATAGATGGACAGTCTTGAAGTAGAACGAGTTAGCATTGCTTTCGTTGCATTAGTAGCCGGTCACCTGGACAGGCTCCTCCTCAGCGTCTCCTGTGGAAAAGACACAAAATCAGCAGCCAAATTAAACAGTCTGCCCTCCAACCAGAGACCCCATGACCTGGACTCTGTGTACTGGACCCCAGGGCCAACGTGGAAAAGTTCAGACGGGGACAGAAGGGGAGGACAGAGAGTTCTGCGGTCAGGAAGAGAGAGGTGAAAAACAAAATCATGCAAAGCCAACTCTTCGGCCACTCCAAAACCAACGTAAACCTTATGTGGGAACGTCTGAATCCAATGTCGCCTTGTACAAAAGTCCAGCTGAAAACCGTTACACCAGACCATCACAAAAGAGATGTGATTTTGGACTTTAAATGGAGGCCATAATGAGAAGAAAAACTGCACCTCAGCTATTTGCAAAGGTAGTGATCAGCGAGGGCGTCTCTTGAAAACATTTCTCTTTAAAATTTAAGGGTTTGGGTTCAAAAAGGTCAAGTTTTATGGTTATTTGGATCTTCATCAACAGCTGAAGTTTCAAAAACATCATAAAGAGAGCTAACAGGGGATTTATGAACACCATTTTAAAGCCACGTTAGATTTATGTCTTTGGCGACTCCTAGTGGTGGAATCAAAAAACAAAAACAACCTCTAACCATCATCTTTAGAGGCTCATAACTTTAAAGAAAGGGTTCCACATTTGGATGAGTTTGATTATTTACTTTTTTGCTCAGATGTTAGATGAGAAGATTGATGCCGCTCTCATGTCTGTATGCAAAAATATGAAGCTACAGCCAAGGGGTGGTTAGCTTAGCTTAACATTGAGACTGAAAGCAGGGGGAAACGGCTAGTCTGGCTCTGTCTAAAGGTAGAAAAATCCACCTCTAAAGCTCACTAGTTAACATGTTATATCTAATTTGTTTAATCTGTAATTCCAGCACATGGTTTTTACATGGATACAGGATATAATGTTTTAATTAGTGAGCTTTAGAGGTGGTTTTAGACTGATTTAGTTAACTTTTGGCCCCTGTTTCCAATATTACCGCTGTCAGGCTCTCAACAAGAAAACGTGAACATGCATATTTCTCAAATATCGACTTAATCCTTCAGTGATTTTATGTCCTTTAGCTTGTTCGGAGGCAGGTACCTGTACAGCTGCGTGTTCAAATGCGCCTGCCCTTTCTGGCTCTTTTCACTTTGACTCTGCAGCCACTGAAGGCGGTGCTGTCTCTGACTTGTTTGCCTTTCTGCGGAGGTGGAGATGCGCACACTGCGTCCGGACGGTTGCGGCTAGAGTCCATCCACCTGCGGGTAGAAAAGAAAAGATAAGGAGCAGAAGTTGGTTGTTAGACGGCTAGTTGGTCTCTCAAAGTGTCCATGTAGGGAAAGAGAGACGCTGGTGTGAATATGAAGATACCGTCTTTTAGGTGATAATCTGTCTCAGTGTTACTGTGTTTGTAGTGATGCTTTAGAGGTGGCGGTCAGTAATTGTCCCCTGACTTTTCATCTTAATTTTAAAGGTGCACTGTGGAGTTTTCTTGTAAACAAACGGTTATCTTCGTAATCAGTATAACTGATGCATCTTGTGTATCCTTGAGGTCTGACAAATGTGTTTGTCTTCCCTCACATTCAGAACTTAATTTGTCTTAAAGCACCAGTGTGAAGGATTTAGTGGCATCTAGTGATGAAGTTGCAGATTGCAACCAACTGAATACCCTTCAAAATATGTAGGAGAAACTACTACGCTAAACTCATTCAGAACACCAAAGGCTCGATCAAGAGTCAGTGTTTAGTTTGTCTGTTCCACTGTAGAAACGTGGCTGTTCAACATGGCGGACTCTGTAGAAGAAGACTCGCTCCTTCTGTCGATTAAAAACAGCTGATTCTAAGGTAACAAAAACACAATGATTCTTATTTTCAGGTGATTTATACACTAAAGAAAACATACCTATGAATATTTATGCCAATAGATCCTCTTAAATGTTGCACATTGGACCTTTTTTAAAAGTTGGAAACCTACCAAATATCTGCAGAACTAATGACAATCCCATCAGCCTCGGCTGTACTTGTACACCCCAAACTAACACAGTGACTAACACAGAGCCTACTGATGATAGCTGCTAGCGTGGCTGTATGGGGGGGTTCCAGGTGAGTCTCTTACCTGCGCAGTGGAGCTAGCTGGCACGTGCAGCTCCATGGGTTGTTGGAGAGGGTGAGGTTGGTGATGGTGCCGAACTCGAGGCTTTTGGGAAGGGACTTTAGCTTGTTGTTGTCCAGGTGCAGTGACTTGACCGCCGTCACACCAGTAAACGCACCATCAGAGAACTGGAAAAAGGTAGATTCATACATGAGTTTTTATATAGATTTATATATCCAAAGCCATTCACACACACACACACACACACACACACCAGTGGCAGTGAGCTACCATGCAAGGTGTCGGCCTGACCCGCCAGCCAACGCCCATCCTTGTGTCTGTCACACAGATGCAGAGCGAGGGAATCTCGCCAGTGTTTCTCTGGCATGAAAGCCTCCTCTCATCCTTCCTTCTGTAAACACTGACAGTCACTGCCCTCCTTTTTCCTTCTTCATATGCATCTGCGAGGGTGCTAAAAGCTTCAGAGAGGTGCTAGATGAACCCATCTAAGCCGTGTCAAGTTTAGTCTCCTCCAGAAGGAAGAAGCGGGCAGATGAGAGAGGAGCTTTTTTTTTTTGAAGGGTTGTTTTATGTGAGTCTGGAAGAGATGAAGCTGTTTGGAAATTTCCACTGTAGAGCGACAAGTAGCTGAGGGCATTTCTGAAGCAATGGAAGATGGATGACTTCCAGCATGGCCGAGGTGTTTTCACTCTTTCTGTCGTCTCCCTCTTCGGGCCATTCCTCTGCCAGGAAGGCTCGCAAAGGGCCCAATTGTCCATTCAACCGGGGCGATGGCAAGCTAAAAATACTCCTCTTCATGCACTGTGGAACACCCTGCCTCTGTTTATCTGTCTCCTAACCCCTCCTGACCTGTTTACAAGACTCTCCCAGTGAAAGTAGAAAACACACCTTGCTGAAAATAACACTTGTGTAATAATTAGATGCAGACATGCTTGGCCAGGGTCCAGCAAACAAAAACACTCTAAAAATACCCGCATTTGGCTGGAAATTGGTTTAATCTCCCTGGCCTCCCTCGCCATCTCCTGCTGCTTCCACCTGGCTCTCGCACAGTCCCGGCGTGAGAAGGTTGTTATTTTACAGTTTTCCCCTCGGGGATGCCTCCATACTGTGGCACAGGTACACTCAAATATTGGATTAACCTCAAGTATGAAGCAAATGTGCACGTAGGAATGTCTGCAAAGTAGCGGGGTATAGCATAGAGCTTGTACTGTATACGTTCATAGTGAAGCGGGGTGAGAATCTGGATGAACAGATGGACAGACTGCTGTGTTTAGGGTCAAAAGTTACTGTGAAGCAGTCGGACATGTAAAATGGAGGCTGGATATTTAGGAAGGCATCAGCTTCAGTGTGTTTATAGAAGTAAAATGATGCCACTTCAATCAATTGACTATTCGATTTGTCTATAAAGTGGTTTAAAATTGTGAAAAATGTTTCCCAGGTGACGTCTCAAAATGTTGTTTTTTGTTTGATAACTCAAAGGATATTTAATTTACAATCATAAAACAGAGAAAAGCAGTTAATTCTCACATTTTAGGAGCTGAAACCAGCAATTTCTTGTAAATTTCTGCTTGAAAATTTAATTATCAGAGGACTTATCAATTCACTGACTAATCGTTTCAACTCTAATCTTCATTCTACTGAAATCTAGGAGACAGATATCTCAAAACCCAAACAAACTGAAATGAAAATATCTTCATGAAAGGTTATTTTTGGTAAACGGACCCTTTGAAAATACCTTTTCTCTTAACTTTGTTTATTAAAGTTGCACGGCCATTAAGAGATTAGAGATTCGACATCTAGATACATGTGCACAGTCACAGCAGCAGCTTACGCTCACGTAGGGTGATACAGTCGACTATATCGAATAAACACTCTAATTATTAGTTAGTGTTTCAGCACATGTGCATCCTCTGGTTCACGTCTGCACTCAAAAGACTGAAGAATGCAGCATGAGGTTCGCATTATGTGACGGGTGGGGGGGGGATGAAGCAGGAACGCACAAACCAACCACTGCATACTGTAGATTCAGTCACAAAATTCATGTAAATGTGTGGTTGGTTATGTAATGTGATGTATATTGGCTGCTGACGGGTGGGTGTGGACCGTTGGCAAGCCCGTGCATGTAAATATGCTGATGAAATATAGTCGGGCCAAGCTTGCCAGACCAAAACAAATAAACAAATATTAAAACAGGCGCGCAGTATAGAACCCTTTTTAATGGGATACTTGTTATTCTGCCATTCATTTATACAATTTTAAACAATTTTATTGAATATGGAGGATTTACATCAAGATTTTTCTTCAAATTTGAATCTGAAAAGCTCTCTGTCATGTCCCCTTCTTTATTTATTTTGTTATTTGCTTTTTATTAAGCTTTCTTTTAAGGAACACAGATAAACAAAAGTGAGACATGCAACAACTAGACAAAAAACACACTTTTGGAAGGAAAATGAGTAAATTAAATAAATAAACAACTAAGTCTACATATATACATACATTTGAATGCATTTTCACCAATTTTCATACCTTTTCTTTCTATCTATTTATAATATTTAATATGTGATGTGATTATTTTGTCCTTTATGGAGGTTAAACTAATAGATCCCTTAAATTTTGAGCCAAAAACAAACTTTTTTTTAAATGTTTAAGTGCTTTAAATGTGCACATGGTAGGCATTAGATATTAAAATCATGCTAAGTCTGTCTAGTAAATACCAGTAAAACCATAGACTGACCTTCTCCAGACCCATGCTGTCCAGGTTTAGTTTCTCCATGTAGCGGCCAAAGCTCTGGAAGGCGTTGTCTGGGATGGTCCTCATGGGGTTCTTCCCCAGCGTGAGTTCCTCCACCACTCGCAGTTTGCTCATTGCCACGCTGGGATAGGTGGACATCTTGTTACTGTCTAGGTGAAGTATAGCGAGGTTCTCCACATCGTCCAGAGAGCCCGGCTGCATGGTCGTCAGCTCGTTCCCGCTCATGTGCAGCCAGCGCAAGTCTTTAGCGCCCGCGAAGGTCCCCGGCCGCAGCTCCCGGAGCTTGTTGTCATTGAGCTGCAGGATGAAGAGGTTGATCATGGGGGAGAAGATGCCCTTGGCCAGGTCGCTGATCTGGTTCCCGTCTAGGTAGAGGTAGGTGAGCTCGGTGAGGTCCTCGAAGGCGCCGGGCTTGATGCTGTTGATCTCGTTGTTGGACAGGTAGAGGTAGATGAGCTTCTTCAGCCCCTTGAAGGCCTGGGATCCGATCTCTCGGAGCTGACAGTGCTGCATGTGCAGAGAGATGAGTCCCTTGCTCTCGCTGAAGGCCCCCGTGGGTATGATGCCCAGGTTGTTTCTCTGCAGGTTCAGCAAACGGGTGACCTCAGACACCCGGGGGATCTTCTTCAGCCCGACGCTGTCGCAGATGACGTGCTGGAGGTCACCGTGGCAGTGGCACAGCTCGGGGCACTGGCTCGGGGCTCCCTGCACTGCAGGGCCCAGGACCAGGAGGCAGGTCCCCAGCAACAACCAGCTCACACAACGCATGCTGACCAGCCAATGTCAGTTTCTTGGCGTCTTTCAGTCTTTTAGCAGAACAGGAACAAGCAGAAAAACTAACAGACGAAGAACTCTGAAGAAGAAAAGGCGAAAGGTTGAACTGAATGTTTTGTATTGAGAGAAACAGACGCAGAGCGAAGGAGTGAAAAGGTGAGTGACTGAGCAAAGGTGGGCAGAGGCATTCACTTTGAGAGGAGGATGGCCAGTCAACAGAACACACGGCACTATTTATAACATTTACTTGAGGAAAAAAAAAAAAAAGAAAAAACGAGGAGGGCTTGCCAGGGTGTTAGAGTGAGAGGTTTGCAAGAGGAAGTCAAGTGTCTGTGAGAATTTAACCCTAAATGAGCAGGAAGACGAGCTCGCGGGGACCGACTCCGTCTCTCTTTTGCTACTGGCAGCAACATGAAATCGCTGCTGGATGTGCAGACAAATCAAAAGACAAAAAAAGACACATGCACATGTTTAACAGGTGAATGTTTCAACAACGTGGCATGGGCTCAGGTTCGATCGGCGCACGCTTCCAGACACCTCTATTGTTTTTCAGTCTGCGGTGGCAGGAAAAGGGAGCCACTCCTGTGCAGCTGTTTTATAACCTATAATAGTCTCCAGATGGCTGGCAAGACACGAGATGCTGTTTCAAGTCATAACAATTGCAAAAGATACTTTACAAAGGAAGGTTTTTGGATACCGCTTTACATTCCTGTGTGCATTCTTTCTTTTGAATTGGAGCGTGGTATTATGTAATGGCCTTTGTGAGTTGTTGAAGTGATTGTGGCTGATCGGGTTTCAACTTTAAGGCTTAAGTGAGAATAAAAGTCTGTCGCTGTGAGGATACAGCTTTATTTAAGGTGTTCATTGCACCTGCTTTTAGCAATAAAAGGGAGGAAGGTTTCAGAAAAAAAGAGCAGCAGGACTTTGTTGACTGGCTCAGGTCAGTGGATGGTTTGGCTTCAGGTGGCTGCGTTTATAAGATGGATGGACCCAACCCAGGATAACTGGAATCTAGAGTTTACTTAACAAATCTGACATTTTATTGGGAATATCGTCTCCTCCCTGATTTTCCAGGTGAAGTTCTCACTCTGAAAAGCCCTGCAGGTCCCATTGGTCCAACAGTCTCACTCCCTCTTATTGAACATGCACCTGTGAGCTCTAAAGTGTATTTTACCCTTCTGTCTCTTTTTAAGTTAAGTGTCTCCAGCTATCAGGTAAATGTAATGAAGGGAAAAGCTGAAACACTGAAGTACAAATTCTGAGTAAATCTACTCCAGAAATTCAATCTGCAGCAGTTTTCCACCACTAATGTCAAATATTTGGTGGTTACAGCTCAATAATATGAGGATTTGCAGCTGTTTTATATCACTGCAAACTGAATTTATTTGGGTTCAGGACCGTTTATCAGACAAAACAAGACATCCATCACTTATTTTCTGACATTTTGTAGATAAAACGATTCATCAAAAAAAAATATTCAAAGAATATTATAATTTCTCAATCTGCTTGTTTATTTTTAACTGTCTGGGTTACATTTATTAATGTATTTAATTAATATTTAATTATCGATTATAATATATATATATTATTTATTTAATTTTTGTATTAATCTTTTTAGTGTATTTATTATTATTATTAATTATTATTATTATTATTATATTATTCTTTATTTATTTTCTTTCTTTCTTTCCCTTTATTTATTTTATTATTTGTTTTAACTCAGCATAACCCAACAAGCATTTTTCTCCATTTCTCGAAATCATTATAAATGAGGGAAACCTTAATGATTCTTCCATTGTAATCAAGGATGCGTCACCAACAGAGGGCGATGCACAATGTAAAACAACCTGTAGATTATGACACGCCCACTTTGGTTCCCAAATCTGTTGCTGTTTGGTTCCAGTTGGGAACTAACTGAGGTGTCAGCAGGGATCGACTTTAGCTTCCCACAACCCTCCGAAGGTTAAGTGGCTGTAGATAATGGATGGATGGACCTTGGTATCAATGATCAGTCATCAGAGGAGCCACACATCGAGCTCCCAGACAAATAACCCCGTCCGTCAGGGAACTAGTTCGAGGTCCTAAATCTTTCTCTTTGCTCATACTCTGCTGTTTGTGTGTTGGACAGATTGGATACGGTACCACGGAGAACAGCCCTGTGACGTTCTGTGCCGACCCGCTGGACAACATACAGAGGAAGTCCGAGACCGTCGGCTTCATCATGGACCACTTAGAGGTACTACCTCAATGTGACGTGGAAGCAGGGAGAAATATGACTGCAATTAATACGATTTAAGTACAAATATTTCTCCACTGTATACACTCAGTGGCCACTTTATTAGGTACGCCTGCTTTAGTCGATATTCTGCACATTTCAAACACTGTGCAGCTCTTTATTTTAGAACATATGTTTTATACTTACAGGCTATTTGGAGAGTCCACCTACAGATTCATACAGTTTATAGAGTATTTGTAACATTTCAACTGTTTCAGCTGCAGTTCACTTTCACTTTGGTCAAAAAGAAAACTTCATTTCCAAATGCAGTATGTTATATTATTGGTTCTGTTCTGGGACCTTCCTGCTCTTCTACGTGCAGACGTGGAAAGTTTAAGGCAAGGAGAGCAGCAGTTAAGGTACAGAAGAGAGCAGGAATCCATAACAACAGAATTCACATTGATTCAATTAGAAACAGCATAAAAGGTGGAGCCGGGTTGCAGAGGATTGTGCGTGTTTACAATCAGCTGATGTAGCTGGAACGGCATTTTTTATTAAAACAATGAAAAACTAAACAGCTGCTTCATTTCCAACACTGGGACCAGAAGATTTTCTCTTAAACTGAGAAGTTATGCGAGTGCTCTTACTCTTAAAATAATGAAAATAATCTTGTTCCTCTGCTGGGAAATCATGCAAACCATTGTTGTTACTGGTTAAATTGAGCTCAATATTAGCTGTAATATCTTATTGAGACAGTAAGTTAGATATATTTTCTTAAAACCAGATTACTTTTCTAATGCAAAACATGCTTGACAATTCCCAGAAACAAGACTGTTTTTACTTTCTTAAGATTTCCTTTTTTTGCAGCGTAACATGAAGCAGAATCTGAGGAATGTTTGCAGCACGTTGGTGAATCCAAAAAGAATTCAGGCTGTTTTTGGGGTCAAATTGGGGTCCATCCTATCTTGTATTAGAAAGGTGTACCTCCATAATAAAATGGCTGCTGTGTATCAAAAAAATGTCAGAAAAACTGTTTGTGTGTAAAAAGAAACATGATTTTGACATTAAAGTGAATTATTGTTCAGCCCTGAACAGAATTATATGTTTAATTAAACACTTTATATGTTAGTTAAAAGCAATAAAAGAACATATTTAAAAATGTGAATGGGCTGCTCCACAGGTTAAAGTAGTGAACCCCACAACTGGAGAAGTGGTACCTCTGGGGGAGCTGGGGGAGATCATGATCAGAGGCTACTGTGTGATGTTGGAGTACTGGGGGGATCAGGCCAAAACAGAGGAGTGTATCACGAAAAGCGGCTGGTACAAAACCGGGTGAGTGGAAGCTGTCGGTCACTGCATCTCTGTTTAATCGGTAGTGAAGTGAATGATCATTCAATCTAAATGCTGAAACGTTTCCCCAACAGAGACATCGGCAGCTTGGACGCGTACAGCTACTGCCGGATCGAGGGCCGGATCAAAGACATGCTCATCAGAGGAGGAGAGAACATTTACCCGGCGGAGATCGAACAGTTCCTGCACACACACCCCAAAGTGAAGGAGGCACAGGTGAGCTCAGACAACAGGCGCTCAGAAAGCGGGTCTTTTCTCCATAGTTATGTGGAGAAAACGAGGATCATCAGACATCAGTTTAAGTAAATGTTAAAGGACGAGGGTTCAGTGTAATGAATCATAACCTTTTTGGCGTTTTTTCTGAGGACCAACTTTTTAATAATGACGTGCATTAATAAACGTTGCTATTTCTGCATCAGGTCATATTTTCTTCATCATCAGTAAAACAATCCACATTTTAAATACTTTATAAATGAGAAGTGAATTTAGCGCTGGGAATGAATAGTCTCTATACTATAGATTTATAGTTTATATCCATTTTATTACTCAAGATGGGAAACTTGATCTGCAGTCGGGGGCGCAAACATAAAAAGAACAAACCACAAGTACAGACAGAAACACACAAATGATTCCACATTACAGACAATATACAGTAAACCGCAATACAACAACAACGTAAACACAATAAAACAGGATGAAAAAATAAATTAAAATACACATGCAAATTAAGCAGTTCATGCACAAGGAACAAAAGAGTTTCAAACTCAAACAAGGTGCAGGAGGTGGTTTATAAAGCCCAGTAGGGACCTGGCCTTAACCTGCTGATTAAAGACAGCCATCAGGTGGTTTTTATCACTTATATTTAAGTTACACAACTTCTAAAACAAGGACACATTAAAGCATTTAACTTCTTACAGACTCAATGACTGCTTCAAGATATTTATACTGTTCAACAAATTCAATGCTAGTTCCTTTGATGAAGATCTGAGATGTTGGGTGGGAGATTTCCTTCTGAAGTCAGTGACCATTATCTTCGGCCTTTGTGGCGTTTTAATTTGAGAAAGGCCTCATCATCATTTAACAAAGTCCTCTACCACGGGCCCGTGCCCAGATTCATCATTATGGAGCTAATTGTCCAGTATTTCATTGAGCTTTAACTCTATCAGACACACGTTATTATTCAAACCCACAGTATGAAGCTCCTTCTGTCGCTGCAGAGCTACATGTTTCTTTGGTTTTCTGTTTGTCAGGTGGTCGGAGTTAAGGATTTCCGTATGGGTGAAGAGGTCTGTGCCTGCATCAAACTGGCGGACGGAGAGAAATGCACTGCAGAAGAGATCAAAGCCTACTGCAAGGGACAGGTGATTCCCTCTTTAATATTCAGTAATGAGTTATTTTATATCACTTTATCTTCCGTGGTTGAACAGTTTGAACGACTCTCCCTCCTTTCAGATCGCTCACTTCAAGATTCCTCGCTACGTGCTGTTTGTCACCAGCTACCCGCTCACCATCACTGGAAAGGTACATTCCTGAACCCTGGAGTTTTATTTCACTGTGTTTATTAAGATGACATCCAGACTGAGAACAGATCTATAATTAGCGGCTGCTGTAACGGGCCGTGATAAATTAATCCCAACCCCGCTTCTGGTTCTTGTGTTTCTCTCGTGGGACGCTGTTTAAAATGACTGTAGACATGGCGCTGTGTTTGAACAGGCCTTGCCCTGAACGCCCCCAGACAGGAGGGAAAGGGAGCTATTAGCTAGTCTGCACGCACACTGGGTCCTGTTAGGTGAACCCAGAAAGGGGCGGCGGACCTCGTCCCAAAGCAGCGTATCAGACAGAACCAGACCCTCAATCTAAGACTCCTTCAGTTCACTTCATCCCAGCAGGATAATCCACTCAGTGTTCACAGTGTCAGTGAGACACAGGGGCCTTTAATCCAGATCAGGATTATCCAGATTCTGTAATATATCTGGTCTTTGTGGGTATTTTCAGATAGGATCATTTTGATCCAGATAGCACAAGATCAGGATTACAGAATCTAGATGTTCAGTCTTTGGATAAACCTCTAACTGTTGGTCGAAGTTTTGTTAACTAAAATGTTTTTTCATGCCTAGTTTTAGTTTTAAGTTTAATTTTAGTGAACTATAATAACCTCGGTCTCTGGATCCAACCCTCCACCCTTAACCTGGACAACAATTTGATCTGGATTCTGGGTTGAACTGGATTACCAAATCTGTATCTCCTGCTTTGAAATACCCAATTTTGAGATTTTGAGATTTTGAGAAAGGTTAAATTAAATGTAGACTAGTTTGTCCCCATTGTAGACCCGGTCTAACTGACTCCAGATAGTGCCAACATATGGCTGCAGGCTGCTCTTGAATGCAGCATTTTTGTTTCCAGATGATGTGGTGCAGTTACAGTTAATGTACAACAAGTTTAACATTTTGACTGAGAACAGGAGCTAGCCTGGCTCAGGTAACAGAATCGGCCTAAAAGCACCTCTGAAGTTCAGTAATTAACACGTTTTGTATGTATTTAAACTAACAATATATTTTTATATGACTGACTGAGCCAAGCTAGTTTAATAATCTATAATGAAAGTAATAAGATGAGACACACTGTATTGAGCCCACACTGGGGAAATTCTGTTGCTGCAGCAGCTCCAGATACAACACAACACAACAGATTAGAAAAATACACATTTAATAAGAACAGAACGTTTTTAGTACACTTTAAAATCAAGAAGGCCTCGAGACCCCGAGTCGGGGCCCCGACCCCCAGGTTGGGAACCACAGCCTTTAACATTGACCACTGTTTGTGAGTGAGTGTAGTCCTGTACTGTCAAGAAACTGCAGTTTATTGTGATTTCTCTCAACCCCAATATGACTGATTTTGATTGATAACTTTCAAATTGTTAACTCACAACCTGGAGAAGCAACATTCAAACACATTTTTTTTCCTTTCTCTTCTCAGATCCAGAAGAACAAACTACGCGAGGAGGCTGAGAAGCAGCTGGATCTGGAGAAGGGGAAATGAGATAATTGCGCATCGAGATAATTCAAATATTGTATGTCTTGTACCACAAACACCAATTGGGGTTACGTACCCCGCCATCAGAACACCTTAAAACGTCTCCAGAAATAATAACAGACTGCCTGAGCCTCCCGTAGCCGTGTGATGGCTGGGTACGCAGTGCAGTGTCGTCTGTATCCTCCTGCAACCGCCTGTTTAAAGGGAGAACTGTAGTCACATTATGTATTTTTCTTGCTGTCAACAAATCCCATGTTGCACTGGGTGACATCTTCCTTTTGTTACTGTGAACACACACACACACACATATACACATATACACGCCGTCCTGCTTCTGTAAATACTCATCAGAGCAACAAATGTGGATTAATCCGCCGCTGAAAGTCTAACAAATGCACTTTTTCCTTCTGACTGAGTAAAAAAACTACACTGCCCACATGGTTGAGGAAGTTACTGAGCCTTTTAGAAAAAGGAAATTATATATTTGTGAGCCATTTTTTAAAGATTTATATCTTCACTAATGAACAATTTTGGTGATTTCAGGGGATTTGTTGACAATAAGAGAAATCTAGATAAACTCCAGCCTTATCCTTTAACATCCTGCTGTTCTCTGTAACAGAAATGTGAGCCCAGCAGATACAGATCGATCCATGAATGAGCGTTGAAGATCAGTGCAGAACTTGTGGATGTTGAAACCACTCAGTTTTTTTTTTTTTTTTTTTTTTTTTAAATCGAGCTACAAAAATCTTTTTTACATCAACCTGGAATAAACTTTGTACGGCATTATTAAAACCAGGCGTGGGTGTTTCTCTTTTTACGGGAAGGATGAAGGTATTTTTATTGATCTCTGTGGCAGGTGCTCTCCTTTCTAAGCCCCTTGGAATGAAACAAATACACACCTATTGAAAATGAGCGAGTAACACACACACACACACACACACACACTCTCTCAAAAGCTGTAAAGAATTTCCTCTGGAGTCTGACCGGGCTACATGTGCAGTCCAAACTGACGCTGGGCTGCAGGATCAGATGTCGACTTCTGTCTAGACCTGAAGGACTCGGCCCAGGAATAGTTCTTGAGAGCCCAGAAGAAAACAAACGACCGCTCCTGGCTCTTTACAAAAGGAAACCTCAGGGTTTATTTAGCTGCTTTTTTTCTTTTGTTAATTTTTTACATATTTTGGGTTTGGATTTAATGTTTCAGGACGTGGTATTCTTACAGAGCGCGCCAAGTGCAAGAGTCAACCGGTTGGCTTTAACATGCTCCAGCATCCGAACCGGGTCTTAGGAGATTACTTCAAAGCCAAAGGAATGCACATTTTTTTAGGGGGGGGTAGGTGGTGATGTTGATACTACAGTCAGTGATCCCTTCTCTCTGTACACTTAAGACAGTTTTTGGCAATCAGTGTGGAAGTCAACACAATTAAATTGTTCACATGCTGTTTTTGTGCCATTAATAATCAGCTGGATTAATCTCTTAAACGCTGTCACTGCCTGCTGCCAATAGCTTAAGGCAGAACAAGCCCTTCTACCTTCTATCCGGTCTCCCTCGTGTGGCAAGAAAGAGCACAACACTTCAATTCAAACAGCTCTGACGTGCACTTTGATGTAAAATAGCAGACTAGCAGCTTGTATCTGCAGGTTAAATCCATATTTAAGGGAATGAAGAAGCACAAGAAGTCAAAGATCATTAAAACTGAGGCTGCAGGCTGTCCCAGTTCTTTAAATGTCTTATAATGTAAGAGGGATCTTGTATTTTGCAATAGGAACATTAGATTAAATGTTCTTTAGCATTAAAAATAAACTATATGGCCAAAACAAGGTGGAAAATTAAGGAAAATCTTAAAATTTTAGACAATAAAAACCTCACTTCCATCTTTGTGTCAACAGTTTTTGTTTGTTTTCATCGTGACAACAAGCCTCGTGCACAAAGCCAGCTCTATAAAGCTCCACTGGCCTGCACAGAGCTCAGAGCTCAACCCCATCCAACCCTGACTGAGCCAGACCTGATCACCACGAACGCTCTTGTGGCTGAATGGGAGCAAATCCAAACAACCAGGTTCCAAAATGTGTTGGAAAGACTGAAACCAGGAGAGTGGAGAACATATTTCTTATTCTCTCGTAGAGCTTGAGTACCTCAGCTGTTACTTATTCCTTGGGCAGCGGTATGCCGACTGCCGTCTGCTGTCCCTGCATCTGCTGCTCCGCTCGGGCCACCTGCTCCTCGCTGCAGCAGTCCTGCAGGAAGACGGCGGCCAGGTTGCGCAGGCGGGGGCTCTCCGAGAGAGAGAAACGCAGCATGCACTGCAGGATGGCCGGATCAGTGATCTCTGAGCGCGATGAGGCCGTTGTGAGGTTCATTAGTATTGTGATGGCTGACAGGACGGTCTCCTCTCTCCGGCTCGACAGACGATTTGTGACCAGGCTGATCCCGCTGCTCTGCAGGATCATGTCTCTGCATTCAGGGTCCATACTCAGGTTACACAGCCCCCCTGAGCACACAGAGAGAGAGAGAATCATTTGAGATGAGGAAGCAGCTTTTGCACAACAAACAATGAGCGAGAGGATAAACTTCCTCACCCATCCCAAACTCCACAAAGTTGTCATTCTCCTCGGTGAGCATGTCCAAGAAGAGGTCGGTCACCTGCAGCTCCTTCAGATACTCCATGTTCTTTGGGTCGTAAGCAAAGTTGGCCAGGTTGGCCAACACCTGCTCCTTCGCCTCTGATGCAGAGAAATTAGAAATAATAATTATTATAATAACAAATTCATTTAAATTCAGGGTTCCCATCAAACAGCTGTTAAAGTTAATGTTACATACTGGATTTCTGATTCTTTTACACAGTTTTATTTTATTATTTTATTTTATTATTAACTGCTGGAAAATAAAACCCTTCCACAGGAAGTAAAATAAAGCTGTCCCTCCAGAATAAGATGACAGATTGTGCCTTTTTCTATCTAAATCTGTTTGTTTGTCGTTCTCAGATTATTTATAATAATAAAATATAATAAAATATAACCACTGAAGCTGTAACTGTACCCACCGTCACTGTCGGTGTCCTGGAACTCAGTGACCAGAGTTTGAAGATACTCAAAGCGGTCTGAGCTCTCAGACGAGCCCCTCTTCCACATCCTCACCGTTAGCTTAGCATTAGCCTGTCCGTCTGTGAAATGTCTCCGTGCAACTGGGCGATAACCAAAAGGTTCCGCCGTCTTGTTATAACATGCGCTGTTGACTGTAACACCAGCAGAACATCTTTAACGCGGATTCAAACATCGCACACGTGTTATGTGAGTGTGTAAATATCTTATTTTACGTGTTGGGGATATTTTTTGGTTTCATAAAAGTGGGAAACGGAAGTGGTGTTACGTGCGTGAGAGAAGGGGGTGTGTGCAACGAGTTTAAGGTCAGCTAATGTGGCTAATGGTGGCTAGCTCCTCTTTCTGGTTCAGCTCTCTGGATTTGAGTTAAAATGAAGCAACACCACCAACTGTCTGCTGGGAAACGTCTCACCAAACCAGTGCTGTTCGGGACTCTGCTGCTCGGACTGGCTGCTGCTTTCTTCAACAGGTAAAAGATTTACTGCACATTGCATTAAGCTCTCCTTTTATATAATATATAATATATATATATATATAATCTTCCTTTTGTGTCTCTTTTCTGTTTTTATAAGCTGCCTGGGTGGATGATGTATGAAGGGAACCTAACAAACAAACAAACAAACAATCAAATGCAATAAACTAATCAGCAGATAAAGAGAAATAGGAATCACTCTTTGGATGTGAGGAACATATCAGGAGAGCTGTGTGTTCCTTTGTGATCAATAAGTCACAGCCAAGGACTACCAAAGCACACAGAGCTGTAAAAGCCTTTTAATAAATGTGCTTTCAAGTAATCTGCCAATTCATTTTAATTAATAATCTGCAGCAAGAAGTCCTTCACAATTCAATTACGCAACCAATAATCGATTCATCGATTAACTGCTTGGACTCTGTTATAAGTGTAAATGTGTTGTTTTATCTTAACATATCTGTGTGAATTCAATTCTGTCAGCTTTTAACTGGTAAATAACCGGATGAGAAATAAACTGACAAAGTTAAAGAGAAAACCACTCATTGTGTCTTTCATTAAACTCTTTATAAATCCCAGAATATTTCAATCTCTACTCGCCTGTTGCCATTTTATTGAGACATGAGTGACAAAACAAAAGCAATATAGATTATTATTATTATTATTATTATTATTATTATATGAGACAGAATTTGAGAAGCTGAAACCCCCAAATTTTAGTCATTTTTGCTTTAAAACTGACTAAAACTGAATTAATTATCTAAATAATTGCAGATTTCTTTTTTTTCTCTTGTGCATCATCAGTGTTACATTTTAAAATAGTATCACAGGGTCACATAGATAAATTAAAACAGGTCTAATTTGAAATAAAACATTACAAACTGAGCCCTTACATCCGTCTAACGCGTCCTCCTCCTCCTCCTCCTCCTCCTCCTCCTCCTCCTCCTCTGTGCAGGCACCGGTTCTTTGAGGACGTGGAGGAGTTCAAGGCCCAGGAGCGAGAACGCAACCAGGCCAAGAGGATGGAGATCTTGGAGAGGAGGCAGAGGCAGATAGAGGAGGTGGCCGAGAGGAAGAGAGGAGGGAGCAGCTGAACCACAGCGTGAACAGAAGATCCTTCTGGGGCAGAATATTAATGCTGAGCAGGTCTACAGACATGGACTCTAAATATACCTGACTGTACGAAGACGACCTTGTTAAACCGAGGCCTTTAAATAACCTGCCTGGTTTCACTAATGGATATTATTCAAATAATCCTCACACATGCAGTTAATACAAGAGGATAACAGGAAATGTAATCTTCTATTTTGTGTCTGTTTTGAGACATAAATATTAATTATTAAATGACCAAAAAGTAATTATTCTTTTTTGTGTCTTGTATTTACATGTTTTGTCCAGCAGGGAGCAGTGTTGTTAACAACTTAAAGGACCATATGTTTGTTTTTAGCTCCTTAACTTTAAATCATGAATGCTTTTACAGCTTTTTCTGACCATTTTCAAACACACGCTGTAGAGTTTTAGATTTTCACAGTTTAAAAATACTCCACTACAAGCAAAAGTATTCAGAATATACAAAAGTATTATTATCAACATGTACTTAAAGTATCAGAAGTTAAAGTATTCAGCTCATTATGCAGTGTTATATTATTGTATAATATAATATTGTTGGTTTTAGGTTCTTTACAGGTTATAATATCTCATCTTTTATTAGATTGTTGTGTGTTTTACCTGTAAAATCTTAATCTGAAAGGTAATTAGTAACTAAAGCTGTCAGATAAATGTAGTTGAGTAAAATATTTCTATATTGTTTTAGTCAGTTGGTCGGAGAAAGACATTTGAAGATGTCACCTTCAGCTCTGAGGCTTTATTATTATTATTATTATTGTATAATTTTTCCCTATTTCTGGGCATTTTATAAAACCAAATTATTAATCTACAAAATAATTGAAAAAAGGGTTGTGACTACGAGTTGTTTTCATCATTGATTAATAATAATCTTTATTTATAGAGCAAACCCACATTACAAAGTGCTTCACAAAGAATAAAAGTTATAAAATCATCAATTTATAGAAAGTTTCAACCAGATAAAACAATAAAAACATGATAATAAATTGTTTTATTGATTAATAGTCTTTAAAATCCCCAGAAATAAGAGAAAATTATATAATAATCATGTTTTAGGACCTGATAGATAAGAGTTTCTGCTTAGAAAATGATAGAAACGATTCACAGACCTGATACAAACACGACACATTGATGGAGTATAATTACATATTTTATTAAAACATGCCGTAAAAGAAACCTGAAATAAATTAAACCCACAAACTATAACCAACAGGCAATATTGCACTTGAATGAATATGAAGAATAAGTTCCCACAAGGTCAAAGTGCTTCACTTGCTCATCGTGTACAGTACTTAAAAAAAAAAAAGTGCTGCGTTATAATAAATCCAAATAAAATTTAAAAAAAAGTGGATAAAAACACTTTTAACTACAGAATACAAGAAATGCTGGTTAACTGTTCTGAACACCGACAGCGGCGCTTAAATAAATGTGCTGTCTATAAATAACGATCAATATGACCAATACTGTACACATCATGTCACATAGTTCAGAGGGTGGATGTTGTTTGACTCACTACAATGACACAAAGACTCACCCCCCCCCCAACCCCAACCTTTCCCTTCTGAAACAGAAAACATAAGATTAACAGTTAAAAAGCCAAACTGGAGTCTTCGCCTGGACGCCGGCGAGGCTCACACGTCGGACATTGTGAAACATCTGTAATTGATGGAGGCAGACCATCATCCAGGAAGCAGTGGGTGTGTTTGCCTTAATCGAAGTTATTGCTTAGTGAAAGTGGTGAATAGAAGCTGTAGTGATTAAAAACCAGCCGTTCATTTTAATTGCATAATATTTCCCTTTTTTTTTTTTTTTTTTTTTTTAAAAAGGAGAACTCAGAGGGAAGATCTCACGGGAATCTTTACACGAGGAGATGGGGGCGCCATCTTTGTACGAGCCAGTGAGCAAAGATACAGTAACACATGAAATATACAGACAGGGACCTTCGATTACAGCAGGAACGAAGCACAAGAGTCAGAACAACAGAGAGTGGGGGGGTACATCGACAGGGTTTTACAGTATTAGCCATTTGTGTTGTGTCTCTTTTTTTAGATGTGATTTTCCAACTGCAGGACGCAGGCGTGTCGGGTTTTATAAGGTTTGGGGTGGTAGGGTGGCTACCGTCACACAGCGAGGGGCACTAAGCCTGGGGAGGAGGCAGCAGGAGGGGCGGTGATGGCTGTCAGGGCACCAGGTTTCAGTCCGTTCACGGTCCTGCTGCAACAAAAAAACAAGAGTTACATTAAAACCCGGAAGCTCTCAGGTTGTCTGACACTACGGCATCATATTAACTTTAATACAACCTTTTCTTTCATTGAGTGATGTTAAGTGTATATTTTATTTCTCTCGACCCCCCCATGAAGCTTCTGTGACCCCTACTCGACCCGACCCCCTAGGTTGGGAACCTCTGCTTTAATACGTGATTTAGCCCATTAGCCCCGGCTTATTAATCATATAATGCATTGGATTAAGTTAAAGATTAAAAACCACCACACAATTTAAACTTTAAGCTGCTTAATTTAAAAGGAGCAATAATGAAACAAGCTGATATGTTTGGAAGTTAATTTCTGCCAGAAAAAGATGTTTACATGGAGTTAATATCTCATCATTTGACTTATTATTGTCGTTCCTTATTTTATAGTCCTCTGATTTTCCTGTAAATTCTTTAGAAATGTTCCAAATGATTTTCTAAAAGACGTTAATTGGTCACTTGATTATCAGGAATTATATAAAAGACTGTCAAATAGAGGAGTAAAAGTTCATAATAAGCTGTTAATGTTGAGTTAAGGTGACGTTTTAGTGCTAATATGTTTGCTTGTTTAGTGATCAATAAGTTATTTTGAATAATGAACCGTCAAGCTCAACTAAAAAGGTTGTGATTCATTATTCAAATTAGGCAAAAACAAATGATTTTCTACGTAATAAGTGCATTTTTGTTAATTAATTGCAAGTAAATAATAATTTAATGACAATAATATCCATCTAAACTCCCCTATTAACTATTATTTACTGGTTCTTTCACCAAAAAACTAAAATTTTATGACCAAATTCTCCTATTTTTTCTTTCTTTTCATGGCAGAATTGGACTTTCGTACATAAAGGATGAGCAAACTGTCAGATAAACTCTTCGTACACGTCTGTATTTTCTGTCACTGTCCAGTAACTGCCGCCAGCACAAAGCACTGACCTGAGCAGCGGCAGGTCACCGCCGCCATCCTGCCCTCATTATCCACTGAATCTGTCTGCAGCTCGTACCCAGAGGACACTGCGGCTACCACACCAAGGATGTTTTTAAAATGTTATGTGCTGCTAAAAATGGAACCCGAATGCAGAAAGTGGGAAGGAAGTTACGGTTTGAAGAGTTTCTCCAGACCGACTGGTCGAGCCGGTTTCTTTTGTGGGTCGTGGTTGGGCTATGACCTGAATCCCTCGAGTGGTTTTAACCTGAGTCATAAATCTGGAAAGCAGCGTTCAGTTTCACTACAATGCAGTAAAATGTCTAAGGCTGGTAAGGTTCTATAGTGGTGTATATATGTGACTGTAAGGTGATATAAATGTCAGGTAGAGGTGGGAAGTTATAGGCGCTGTATGGATCTATATTGGGGTGAAACTGTCAGAAGGCTTAACCTTCACTTCCAGCACATCTCTGTACTCTGCTCTGTGTCAGCTACCAGCTACAAGTGGCTGCTTTTTAATGAGTCTCTGCACCAATATGAAATAAACTGTCCTCTTTGGTACCTTAGTTTCTACCTACTATAAACATTTTACTTCAAACTGTGTTAAATAAACACTCTTAAATGCTCTTTTCTCACCAGATAATAATGTTCCTCTGTTACAGTAAGAGGGACAAAACGCCTTTGGCTTCTCCAAAGCTCTGTGAAGGTTAATGGTGTGAATAACAAACCCTCTGCCCTGAAACCAGAAGGACAATGACCTTGGTGTGTGTGTGTGTGTGTGTGTGTGTGTGTGTGTGTGTATATCTCGATATGCACACACTGCCTCACACAGCAGAAACACTATACGCTGTCAGTGCTCTCGCCAGCAGCAGAGAGGAGTGACACAGCAGAAAAACTGGACAGAACAGACTCTTTTCCCCACATTAAATATGACTGAATGTTACCGGATACATCAGGTGATATTATTTTCTTATTGTCAACAAACTGCATGAAAACAACACAACCAACGACGCACTATATGAACAAATATTGTGTGTGTATCAAAGGCCTGATTATTCCTCTGTGCCATAAAGCTCCATTGTTGTCCAAAAAACACACACATTGTAGTTTTATTTATACACCGTCCTGCTGCCCCAGCTACTCACTGAAGCACCAAATGTGGATTAATCCGCCGCTCAAAATAGTCCCCAAACAAATGTACATTTTCCTCCTGTTAGAGTAACGTTTGTGAAGAACTAGCAGCTGCTTTAGGTTTTAGGGATGGTAATGTTGTTTCATCTTCATTGAAATGAAATAATTAAAGATTTGTGGCTGATTTTTAAAAAGATTTACATCTTCAGTTGGAACCAGTGGGTTCGGAGCGGAGTACCATAAACAGAAAATACAGAGTAACACATTTAAAGGATTTGTTGACAACAAGTGAATCTAATCTTCAGTGCCTGAATTGGACTAAAATAAAGGTGCCAGTTCGCAATATCAGCACAACTCTAATCTTAATTATTTTGCCATTTTTCCGTCCATTTTAGAGACATTTTCAGTGATGTTTTGTCCTCGCTTGTATTCTGTGAAGACCAACCCTTCATCGGCTCTAACCCTGACATTTTTACCTCATGCCTAACCCAACCCAACCAACAAAGGCAACAAACACAAGTGCCGCTGAGTACTGTCCCACTTCAGGCACTCCCTACCCTTTAATGATGAAATACTTTCACTTTTTGTTGCCTGCTGCCAGTAATTTTCCCACAGTTCATTTGTAACAGTTTAAATAGGTTTTAAAAAGTCTAAAATGCAAAAAACACACAACAAAAAAAGCTTTAAAATTCCCTTTTGTTAATTATAATAAACGCTCAGATCTAGCACCAAAACAACATAAACAACTCACATTAGTACACAGACAGGGAGGAGCTCTATTAGGTCAGCAAACAGGAGGCATTACACCACCACTACCACCACCAACACCACCCTGGGACAGTTAGTGGCCGGGACGTCATCTACAGTAGCCCACAGTTATTTCTATGAGCTCTACAAGGGATTATTAAAAGCAGCAGCAGCATGCATGCCCCCTACCCCCACCACCAGCACACACTCAGGTAACAGACAGAGGAGCTGTGATTACCCAAAATCAATGCAGGGAATGTGACCATCTCTGTCCTGCTGGGGGAAAAAATGCACACAGGTCTCAGATACTCGTCCATATCTCCTGCTGAGTCATCACATACTCTATGACTACACCGAAAGGCATCCTGTAAACACGTCTGACAGGAATTACATTGTGACAATCATTGATTATCTGCTCTCTAAGGGGTTTTTTGGTTTCACTCACGCTTTGTCAAAATATGACGTATGGAGGGGCTGGCCGTAGCTGGCTGTGTTTGCGTTCAGCACGTTGCTGTTGTCGAGAGCGTACGCCTTCCTCGCTCTCTGGTCCTTGGCGAAGTTTCTGCAAGCGGCAAGCTTGGACTCCAGAGCCTGTGTGGGAGGAGGGGCACAAGCAATGATATAATATACACTCTCCTTTCCCGTGGGGAATCGGGGGGGTTTCTACGTAAAACTTGTGATGTAGTGGAAGAGAAAGGGAAACCTGGACTCAGGAATGACTCACCCCTACTTTCCGGAGTAAATCACTGACGATGTTGAGGGCCGATATCCTGGCGGAGGGAGTCAACGGAGAGTTGCTGCCATATCCGTTTGATAGCACTGTGCATCAGAGGAGAGAATAAAGATAAAGATTAGAGATTTATGTACGATTTTAACTGAGAATCTGTCATAAAAGAAGCCGATTAAGTTTGTATGATTGTTAAAAATTATGAAAAAATATATAATATAGAATTTTAAGTTCCCTGAACAGGAAATAATCTCTTAAAATCAGCATATTTTTCCCCTCTGAGAGCACCAGAAGTGCTCCTGTTTCTCCACAAGACACAAACTGATGTCCACACAAAAACAGCCAAATCCTGATGAAGAACTGCTCGGGTTTCCCCGTCTGTATCTGCACGATGAAAGGAAGAAAAATGCCCTCAAGCGAATAGAGGCTGCAGCTACCTGCTGGGTTGGCAAAGGCGTTGTCCAGACCTTTGCTCAGTGGGGTGGCAGGGAGAGAGAGAGAGGCCTGCACCGCCGTGTCCATCTTCTCGTTGTCCTGCGTGGGCGAACTTGGAGCCGACATCCTGCTCACGTCTGACTGCCTCTCTCGGACAGCCAGCTCCTGCCTCAAGTCTATGAGCAAAGAACAAATAAGGAACATTTTTTAGCTCTTCTCAAAGAGCCGAAATCTGTACGAATGTGTGGGAAAGCAGATATTTTAACCCAGCGGATCAAAGAGAACGCTGTGTGTTAATGAGCTGCGGCGGTGATCGACAGCGTGGCTCATTAGTAAAAATCTAGTCAATAATCACCTCTGGCTTCATCCTTTAATCTCTGCACGGAGACCAGCAGCGACTCCTTCTCATCCAGCTCGCTCTCCAGGAAGGCGTTCCTCTCGATGGCCTGGTTCAGACGCTGCTCGAAGTTCTCCAGAGACACGATAGTGGCTCTGAGAGAGACGTTTGAAAGGAGGCAGAAAAAAAATTAAATAAAAAGGAAGCCAAAGATTGACATTTCATTAATTAAATGTAAATATCCTCTGGGGCTGCCTTTTGGGTACGAATAACATCAATGATTTTAATCAAATTCAAGCCAGAAATTGATTGAATTCGAGCCATTTGCTAATTGTAACAAGCACTTAGAATTTCATCTTTATACATCACGAAGTAGCTGGTTTGATGGGAAAAACACATTTGACTCGGGTTAGTGTCTATCATGATTTATCCTTATAAGAAAAGCCAAAATCTTTATTCAGTGAAATAAAAATGCTCCTCAGGAACATCAAACTCTTAAAAGGAGAAACTATGAAGACATTGATTGACTAAATTGCGTGCAGGAGTGATTTTAGGCTGTACTTTAAACAGACCTTTTGGTTCTCTCCAAGTCATCGTTGGACTGTTCGAGCTCTCTGACGTATTTGTGGAGCTGATCCTTGATGCTGCGTGTTTGCCCGAGGTCGTCCTCCAGCATGGAGATCTGCTTGTAGCTCTGAGAGTACTGCTGCTCCAGCTTGTCCTGAGGGGAGAAGAGCCGGGACAGGATGAAGACAGACGCCACATATCAATCGCGTGTATTTCAATCTAGAGCACAGACAGCTCCCGACGCTGCACCGCCTACATGCTGTTATCCATTTTTCAGTGCTGTTTCTCACTTTCCTTCTCTCTGCTGTAAAGCAGCGGATGTTAAGTGTGACCTATATATCCACCAGCTCTGAGACAATCAGCTCAATAAGCACCACCGTGGCCCGTCTGTGTGTCTGACCTATATCTGCTGTTACTGTGCAGACTGAATCACATGCAGAGGCCAGACAACCCGGTTTGAGTCTCATTCAGCTCAAACCTATGAACGTTACACTGAATATAACTGTGAGGATATATTTAATGCTGGGATGTTCTTTGTATGGTGGCTTTGAGGTGAAAAATACAACAACATTGGATGAAACTTGCTAAACATAAAAAAAAAACACAATGTTGTTGTTCTCAGAAATCTTGTGTTTCTGAATTTAGTGTTTTCTACAGTTTTGTAGTTTTTTCTGAATGGTTGTGTTTACTGAAATGTTGTCTGTGTTGAGTGTTGTCTGAAATGTATTTCGCACCTCAAGGCTACCGTAGGTTTGTACTGAAAATATATAAAAACACACAACAGCAATTTTCCTTTGTTTTGTGTCTTTTGTTTCTAAAATATTAAGTTTTCTGAAATGTTTTTATTATTTTATAAAGATCAAAAACATATTCCTGAAAAACCAACAGTGCAATGTTCAAAAACTCTCACTACTGTGTCTTCTCCCCACAAACAAAGCTACAGTATGAATCCACTTGATGAACATCTCATCCCTGCTGGTGACTTCACTTCACCCGGCTGGAAACACGGACTCAGAAATGCGCCACCCGCCTTTTTTTTGGTAATTATGGAGCGAGAATAAGACACAACCTGATGCATTATGTATGAGAGTCGTTCATATCAGCTGCACCAATATACAGCCCGCTTAGGACAGAGCAGGTGCTGCTTCATAAGTGCTGAAATTAGAAAAGAGACATAGCTCAGCAGCATCCTGGAGTGAGATTACCATTTAGATTGCACATGGATTCACAGAATATGCCGATCCCAGGACTATACTCCTCGCTGAGACCAATAAACCCCATCATAACCACAACTTTAATTACAAGCCTGTATAGGTCTGATCTCAATGACCTCTTACGTGGAACTAGAAAAAGGCAAAGCTGCAGGCCCACAAGACTAAATAAATAAGTGTTGAGTGCATCCAGGGGAGCGGCAGCTGCTACAGCGTGACTTTACTTCTCGCTCCCAAGAGGCTGCACTCAAGACGGACGAGTGGTGATATAAGATGGCTATGAAAAAAAAATGCATCAAATATTTATTTTAAAGGCTTCACATGGAGACACGCTGTACTTTGCTCGGTTCAGAGCGCCACATGTTGTCAAGATTAAAAAAAAAACATGATATACATAATGCTGATCTCATCATTGACCTACATTCACTGAGAAAGTCACAGCAAAGGTCAAACAAAGTCATTGATCGAGCCGGTTGACAGGTGTGGATAAAAGGAGATCGGGGGTCACAAGATGATTAAAAAGATTGTAAAATATTTGTCGCTACACAAAATATTTTGATTTTTTGGGACTTTTTGTTTACATAGATTTGTGAAATTCTGGAGAGAACTCATAAACTATTCATATTAAGGCTGAAAATAGTGATTATTTCCATTAGTGATTCATCAAAATGGTCTTAAATTGAACTTGCAGAAACCCTGCTAACACTACATATACTGTTGCTTATTCCAGCAGTGATCAGACCCAGATTTAATTTATCATCCCTGTTGTTTTACCAAACTAACTGCAGTTACCTTGAGCGCTTCGACCTCGTTCTTGACTCTTTGGTTCTCGGACTGCAGGTCTTTCATACGATGCTCGGCCTGGCCCAGCTGTGCCTCCAGCTCGGCCTCCAGCTCCCTGCTGCCTTCCTGAAACTCCAGCAGCTCCTCCTGAGCCTCCTGGCAGCTGCAGGCGGAAAGAAGAGAAGGCGTCGGACAACAAGTCGAGACGGAAAAGAGGCCAGTATGCAAGCCCGGTGGGGGAACTCATCAACTGCTGCAGCTTATTAGCATCTTTATTTCATCTTATCTGGCTGATATTCACAATTTTAGACACTATGCTGTAGAGTGGGTGGTTTAGAGGATTGGTAATTACCATAATTACTTTCCATCACTGAGTAAGACTAAGTACATTTAATCAAGTAGTGTATTTAAGAACAAGTTTGAGGTACTTTACTTCTACTCCACTACAAATAAGAGGCAGATTTTGCACTTTTTACTTTACATTTGTCTAATAACTTTCGTTACTAATTATTTCAATAACTTCAGAGTAATAATATGAAGAACAATCAACAAATAAATGTGTTATTATAGATTAAAAGGCCAATTTTCTTCACATAAATGAACCAAATGCTGAGATACAGACCAACTGTGTATGTTTTTATTGTTTTCTTACACCCCTTAAAATCAAGAAGGCCTCGCAACCCTCCTGTGAAGCTTCGACGATCCCTAGTGGGGGTCCCAACCACTGCATTAGAGCACCAAATATGGATTAAAATAGTCCCAAACAAATGCACTATTACAGTGGCCAGACAGTTACGTTTTTCACAATATCAAACTAGACATTTACAACCGGTTTTTAAAGTGACATTTAAAAGTTAAGTCTGTGTTAGACACATTTTACTCTCCATCCAAAAACAAAAACCTGACCTATATTTCAGTTCATTCAGTTCAACGGGAACCAACCTTCTGACACTGAGAACAACCACATAGTTCACTGAACAGCTTCACCATGAACGGGTGGTTATGTAAGTGTGTGTTGATAAGAGCCTGAACACACTTGGACGGACACACACACACACACACACACACACACACACACACACACACACACACACACACACACACACACACACACACACACACACACACACACACTCTCAGACAGAGCCGGCTGTCTAAAAATGGCAAATGGAATAATCAAGCATCACATGAGCGAGGAGAGTGCCGGAGGTGGCCCAGAGCCAGAAAATCCATTTGTAAAAGCTCGTGTTCAGCTCACTGTGGAAAGACTCGGTCTCGCTTTGAACTGGTTCTACATGGAAAAGGTTGGCTGCTGCTAATTTGCAGTCTGGTGCTTCCTCTATTCACAGTTGTTATTACTGTCATTCAAAATACTCCAGTGAATCTGAGCGGTTAGTACAGGGGGGGAATCCTCGCAGCAGAAAGACATTTCACGATATAAAAACGCTTATTTAACGCACAATTTGGTGATTTTTCTCGCCATTTTTAAGGCCTTTTAAATCAGTTCTAGTTCTACAGGGGTTTCTTATGGTTTACAAAACTAAAACTTACTGAAGGTAAAAGGAAAAGGTTGTAGCTTTTGTGTTTTAAGATGATTAAATATGTTAAAGAAGATCATGCAATATGATCTAAAGCTCCAGAACAGAACTGGTTCAAAAATATTTAATACTACCAAAACACTACATTATTTTGCTTGAAAATACTTAAGGGATAACTGAAATGTAACTTTTTACACTTTCATAGTCACGTTCATGCATGTAGCGCATACATACGTCCACGATTAGTTACGAGATAAAATGTGTTGATAAGATAGTGAGTGGAGGTAAAATGAATGGTTCAAAAACACTGTAATCGTGTCTCCAAACTGGAACTACCTGGAAGAGAAGTGTGGATCAGGAGGACCCCTTTTCCACCAAATTAAAGATTCAACAACAGTCAGCAATAAATAATGTCCTTTCTAGGAATAAACCTGCCTCCTGTGTGAACTGTCCGTAGCTGAACAGGGTCTTAAGAGGCGGGAAACTCATGAGACAGCTGGCGGTATTTCATAGTATCAAGGCTGAGAGAAGAACTGCCACTTTAACGTTATGTTATTGTAGTTTTATGGCGTGTAAACTAAATATTTCAGGGGAAATCCTTTAAAACTGGAGAGCCTAATGGGATCTATGGTGGTACGTGGTGTAATAAGTATAATAAATACTGGATTAGATGATAAAAGAAGACTAATTTGAACCTCCTCAGTGGATTAATAGACACACACACACACACAAACATAATGGAAGTAGCCTCGACTTTAAAGGAAGCTCATTGTCTACAGACTCTTACGTAACTGGGTGTTGTTTCCTTTGGCTCCGAGTGTTGAGATTTCAATCAGTTCTTTATCAAGCGATGTGCTGTAAGATAAGATTTTCCTCTTGGTGCAGCTACTTTTACAAGCCTCTAGCCTAAAAATGTCAACAGCAAAAAAAAACAACAAAAAAACAGCTGTACTATTACACGAACCTACTGAAAAGACGGGAGGACAAAAGACACACGAGAGCCTTTTATGTTTAATGTGAAACATGAGAAGGGTAAGAAAAGGGAGAGGTTTCCCACTGGAGCTTTCACTGCTCGTCCCACATTAAAAAGTGTCACTGGATCTGCGTCGCTGGGTTTTAATTGAAAGAGTAAGAATGGAAGATATCAGATCAAACATTCCTGAGGTGGTGAGCTGTTATTCCCACAGACACAAAGAGACACAGAGACTGCAGTGTCACTGTCAGACGTTGTGATCTAGATCAGCAGTTTCCAACCTTTCATTGAGTAAACTGACTAATATTATATTCAATGCATAACAAAAACAGTTAGAGAACAACTGATAAACTGAATAACTGCAGGATGTTTGTGTGAAATGAGCAAAATGTGGCTGACTAAGAGGTCAGAGGTACCTCGGCTGAAACGTATAAAACTGAAACTTCACTATCAATCTTCTTTCTTTTAATTATATATATATATGCATGATTTTATAATTTTTGTTATATTTTATTTGTGTGAAGCACTTTGTAAGGTTGGTTTTAAAAGTTCTCTATAAATAAAAACTCTTATTCTTCTTGTTAGTATGTGGATACTCATGTGACTGGTTAAAAATGTTACAACTTTATTTGTATTGCACCTTTCATAAAGTTTAGTGCAGTTCAAAGTGCTTCACAGATGTTTTCCCAAACCTACTGGTTCCTACCAGAGATCTAAATCTTTTAAAAAAGGTTACAAGTTTTCCTTTTTGCTGCTCAGACAGCGCTGGTTTGTTGTTGTTGGTTTGTGTTGCTGACGATATGAATAATATAGAATAAAAGCAGCTTTATGCTTTATACTGTAAATGCTCCCAACAGAAAAAGAGCAGCCACATAATGTAACATACCTGTTCTTGTACTTGAGAGAAAGAGCCTTCCAGAAGTCAATCTCCTCATCTTTTGAGGAGAATTTTGGTATCATATCCGTTTCCATGGCAAACAAATCTGGAGAGGAAAGTAATCAGGAAACAGGAGTGATTACGATGGATAACAGGATGGAGAAGGTTTATCACACAGAGCGTCGAATCAGCTAACTCTCACTTTTTAGGTCAAACTCATCCCTTCAGATTTCTTAAAGCTTCCTCTATCTGATCTTCATTTGTAAAAAATAAAAGTGAGTGCTCAAGAATTAATGATTTAAACCACAGCTGGGAATTTATCATCAAAAACGCTCCCTAAAGACTCCCAGAAACCCTGAGGAGAACCACATACTCTGCTTTCCTACAGACAAAACTGCATTCTCAGTGTTATTAATGCCCTTCTATGAGTTTAATCTCAAACTGGGCTAAAATAAGAGCCTACTGACTTCTTATAAACACAAAAACACATCTGTAACACGATTAAAAATGCACACTAACTTTATTCCAAGGAAGTGTTCACATTCAGCAGAACTAAAAGGCAGTGAGTGTTTATCTTTTACACTTTATCAGCCTACATAGTGAAAAATTAAATTTAGATTTAAACAAAAACACAGTTCCCCGAGGTAACACTGTGACCAGGAGCCTCATTCATCACACTGACTCACAATTAAAACTGCAATTAAAACACCCTGAACGCCAAACTAGTTGTGAGCGGGAGCAGACGGGAACCAAAATCTAAATTAGGACATTTTAGGAAATCTGTTGTCATTGATTAGTCCTCATTAAATCACTCCCTTTGACTTAAATAGGCTACGAATACAGAGAACACAACGCTCCATCTGACCCCAAAACAACTGTTGGACAACACAGTGTGTTTGCTCGGGACAAAGATCTTTTGTGCGGTCGCTGAAACAGGGTTGCTTTCACGTGCTTTTCGTTCGGTGTTCCCAGTTGGAAAACAAAAAGCTCTGGGAACGAGATGGTTGACCTGTGAACTCAACACGCAGTCAACTATCAGCGGAGGAACACTTTGGAAATCAGATAACCTCATCGTACAGTGGCAGCAGCACCGATTTGGTGACACATATTCGGTCCAATTCCAACAAGTTTATCCCAAATTTGAGAGGCTTTGAACTAAATGTGTTATTAGATCTGATGCTGTTGTTTAAGGCGGCTGTTCCCAACCTTTTTCCCTTAAGAAACCCCCTTTTTTAAAAATAATTTAATGAACTGACAAATATAACATTAAGTGATATTTTATGATTATTTCATATTATAATAAAAACTGTACCTTGAACCCAAACAGAGAACTCAGTAACTGCAGGAAAATTGTATAAAAATTAGAGATTTGGATGAATTTTGAGCAGATTATTTCCTGTTTAGGGAACTTTTTGTACAATTCTCTATCTGTATTATGTATTTATTATCATTTTTAACAATCACACAGACTCAATAAGTTTATTTTTTGACAAATATAATGTTTTCTTGACACTCTTACATTTATTTTTCTTCACAGAAGTGAACCAGATGCTGAGATTCAAGCTCGCTTTAAAATCAAGACGGCCTCACAACCCCCCAGGTTGGGAACCACTGATGTAAGGAATCTTCTGACATTTTGGGATCCCCCCCTCCGAGAGTGACATGAGAAGACTGATACCACTTTCATGTCTGTAGGTCTGAAATTGAAGTGAGAGCTCTGAAGATTGGATGTCTGGTTCTCTCCAAAAGTTCAATAAAATACATCAACCAGCCATTTGAAATCTCGTTTGTTTAAACCAAAATGTAAAAACAACAAGTTGACACAGCCGTGCTAGCAGTTTCCCCCTGCTTCCAGTCTTTATGCTAAGCTAAGCTAATTTGTTGAGTGATATCAATCTTCTCCTTTAACTTAAATAAGCACCAAAGTGTCAAAAACCCAGATGTCTCCACTTAAAACCATCCAAAGAGCAGAAATACTACCAATCAGAATAGAGGAAGAGGAGAGAGAGGAAGAAGGTCAACAGATGCTTCTGTTGTGTTCAGTGTCGCAGTAAAATAATTCTGACCTCCAGCATCACGTTGGAAACACGTGTGTCCACTCGACGTTCAACAAAAACACTTTACAACCACCAAGAGACAGATTCAACTCTTTAATGTCAGTAAAAGAACTAAAACTACAAAAAGCAGCAAAGCAAAGCAAAGTTTTATTAAAGTATTAAAAGAACTCATTGTGCAGTCAAATGTTCCCTGTCAGTGTTTTCTATCATATCTGATGTTTTTGGATTAATATCACTGCTGCATTAATGTGTTATGTTGTATTTTACTGCTGTAGATGTTTAAGATTGAGCTCATTTTAACTACTTTATACACCGTTGGGTAGTTTAATCTACAGCAATGCATCTCCCCCACATTCACTGACAGCAACTGACAGGTGTTAGTAGATCACCATAAAAAATGGATGATTTATTAGGATCAAACCGTCAAACCGAAGTCGTTTTGCTGCTAATAAAAAAAGGGAACACTTTAATCCTTCAGTTTATCAGTTTAAATTATAAATCACCACATGGAGACGACAGGAAGCGTACGAATGTATGTAATCTGAGAAATAACTAAAGCTGTCAGACAAATGTAGTGGAGTAAAAAAAAAAAGTATAACAGGAAATATATAATCATTATTAATTATCAGGATAATTAAATTACATCAGATAAATGATCAGTTGATATTAATAATCATTTATTTGGAATGAAAGTTTAAGTATGTTTGTGAAGTTTTATAATTAACTTGACTATAAATAGTCAAAACTGTTTGTTTGTTTGTTTGTTTGTTGTTTTAATATTAGTGATGTTAGTTAGATTTAATGAGATCAGAGCTGTTGATTATTAAATCATCCATCTTTGCTGACCACATCTCAGCCTTTCTTACCTTTCAGGTGTGTAAAACAACTACAGGTTATAAACTTCTTTTAAAGATAGAAGCAGGTAATCAGTCCCCGACTGCCCAAGGACGAGTAAATAAACCCAACAGCTAAATCAACAGAAACCTCAGTAAAGTAAATAAAGAAAGCTTTGAGTGGCTCTTACAGTCACTGACTCCTACTGTACACTTTTCATTCTCTGATCCTCCTGAATTATTCAGCTCCAGATTAAATTCAACCACATCACACATAAAAAGCCTGGAGGGAAACTCAAATGTTATTACAGTACAAGGAAAATGCAACACCAGCCATTTTGACAGCATCATAATGAGACACCTGGTATGATTCTTAAATTTAAAAAAAAAACACAATTTACTTTAAAAAAAAGACTTTAAGTTCATGAGCTCCATGTTGGCTGTGGATTTATAATTAATTAATATATTATATGATTTTAAAAAGGGAGGTAACAGAGCCTAAAGCCACCATAACACATTATAAACTGATTTAATTCCACAACCTTACTCAGAGATTTAATCCAAAGGAGAAATAACCCTGTTGAATACTGGCACTCATCATATAGTAATCTACTATTAGAAACAACCAAAACGTCAAACATGAGATTAATACATACAGAAACCCTCTAATGTGCAATAATCTGTGTTGAATTGTGACATTAAACACAGAAACAGGCGGCAGGAACATGATGCTGAGCTCAGCTGTCAAAACTGGGTGTGCAAACCAGCCGTGAACCAAACGATCAGCCACAAAAATGATCGATTTATCGGCTGATTTATTTAGTTTCACTGGGTTTTCCAACACAGACTGACAGATAAATAAATAACAATGCATTCTGTACCTGAACATCGCCCCAAACACTGATGTTTATCGGTCCATTATGCCCGCGGATGTGAGCTGCTGAGGCCGACAGTCTCCTCTGCTGTCTGACGGTCTGTGCTGGCTCCTCTCAGCGGGGCAATTAAAGCACAATACACCCTAAATATCAATATTAATCCAGTATCATGTGAGTGCCTCAGGTTTTAATTTGACACCTTAATACTGGTGCGATTATTATGATACAGAATATTTTATTTCATGCACATATTTTTGGTTCAAAGAATGCAAAATCTCTAAAAGAAAAGTCTTTAATTTAGTGGAGCAGCTTGAAAAAGTGTCAAATATTCAACTATTATATTCTGATTTCCACTTTAGGGAAACATATGTCTTTATTAGTGGTGGATACAGTAAAAAAATCGACAGATTAACACAGTAAAAGCAGTTTTAGGGTGGATTTCCTCTGTATTCTGACACTGTGTTGCGTTCAAGGACTTCACTGCTGCACACAAACTGCGCATAACACGCAGTAAATGTTAAACCAGCGTCATCTGCTGGTCGTCCACTTACAAATCAATAAAATCTCAGGATGTTAAATTAAAAGTGTTTGTGGGAGCAAAGTGTCAAACAAAGACCATCAGTGTGGAAGAATTTAAAAAATGTTAAATGTTCACAGTGAGTCAAAATTATCAGATAAAAAGTCCAAAATGTAACTTTTAAAGTCAGAATTGTGATGTAGTAAATTAAAAATATTAGATAATAAGTCAAAATCACGAGATAAAAAGATAAACATTTTACATAAATCAAAATACTGAAACAAAAAAAGCCAAATTTTGAGATTAAAATATTTTTTTAATCTATTAATTTTACTTTCCAGTGAGCATAGTTTTCTATCAGGACTAACTTTTTATTTATTTTTTCTTTTACTTTGTCATTGGCCTCAACCTGGCTGATAACATTATGTTACTGGTAGATTTTCTTGGAAAGGCTCTTGTTCACCAAAGCATCAGTGATGAATATGATTATTCCAACATATTTCTGTTTATTTTTCATAATTTTGTAGTATAGCATTTTATAGTTATAGTGTAGTAGTCTTCTTCTCGTAAATGTAACTATCTTGAACTAAAGGAACATGGTGAAAGTCAAAAGTCAGATGTCATTTTCAAACACATCTTAAAGAGACTTGTTGCCATGGTAAAAATCTAAATGATCAGATAGATAGTCAACATTTTAACTCCCAAAATGATGAGATAGTTTGTTATAATTCTCAAATAAAAGGACCAAATTTATTATAAAATACATGATGTGATATAATTATTCCAAATTATGAGATATAAAGTCCAAATTTTAACTTCCAAAGTCAGAATTATCATGTAAGGTGAATAAATCTTTAAGATAACAATAAGTGAAAGCACCTATTAAGTCAAAATACTGAAATAAAAAGTCACAAATGTTTATTTTTCATAATTTTAAACTATTTGTTGTTGTCTGTTTAACATTATTCCTCTAAATGTATCTCTTGTAAACTACAGAAATATGTTGAATGTTTGAATTTTCATATAAATTCAATAATTTTATTTTATTTATTTATTTATTTTTAAATCCACCTGCGTTTTCGGTGACGTCAAACGCATCGGGACGTGGCTTGTTGCCATGGTAACCCCACAGACAGCGGAGAGACCCCAAACGTCTAAAGTTGAGCCCGTAGAGAGAATATAACGTTATATATAGTTATATATAGTTATATATAGTTATATATTAATGTAGTTGAGTCATGTCTGCTTTCCAAAGATACAGAAGCTTTTCGTTCAGGTCCTGGGAGGAAGAAAACAAGACAGTGACAATGTTTGAAGTGTTTAACGGGACGATGAGAGAGGTTTGTGTGCTGGCCAACCGAGCTAAAACTAACAGTGTCTTAAAGTCCTGTATTCAAAGTTTAAGGTTTAAAAATATACCAGTACAAAATGTAACTCCGATTAATGAGTGTTATTGATTATAACTGTTGATGCATTAAGAAGTAGCTGCATCACTTTAATGTTGCTCCGAATAATTGTGCTTAAATACAGTGCGTGGGTAAATGTACTTTCCACCACTGAATATTTTTTTTATATATATATATAAATGTATTTTATTTCCACCACTGAATATATTTTATATATATATATATTTTATTTCCACCACTGAATATATTTTATATATATATTATATTTTATTTCCACCATGAATTATTTTTTATATATATATTTTATTTCCACCACTGAATATATTTTATATATATATATGTTTTATTTCCACCACTGAATATATTTTATATATATATATATTTTATTTCCACCACTGAATATATTTTATATATATATATATTTTATTTCCACCACTGAATATATTTTATATATATAACGTTATATTTTATTTCCACCACTGAATATATTTTATATATATATATATTTTATTTCCACCACTGAATATATGACAGTGAAATGGGTTTTATAATGTTTTGCACCAACATAGAGGAGGAAAGCATACAAAATGTGCCAAATAAGTCTGTTTTTTATAGCCCAACAGTGTTTTTACACTCAGTCAGAGACCTCCTGACTCCACATTTGAATGACAAAAAGATTAATTAATACATTTTTATAGAAAATTCTCTGTCTGAGTGATAATCTGGTAGGTGAATGTGTGTAAGTGATGAGTGTAGATACAGTCTGAGGGTTGGATGACATTGAAATTGAGTTTTTTAGATTATCTTTTCAGACTAAACCAAAAGAGAAATAGTCTTTTTTGCTTTAACCCTTCCTCGTGTTCAATGCTTTGTCCTCTCCCATCCTCATATGTACAAGTCCTCCTCCTATTGGCCTCCTTCACCTGAAATACAAGGCTGTCCCGGCCGGGGATTGGCTCTTTACCGTGTGTATATCTGTAATTGCATCAGAGGGAACAATGGGTTTCTAGGATATAAGCTTTTATAAACACGGAGGGCTGCACACAGCTCAGTGCTCGAGCTGGGGACAAAGAGTGAGCGAGTAAGATGGAGGAAATTAATGCAGAGGAAAAGAAAGAGGAGGAAACTAGGACTAGTTTATTTCACCTGCTTATGGCAAAGAGGAAGGATTCAGACGAGGATGCGGTTCGTATTAAATTAAATAAAGAGGAGAGGAGTTATATTGCAGATTATGTCAGCTTTTACTGACTGACGCTAATATTTGAGAAATGTACAACCCTTTTTGGTAATGTTGCATTATGTGAGCCTCAATATATATTAAAATAAAGCCGTATAATTTAATATGTGATCTGTTTTTTGCTCCTGTATGTGTTTAATATGTGACACTCCGCAGGTGTTTTTAGGACTTTGTGTTGACACTCTTTTTTTCTTCGTTGTCTCTACAGAAGATCGTGCTACAGCGGCTGATAGTGATTGCTCGGCTCCCCCACCATCTCGCTGACAGGACAGAACTGGGAGGTCAGCCAGCAATTACCTTAGAGCTTCAAAGACCGACAGCACAATAGCTGAGTGCTTGATAATAAGGCAGCACTAGTTCACTGTCATTCTAATCAATGAACTAATCACCTGATACCAATTCAATGCAGTTTTCCTTGAAGGGGAATTCAGGGGAGATGAATGTTTGGATCTACGCTATTTTGCTAACTGTACAGTGGATTTAAGGGAAACCAACTTAACTTAAAATCACAAAAACATTCAATTCTGTCTAGCTTTCACACCTCGGTATGTTAATGAGTCTGCAGGGCGTCCTTTAGGAGCTTTTTGTGGTTGCTGCTGACAAAAATTAGAATAGAAAGCCCACAATAAAAGCCCCCAGGAAACTGTGTGTTGACAACAGAGCTGTGCTTTTATGTTGTCAGGCTGTTGAGTCTCTCAGCTGTCTGCTACTGACTGATACACTGTTCTGTTTGTTTGTTTTCATGCAGCTCATTATGAAAAACTCCACTTTCAGTTGAGCAAACAGTACATGTGGGATCATATGACCGGCCTGCTGTTAATTTATCCGTCCTGCCTGCTGCATATCATTGAAGTAAGTTTTACTGTAAATAAAAACTCACTGTGACGGTTTGTGATCTTGTATTTAAAGTTTTCTGTGTGACTCTCTTCCAGTCGTCCAGGGAGGTTCTGATTTCTGTTTTAAAAGATCTTCAAGAGATCCAACAGCAGCCAGAATGGTAACGATGCTTTCAATGTTCTTCAGATGAATATAATACATGATGTAGTGTTGGGATATAATGAAATTCAAAGTGCTACTCAAAGGTTTATTGTTAAAACAAGATGTTATTTGTGTTATTACAAATTTATCACGTTACAACAATATTCTTGTCAAATGTCATGTTATAACGTGATGTGAACGTATTGTTATAACATTAGATGTTTCTATATTTTCTAATCAAATGTGTTAATTCTGTTTGCCAAGGAAGAGCTACAACTTTAATACGTTTCTTCATACTGGATTTTGATAAGGTCGAAGAAAAGAAAAAAATTAATTAATTTTGCAATTATTAATATAATTATTACACATGCAGCACTGCGGGACGGGTAAGAATAGTACTTAAATACAATATCTAAAACAATATATACTTATAGTAAAATGTAAAAATAGAATATGGAAAATAGAAATATAATAAGATAATAAGAGCCTATATACAATAAAAATATATAAGAGAAGGTTAAAAGCTTCATGTTATAACGTGATAACTTTGTTAATCATTTGTTTTATTAAACAATATACTGTTTATCTTGTTATAATGTACAGAAGCATATTGCTGCCATGATGATTAAAACATATAAACTTTTTAACATGACGATTATAACATAGAAACTCCTTCTTTTGATGATTATATAATATTTATCTTGTTTAAACCTCAAACCCTTCATGTTATATAACATAATAACTTATTGTTATAACATGAAATGTTTAACGTTATAACATTATAACCAATACTGTTATAATGTGAGATTATAATAGTTATAAAGTTATCATATATTCTTATAACATGCTAAGTTTGTATGTTGTAATATTGCAGGTATTATTTGTATCATCATGTACTTACACGTGTACGTCCATATACATCCTCATGGGGTCATTGTAGAATAGAGAAAGGTCTAGAAGCCCCTTACCTTCAGCCTGTTACTGTTATACTGAATATGAAACCATACACATTATCTTTACATCCCTTTTTTTTTAGCTCCTTGCTGGAAGCTCCCAAGGTTGTGTTCATGGCACATAACCACCAAAGCAGGCTGTTCCAACAGTGGAGCTACAAGGTTTGCTTTTTATATTTTCTTCTGGTTATTGAGGTTACATTACGTTTCTCCTCTGCTTTTAATTTATGAATTATAATCTGTATGGATGCTTGATGTTGACTGAAGGTGCTCAGTGAAGCTCAGGCGGTCGGGGACACCGGGGCTAAGAGTCCTGAGGAGGAAGAGGAAGCGAGCACAGAGACTCTGGTTTGCACTGTCCTGTCAGCACTGCAGAAACTGAGTGAACACCTTGAAACGTCTAGGGTGTGTTTACTTTTATCTGTGTACAGCCTCTTTAGGGATTGATGAATGCATTTATTTCTGTTTTGGTCTGTTTTTACAACCATAAAATGATCCTGTCACTGTTTATGAAGTTTATGAGTAACACTGTGTGTATTAGGCTCTTCCTGGGTTAGTGCTGGATGAGACTCCGGAGCTGATCGTCTCTCAGGAGGTCCTAGAGGAGCTCTGGGCTCGAGATGAGCTCCAGACTCCACAACAACACCTACAGATGTACAACTCACCGTTAAACATCAGCATGGACTTTGGTGAGAGGCTTGAGATTCGTTACAGCTGACAGGAATAGATTAGACACTTGATGACGATTGTGTTAATGTCTGCGATGAATGAAGTCAAAGCTTCACAAAGTCACACTTTGCTATGTTGTATATTCTGATCAGGACAAGTTATTCGAAGCAGCTGCCTCACCACAGTTTAACTTTTTGGACAAAAGGTCAAAGGTAAGGACTCTTTGTGCATCTGTGTCCAGTATAAGACATGAAGTCTGTGGATACTTCAGGGACATTGTTACTGTTGGGTTTTCAGCCCATCGTCTTATTAACAACTATTACATGGAGGAAGGATTTATGGTCCCCAGATAATTAATTCTACTACCTTGTTGAGATTAAATGAAAAAAATACTGGATCAATTGATAAATTAATTTTGGTGATCCTCTGACTTTTCCTTTATAGTGCCATCATGCAGTTGTTTGATCTTTCTAACAGTTTCTTATCAATAAGCACTACAACCTCACTGAGGATGGCTGTAGACTCTTATTTAAATGTCATTCTTCATCGCCGTAAGCTCCACAAACAAAACACAACTATCTGCATGAGTAAATACTTCTAGAGGTGAGAGAATGTGTGTTTTTATAATTTGGGTGAACCAACCTTTCATCCCGTGTGATATTTGTTCTACATTGATTTCTCTTTTCTTTGCATGAAGCACAGCACGTTGTGACCGTGCCCACTGTATGTTGGAGGGTTTAAAGTGAAACTGTTTGCTGTAGTTTTCACACACACACACACTCTCTCACACACACACACACAGGATGGTTGTTTGTCATCATACAACTCTCCGCATGCCAGATGTATTTCAGCGCCGTCACCGTCACTTTAAACTTTGATTTACCTTCCAATTCAAAAATGTAATCAAATGTTTTATGCCTCTGCAGAATGTGTTTGGCCTTCCCTAAAGCAGCTCGGATGTGACCGAAGGCTTCCTAGCAGAGAGAAATCACTGCGACAGTTTTACACCAACATTTAATATACGACTGTAGCACTTCTTCTTTCTTTGGATTTTATATATAAAACTTTTTGAGTGAAACAACACAGTTTAGAAGAAAAAACACAGAAAATCCAAGTAATATAAAAACATTTTTAATAGTTTCAACATTCGGATGAGGTTAATTTTATTTTTATCTTACTGTACACTGTGTTCCACTTGGTGACCGGGAGATAGCATGTCCAAGAAAAGGCAGTTCCTCTTTTACTCCAAAACTTTTTAAAGCGTCCACAGCGTCACCACAGTTTGACACAAAGAACTTTTAAGTCTAAAAAGATTCTTTGATCACTTTATGTGTTCCCTTTTTATTTTGGCCCCCATTACTTGGAACTTAAACTTAAGCAAAAAGAAAAAAAAGAACAAGAGAGATGACTGGAGATGTATTTGCAATGGCTGCATGCACCACAGTGTAATCGACAAACATTATGGGTAAAAACAATCCTGAATGCAGCACTTTGTTTTCGTTGTTTGCTGTATGATTTCAGTGTATTTAGTCAGATAAAAGCGCAGTAATCTGGGCACAAACTGTTTTCTCTCCCATCATGTTAGCTGAAGATTTTTGATTTGTGCTTTCCTTATTTGCTATAGATACAAAAGGGTGGATCGTACCGTATTAATGGATCACACGGTGGAAAAACAAACAGTGAATCATGAATGTCTCAAACAAACTGTTGGCAGAATCGATGGAGAGTTTGAATAAAAAAACAAAAAGTTCAAGGGCAGCACTGAATCTTCTTTTATAAAGGTCGATCTATTCACTTATAAAAAATAAATACAAGCACATTTATATAGGACCAAAGATGAGACATATTTCATAGGCATGGTTAAAAAGCATGCTGCTGAGTTTCACACAGGACAATGTCGAATCAAACACCCCCTCCTTCCCTCCCTCCCTCTCCCCTCCCTCCCCAAAAATTGGTCATAACACACTCAAATACCCCACCACCCTCTTTTACTTGAAACTATGTCCACAACACATACAATCCGCTTTTATCGCGACCTATAAGGTGAACATCGTCTATCACCAGTACATTCCACCTACTCGTAAAAAAAAAAAAAGGCCTTCGTATTTTAGTGCTCAAAGGGCATGCTTGCAAAAAGCTGTAATACTGGAAACTGTCTCTGGAATCTCTCCGCGACTGTCTCTGTTTGACAGGGTTACTGTTAATAAAGTTGTGTTTGATGAATACTTTATGTACAAGCCTTAATCTGAAACCCTTTTAGTACAAAACGAAGAGCAGCACATTGTAACACAGAAAAATCCAGACAAAGACAGGACAGATCATTCAACTCATCACAGCCAAATTGTAACAATAACTTTTCTTTTTTTTAAGAACTGTTTTGTGGTCAGCGTGAAGTTTTTCTTCAAAATTTTTAAACAATAAATACTGGAGATTGCATTTAATGCTGTATGCATTCAAACTCAGCTGGAGGATCTTTTTGAACCCAGTAATTGGTATGGTTTGTAACTGAAACTGTTTAGATTAATAGATTATTTGATTGACAGAAAATTAATCAGCAACTATTTTGATGATTTATTAATTGGTAATCATAGTTTTTTCAAGCTTAAATGCCAAAACAGCTTCTATATTGTGAGAATGTACTGCTTTTCTTTGTCCTATGTGAGAGAAAACATTGTAATTTTGACTGTTTTGCACAAGGAAATCGTCTTCCGACATTTTATCAACCAAATGATTAAGAAAATAATCAGCAGATTAATTGATAATGAATGTTAGTTAAAGCCCTAAATTGTAGAAAAGTCACATTCTTCTTTTAAACTGTTTTGATTCTGTAGTTTTTCTGCTTGTAAAAACACGTTTGTATGTTCTAATTTTAAAATTAAAACGTTTAAAACTTTAATATCTATCTTATATTTATTATGGGGGACTGTACAGATGCTTGTTTCCAGTCGTGTTGTGGAACCGAGGAGATTCATTATCTGCTGTCGATTAGTGAAACTAAGAGACAGCGATGCAGCAGTTTTCTTGCAGAGTCTCTTTTAACCTCTTAAACCCTGCTGGATCTTACGATTGATCCACCATTACAGCCGCAGGTTGAGTGGACAAACATCGTGCAAACCCACAGAAAATAGAAGAAGTATCAAATCTGCAGGTTGAACTGTGGGAAAATGTATAAAATGATGCACAATATGTGGAATTCTCGTGTTGGAACAAGCAAATACGGATTAAAAACGCAGAATTATTAAACACTTAAAAGGTAAAATCAGGGTTCAAGAGGTTAAATCTTCTGCAACATAAGCACAATCAGCTGTTTTTATTTAGAAAATCTACAAACTAGATTTAACCTTGAGCCTACGACAGCGCCACGAGAGCTACTGTACCATATAAAGGTTTTACTGTGCGAGCTCTACTTGATGTTATTTTTTGTGAATGTGGCATTATTGTGCTAGAACCAGCAACATTATAATATTATATGTACAGTATAATGTTATAATGTTCACTGGTATTTTATATTTTTCAATACAGTATTTTGTATATATCTATTTATATATATCTATTTATATATATTTAAATTTCTTCCCCTGTCAGTATATACAGAACGTGTATGTACAGACGCTCCAGTATTTACACAAGTCCTGTGAATGATATTTAAAAGAAAGAGAGAAAGATGGCAGAGCAGCACAGTGGCTTTGAGGCCATGTGTAGTGGATGTTCAGGACTGAAAGGAAAGTTTTACTAATCTGGATAGGTCACAACGAAACCCACCACCAAGGCAAATAACAAACTGCTGCTGTCGAATGCAAACCTTGTTACTCCAGTTTTATTGATTTTCAAGTTTTTCCTCTTTTAAACTAAAACCTCTAATTCCTGAAAAGGTTTCGATGCGACAGCAGGGAAATTCTGGTCCCATATTTGAATGCTTTTTTTTTTTTTTCTTTTGCTTTTTTAAATCCTCTGATGAGATTTATATGTAGTGGAAACAATCACAACTCTTCAGACCTAGTAAAAAGTACTCAGAAATATATCTGTATAAATACTCTCATCAAAATAAACACATATACACATATCTTTGCACTTGCTTCTGGTTCACCGATATAGACCAAAAAATATCAGCATCATCAGACAGGGTTCCTATAAACCGCGACGGGGAGGTGGCTGGAACTGAAGCGGCACTGGCAGAAAAAGAGGTGTGCTTGTTTTGCCACTGGGGCTGCAGTTTGTTTTTGTTTTTGACAAAAATAGCACCTGTTTTTCTGTGAGTGTGAATGTCTCCAGTTCTTTGTTATATATGATATGATATGATGTTGTTATACCTCAGGGCAGGAGGACAAACTCTTGTGCCTGCATGCTCTCGCTCAGCTGAGCTAGCACTTCAGTGACGGCTCTTCTCAAGGTGTTTGTAACAGGTCGACCCATGTGGAGCCTGGAGTGTGCCATCGGAGTCATTATGGAGCTCTACTTTTAATTAGGATATTAAAATAATCTGATAACTACAAAAAATATGATTAATTAGCATTTAAAAGCAGCTATAATTGATATTTTTATAGCACCTTTCAGCTGGTTGTTTTGCACCGTTTTCACACTGTTGTTTTATGGCACAGCAGGCAGCTGTTTATAGACAAAAGGCTCTGAAAACCTGCTGAGCACACAGACAAAAGTTAGCATCGAGCTAATGAAGCAACTAAAGAGACAGCTGTTTCACTCAAGAGGTGTTAGAGACCAAAACAGCTAAAAGGCGACAATATGTCAGTGTTTACACCTTGTTTTATTTGCTCCCAAGCAGTGTTGGGAAAGTTACTGAAAAACACTAATTAGTTACAGCAACTTCTCTTAAATGTAATTGAATTACTTTACCAATTACTGCCTATAAAATGTATTATTTACTAGGTAAAGTAACGTTTTGTGTTACTTTTAAATGATTCAAGTCTCTCATTAACGCACACAGCTGTCTATTATATTATTTTAGTGTTGCTGTCACAAATGTATCTAGCTATTAATACTCCCGACCACCAGAGGGCAGCGACGAGTAACATACTGCTTGTAAACTACACTTATTGTAGTAGACAGGAGGATTACCGTAAGGTCGGTGATGTTAGACATAAACAAGTAAATCAACTGTCTGCAGTTGTTCACTATTTTCAGGTACATTTAAATTTCATTACATTACTAGTTTCCACCAAAAGTAGTGGAATTACAGTAACTTTAATGTCTTCCTATCATATTCAATCTAGTTATTAATTTGTTTCTTGCTTTAATATAATTTAAGGATGCTTCTTTGTAATTGTTAGCAGTATGACATCTAAATATTAAAGGTTCCCTCTGGAGTTTTTGACCACTAGTAGCGCTACTGAGCAACGTTTTACGGCTTTTTCACCAACGTACAAGAAGCAAAACAATAATAAACAGTAAACAGTTCGGCTTTGCAAAAGTTCTATGAAGAAGGAAATGAATTCAAAACAATTGTTAGAGCTAAAGGATTCACACAATATGCTTTGGTGACAAACACTAAAAATAACTTTTTGTTCGTTTACAAGAAAACTCCACAGGACACCTTTAAATAAAGTCCAACCCACAGAGGAGCAGCAGGAGCTCTGTTAGCAGCAGCTGTTACGTTTTGGCAGAAGGGCGGCCAATCAGAGCTCCTGCTGCTGCTCTGTGGGTTGGACTCACTTTAATTATTCATTTAAGCAAATGTTCTGGTGGCACACTCCAGGCACCGTAGTACCAAACCTGCACATTGTCGTCTCTCTGTGGATTCAGCTCCCCGTTCCTGAAACTCAAATTACTCCTTACTTGACACAGAAAAATGAAAAATCCCACGCGACTTTGCTTGCTGCCAAAATAATTATGTGTAATCACATGGAGTTTTTCATTTCCCGGCATACTGGACCTTTTTCCCCACTCCAACCTTTCCATTTTGTACCTTTCATAAATATCTCATATATTTAATAGCTCCCTGACAACATCAACTATATTCTATCTGGAGGAAATGGTTCCTTTATAGCTCTCCTGTAGATACAAAATAGGATCTGATTTGATTTATAGTGTTAATTGTATCATATATTCTGGAAAATGTACAGTATAAACAATAAATATTCAGTGATTGATATCCTGATTGAATGCAAATACAGAGAAAAATGTGATTGGGTGTTAACCTCTTTGCAAACCTGGTAGTTATTTTTCCTAAACGTCTAAAACATGCATTCCTGTTTAGCTCCACGACACCAACAGTGCAACATCATAAAGTACAGTTACCAAACACATAGAAAACACACACACACACACACACACACACGCACGCACTTCCACAACGACATACTGGCACACTCACAGTGAACGCTCAGGTGGGACAGAAATTCGGGGGGGTTGTTGCCACCACATACCAGAGCGAGGCATTTTTCAACTGACACCCCTGAGGAATGGAGGAGGAACTCGAGATGGGAGATAAACATTGAGAGAAAGAAGAAGAAAAGTGTTGGCAGGAGAGATGTACAGTACTGTGTTCTTCTTCCTCTTCTTCTTCCTTCTTAAATTCACTCACGAGAAGCAGCAAAAAGCGCTACTCCCAGCAGCCTGTTTCCAGTCTCGTGTGTGAAGTTAAAGGCAATATTGCAAGTGAATCAAAATAAGGCCAAAAATAAAAAATAACATTAAATAAAATTTTTTAAAAAATGTTTCCAGCCAACGTAAAATGTCAAATTGTGTGTTTGATCAGAAGTCCCCTGACAACCCTGTCGCTAACACCTCCTGTACGTATCTTTTAGGTGCATTCACCGCATTTTTTTGTTGTTATTTTCTAGAGTTTTAACAAGCCGACCCCTCTGGATCGAGTGGTGTGGCGATGAGATCCAGAGTGAGTGAAGAGTAAGCCAGCTGGAGAGGTGAAAGGTCACTGAATGAGTGTGCAGGGGTGCAGCAGTAGCGTTGGGTTTCGTTCAATCAGCCGGTGGGCGGGCAGGCAGGGAGGTGGAGGTGGGTGGGGGAACTCAGTGGCGTCATAGCACTGTGCTCTCGGACTCTTCCTCCGACTCCGCTCTGTTGCTGGTCGACTCGAGCAGTGCCACTGAGTTCCTGAAGGGGGAGATACCGTCAAAGTCAAAAATACCGTCCAGTTCCACGTTAATGATGGGGATGTCCAGGTTGCAGAGAGAATCTGGCAGAGCACACACACACACACACACACACACACACACACACACACACACACAGACAGCATGTGAAGACAGGGAAAGTACAAACACTGTAGATTTGGGTAAAATAAAAGTTGTAGAGTGAAACAGATCATTCCAGATGTGGTTTCGTCGACGCTGGATGATGTTACACACAGCATGTGGGTCATCATAACTTCAAACCATAGTTACAGTATGAGTAAATTAAAAAAACGCACGATAGGGATGCACGATACAAAGATAACCTGCATGGCCAAAAGTATGTGGACACCTGAACGTTTATATCTTATTTATATTCAGAACTACGAGTGTTATTCTGCAGCTTTAACAGCCTCCACTCTTCTGGTTTCAGGTTTTACAGCAGATGTTGAAGCTGGCTGTGGGGATTTGCTTCCCAGTCAGCCTCAAGAGCATTAGTGAGATCCAATACTGATGTTGGGTGATGAGGTCTGGCTCACAGTCTGTGATCCAGTTCATCCCAGAGGGGCTGGATGTGTTTGAGGTCAGGACTCTGTGTAGGCTGGTTAACATCTTCCAAACCAAACTGGGAAAACCAGGAAATACACTGGTTCCCAAGCTTTTTCCTGAAGGGAGGCCTTTTCTATCATTAAGTAATGTATTTTATGAATATTTCACATTATATTCAATGAATAATAGCAGCACAGAACAACTGATAAACTGAACAATGAATCCAAATACACAATAACTGCAGGAAGTTTCTGTAAATGATGCGATTTGGATGAATTTTGATCAGATTATTTCCAGTGCATACTGATCGGAGATGAGTTTTACTGATATTTTTAGTAACTTGTTATTAAATTCTCCATCTGCATTATGTATTTTTTATATTTTTGAACAATCAAACATACTTAATGTTTCCTTCACATTGTTCTATTAACTCTGGCTGTTTATCAGAGAGTGAAGGCTCTGTGAATACAGCTTGTGATCAGGTCTTCAAAGTTTAGAACTAAAATGACAAGTTAAAAATAACAATTTAATTTCACAGAAATGAATGAAATGCTGAGATATAGACCTGCTGTGTATATTATTTACATTTTCTTACACCATGTGAAGCTTCAGCGACCCCTAGTGGGGGTCCTGACCTCCAGGTTAGGAACCGTGTATGCTGCATCATTAAGATTTCCCTTAATTTGAACTAAAGGTCCCAAACTAAGAAAATTCTGAACAAAAGTACACTAAAGTATGTAACTTAGGGGTGTCCGCATACATATTTCTGGCCAAGTTCATATGTAGGATAAACTATTTCTGCTTAAATGTGGCATGGAGTTAAAAGTTAAAACAAATAGTTGCTTTAAGTCAGTGAAATACTGAGTTCTGTGATCTATCAGCTGGAGAAAAAATGCACCAACAAAGAGCATCAAAAATACTGTATATGTATATGTGTAAAATGTATATATATTTTTTTATAATTTCTACATTAAAGTAAGGTCATTCGTGTGGTTTAAGGTTTCAGATTAAAAAAATATTGGTAAAAATTGGTACTGCAGAGGCTGAATATATCCTGACTTTTACTCCCTGGCATGAGCTAAGCTTTAAAAACACCAAATTCTACAGTTCCCATAATGCAACTCAGTGATGTCTCAGTATGCATCCAGTTTGTAATGTGAATTTTATGTCCAATATTCCCCCGATGAACCTTTGTTTAATCACTGGTAGAAACTACACTCGTGGTGGTGTGCAGATGACAAATATCTGATTCTGATCCGTCCTTTTCATCAGTGTAAAGCTAGCTTTGTGCATCGTGCATCCCCACTGCTTAAACCTGATTCAGACATGATCAATGACCATTAAAAAAACAAACACTAATCAATTCAGTGAACACTGTCAAAAACCCAAAGACCACAAGATCAATATATTAGTTTATACTTGTGTATAAACTAATATATTGACCTCAGTTTGATGCACATATGATGTCCACAGTGTGATGAACAACTGCACAGACAGAAAGTGTGCTGACTGGGGAACAGTGGTGGGCAGTGAGGCACAACATTGTGGAGTGGGAGGGGGGGTGTGAGGGGTAGTGACTGTCAAAGCCAGGAGGGGAAGGGGGAGGCAGCTGGAGCAGGGCATTATGGGTGGGAATTCTAAGGGTAGAAAAAAGGTTGGAGGTTTTTTTGGCATCTGCCCTGGTCTGGTTTGGACAGGGCGGCCCGTGTAAGCCATGCATCGCACCAGTCTCAGCCACCATGCAAAGGCCAACAGAACGGGTTAGAGCCGGACTGAAAACAGCAGCTGTTGGTATGTACATAATGAGGACTCGTGTACAAGTACACCAGCGGAGGCTCTAGAGTGAGGCTGCCGTAGAGCAGTGAATCAGACAGAAACCTGATCCGAAAATCTGCGTCTACCTGCAGCTTCACCCTACTGTGAGCTGGCTCCGCGTTCGGGGGCCAGGATGGCAGAGGGATCGGGAGGGGTGGGGAGGTGAGGCTTTAGCACGGGAACTCCTGCTTACCCTAAAAGTCCCTCTCACACAAAGAATCACACTGAACCTCTCGGCTCATACCGCTGTAAGTGAGACAATAAGAGCAGTCGACAAGAGGGGAAAATTAGACCAAAGCATCATTAGAACCGACTCGTTAATGTTGAGGTAAATAAATCGATAAAAAGAGAATTAAGTCCAGAAACAGCCAATGTAAAATAAACAGGTTTTAGAGCAGATTTATGTTTTATTTAACTCTGATAAAGTCTGGTGTTATTCTATATTTGTCTTAGTGTCAAAACAAATCCCAGGAAAAGACCAAAAAAAGACGTAAATCTTTAAAAACAAGTCACAATTATTTATATTTTTATATTTAAAAAAGGTTCAGTGATTTCCTAAAACAGCTTTAGTTTTTATTCATCAAACGTTTCTGAAACAGGAGGAAAAAGTACATTATTCGGGACTATTTTAACAGCTTTTGGACAACAATGAAGCTCCATCCTCTAAATTAAATGTGGGTTTATTTATTCCAATCTTGCACTGCGCTGTAACTGCGCTGTAATGTTTATTCTCCTTTTTAATCAGTTTAATCCCACCTTTTTCTTACAATATAAATCTTGGTCTTTTTATATTATTGTGTTTCTTTTACACCTCGTTTTAAAGCCTTTGATGTCTTATTATGTAGCACTTTGTTGTTAAAAAGCCCAGAGGAATAAGATATATCAGGCTTTGGATACGCAGACAATGCATCTGTTTCGTTTTGGGATTCACTTTGTGGGATTTGCAGACAAGGAAAAAAATATAGAATATCACCAGTCTTATCCTTGATCTGTTGTGACCTGATACAGTTATCTAGCTGGTGGTCCAACAAACTTAAATCATGAACATTTGTTGATTATTTATGCTAAATAAATAGGTTTTTTGTCAAAGTAACCAGCAATTAATTGGCTCAAACTGTAGTGTGAATATCTTATAAAGTAAAAGTACAAAATTAAACGTAAGTTTAGTAAAAGTACCTCAACTTAAAGTGAACACGGGTAGTATTGTTTTATACACCTCACCTGTGGACATGCTCTCCCCAGGAGACAAACCATCCAGCAGACCCGTCGAATGGTCCAGAGGCTGGGGACTGGAGCCGGGTGTGGTGGGGGGCTGAGGAGGAGGTAAGCTGGGCCTCTGACGGGGCGGTTTAGGGGTCGGCCTCGCCTTGGTCAGAGTCCCAGCCAGGGAAGGTGGAGAGGAGAGAGACGGGGTGGTGGCCATCTGGGCCATCTGTCCCGGGGAGCCGATGGTGGCATATCCCTGCGGGTAGCTGAAGCCGTAAGGGGAGGGGGTGCTGGGAGGAGTGGGCGACAGGCTGACGGGAGACGGCTGACCTGTCGACTGGTCAGACATGGCTCCTGTCTGGCAGTAAGGGCCTTTAGGGGGGATCGGGGCCAGTTTCTTTGCTGCAGAGACAACAAAGGTAAAAAATAGATCTCCGTTACGTAAATATTACAAACCTAAAATTAGTAAGTAAGAAGAAAAGAGTTGTCGGTTCTCTCAGTGATGGAAACTTATTTGGAAGATGGACTCTTTGGGTCCTCTGATTGTGATGTTTTTCATTAAAGTTAGGAGGTTTTTATTTAAAACAAAACAAAACATTAGGTTACTAACCGCTGCTCTTAACTGAAACTGTCATAATTAAACAATTCAAAGAGTAACTATTAACAGATTACAAATTAACAGTCGTATATTTGCCTTAAAGTGAGCAGATACTCAGGACATTAGTTTTGTTGCTTTATGAAGTAAATTTAGAAAGAAGTTTGGAGCATTGTGTTGACACCAACTAATTATTAATGACCTGCAGCTTTTAATATAATACGTCTTTATATATGTTCTTGATAAACACTAAAAGTAACAATATCACATGAATAATTATAAAAATAATTACAGTTAACTGAATGACAGAAGTCCTACCTGTGGTATTTTATTGATAAAATAATATCTGTAATATGTCGCCTATTTATAGTATTTTAATACAGTCTTATAAAAACAATGCAAATACAAACATAAGAACATGAAATAAGGGTAATCACATTGGTTTACGATCGCAGTGACCGCTGACTGAACAGATAAAGCATCAGGATTAATCAATGGCTGTTAGTCTGGTCAGCAGCAGGTTAGCTGCTCATAATAAATCTCCATGGTAACAAACAGGTCACGACTCAACTCAGCCGGGATAACTCCCGACTTAATCTGCTGTCTAGGTTTTTCAGATCTAGAGACGTCGCTGTGGTGACTTTTAGGAAAAAGTTAACTTTTAACAGATAAAGTTACAAAAAGTGACTGAAAGAGGATAGCATGAAAATAACTGCACACAGCCTCAGTACCTCTCCTCAGGGTGTGAGGGCTGTGCTCAGAGTGCTGCGACTGTCCACTAGAGGTCATTGTTCCCTGGATCCCCTTCTGTCCAATCACTGGAGACAGCTCCTTGTTCTTCAGAGTGCTGAGGAGGAGGAGGAGGAGGAGGAGGAGGAGGAGAGAGAGTGAAGGAGAAACACACACAGAAATCACAAGCTTGCCCCACTTCTCTTTAGTAATATGTCAACCCTGTAAATCTCTTGGCGTATTAAAAAAAAAAATATGAGAGCATAACCCATAGTTCAATGTCAAATTGCCTGAGTGACCAGTGTTGCAGATGGACGTGTAGTCTATACTGCGGTGCAGCAGAAGCAGTTCAGAAATCCCAAATAAACCCTAATGGCTTAATGGATTTTCCTTACTTTTACAGCGCAGTGCAGACAGAATGCCAATAGGAAGAGGGCCTGAAGGTCACAACATAACCAGTTTATACTCTGGCTGACTGTCAGCCCGCTCTCACTCTCGGCAGATGAGGGCATGAATGGATGATTGAAGCTGCTGGGATTTAAAGTCGAGGCGGAGCAGCGCACAAATTTTGTCAAACACAATAATGTCGTTAACCGACGCTGCCACTCGTGTTTGTTTTTACTTAAACATTGTTGTTTTGTTCATTTTCAAGGTCTGATCTTGCAGTCTACCACTCGGGGCCGACTGGGCCCACTGGTATGACTCATTAACGCCCACTTTTTTTTATAATGGTATGCACTGAAAGCTTTGAATTTCCTTTGTTGCCTGGCAACCGTCTCCTGAATATCCTGGCAACATGGAAAGTTATGGATTGCATTCATGGCTATAAAATTAAAAGATGGATCTGATAATGATGTTCCTAAAGCGCATTGATTTCCATGACTGATGGATACACAACCAAGGGAATAAATACGACGAAGAACAAGGTGGCGCTGTTGGGATCAAATCATCCCTCTCTCTCCCTCTTTGTCCCTGCAAGGCCTCTCTCTCTCTCTCTCTCTCTCTTCATTTGTGTGTGAGTTGTGTGGAAGTACGAGTTGAGCGGGATTCTGTATTTACCTAGTCAGCTTGGCTCCTCTCTCCCGGCTACAGGCACAGGCTGCCCATGGAGGGGGAGCAGATAGGGGGGTGTTGGGGGGTTTGGGGGAGCCCAGGAACAAATCGTGACGAGTAAGGACGAGCGGGGGTTTGATGTAAAGGGTGGAGCCATTCGGTTCGGACAGGGCCGCATGCGAGGCGTCGGACAGGGAGACCTGTTTGGGCAGGTGCAGGGAGTTGGGTTTGGGGTTGGAGTTGACGTCAAGCTGCTGTGGGGACGGGCAAAGGGAGTGGGGGAGTGGGGGCGGGCTGTAGCCAGAGCGGCGGGGGGGAGGGGACGGGCCGGGAGGCACGGATTCGGGACTGGGAGCGACGGGACGCATACCCGGAGGTGCTCGGGTGTAGAAATGGTGGTGAGGGAGCGAGTGGGAGGAGCAGCAAGAGGAGGAGGAGGAAGATGAGGAAGAAGGGTAAGGGGGAGGCAGCCTCTCCTCCTCAGGGGAGGGGTAGGCGTAACAGGAGTCCGACCAATTGGAGGATGCATCATCCGAGCTGCAATGATAAACACATCAGTGTCTCATGGGGAACTGAGCTCCAGAGGTTATGAGTTGATTAGAATCTAAAAGGGGAAGAGAAGCGGGTTGTATTGATTTGTGTGTTTAGGTTGGGTCCATTGTGAGGGAGGAAATCAGGCGAATATTAATTATTGTGTCAGGAAGTAGTGAGGGCTTGGGGCGGGGGGGCGGGGGGGACAGCAAAGAGGAAATAAAGGATAGGTGCTCATGAACTTCCGTGGTTTTCAAATCATATCAATGAGATAAAACAGAAAGTTTATCACCTCATCCATTGCAGGGCCTTGCGACAATGGACTGTTATGCTGTTAATGATGCTTGGACTAAATGGCAAAAAAACAGAACAGATATATAATTCATGCACATGCAGCAGTGAACCATTTTCTACTGAACTACGGATGAACTTTTCTCAACTTTTTCCCTCCACACATTGTTACGTTGTTACATAAAATCTTCACTTGCGCCACAAGGTACAATGGAAATGAACTCCACACATGACTCTACAAAAAGAAGAACTTAAAGAGCAATCACAAAAACGACACAGAGGTGGAGAGGATGAGCATTTCGTGGAAAGGGTGGGGGTGGGGAGGGGGAGAGAGAAACATCAACAGACAAGAAAACGTGGGTCAAGCGCTGTTCTGGTGTCAGTTGCAGGACGCAGCAGCACACGCGGCGGGGAGGGATCAGCGGCAGGTGGGAGGTGTGTGTGGGGGGTGAAACAGGAGGACGGGAGAGGGGTGGGGTAAGGGAAGGGGAAAAGGGGGGCACGACAGCCTTACCTGGCTCGGTCGCTGCTAGTGGGAGGAGGGGTGGGGGAGGGGGAGGCAGAGAATTCCCCAGGCTGCTCGGGGACGAGAGCGTCAGTGGGCGGGGCAGGGGGATGCACGCTCGGTGGCGTGGAAGAGCTTTTACGCGTAGAAGACGAGCCCCTGCGCGACACCCAAGAAGTGTCCATCACCCTGACACCCATGCTGCAGTGGGACAGAGATGCACAGCCAATCAAATCAAGGGTGTGTGAGGTTCAAGAAGGAGGGGGGAGGAGGTCAGGTTTCCACACCCTGAACTGATCGTCAGGTGGAGAGCTGAGGAGGGATCTAAAAAAAGGTCTGACCCTGGATCAGCTTCTAGGGTCTCTGTGCTCCACCCACACAGCCTCGTATGGGTGTACTCACGATCCTCAGCATGCAGGAACAAAGAACAACATCTTATCTACACAGTGTCCTTGTCTCAATGTATGATTCCCTTTTTTTAATGACACATTTTTGTCCTATGTGATTGTGACGTATGAGTGAGGTGAAATATTTAGATAACTGCAGCACAAGAGCAGTTTGGATGAAATGAACAAGAATAAGATGTTATGGTTATATTGTAAGGTTAAAAAAAGACATTTTGGGAAACAGCCTGATTCACTTTCTTTGTTTGATGTTAGATGAGGGACTATTTCTTATCGGTTTTGTCTTTTAACTTCCAGTTGCTAACTTAAGTCAAAAGTCTCGGCTCTGATTGTTCTCACAGCCGACAGTACGATCAATACGGGCAATCGTTGGCACAAAGTTACCTCCGGGGTTTAACTAATGTCAACTAGCTCACTTTGTGTTATAGCTTCTGATGAAGCATTGATAAAGGTTATTCAGTTATTAATGTGACTTGCGTTTGCTCTAACGATCACTTAAACAATGAGTTTACTTTATTTAAGAGAAGAAGACAATGCACATTAATAAAAACACATAATATAAATAAACGCCACAGTTAGCAAAAAGGCTATTTCCCTCCTGAGTTGTGCTTTGTAATAAACGTGAATTAAAATAAATGTTTCATCCAACTAGGTAATATTTATTTAGAATGAGCATCTAGCTAACAGTTTCCCTCTGCTTCCAGTCTTTATGCTAAGCTAAGCTAACTGGCTGCTAACTGTAGCTTCATATTTTGCACACAGACCAGAGTACACACCTAGATAAATGTTCCCAAAATGTCCAATTTCACCAGAGTTTAATCTGTTTATCTGTCAGGTAAAACAGGAACTAACTTCAGTATGTAGTTGGCTAAGACTAAACAACAAGAGGCTATTGTGCTCTCAGGCTGAACAAGTTTATCCACTGCCAGAAACTGCAAAGATACTAACTATGTAAACACAGAAAGAAAGACCTGCTTTGTCCAAGTCACCCATTTGTCAACCCCACTCTGTCGGAGACATTGAACTATAGGAGTCCAAGTGTGTCACTTCATTTAAACACACGACAAATGACAGACAGTCCCTGTCAACGGGCGGCGGAGACGAACAGATGATGAATAGGCCGATGAGAGGATGACTGGAGGAAAAGGATCTATACTGTACCTTTGTATCTTCCTAATGCTGCATAGTTAAAACAGAGACAAGCACAATGAGGACAGGAGTAAGGATCATGGAAGACAGGAGTCTCCCCGGGCTCATTAAACAGCATCGTTATCAAAGCAGCAGACTTTTAAGACAAGAGCCGAGATGGAGGACGAAACGGGGGAGGCTGGCCTGGCAGGAGGCCGCATGGGGACCCGAGTCACGCTGAGTGTAACGAGGAGAGCGATTTGAGGGGTGAAATGTGCTCTCCCTGTAGTGCTTCAACCACGTTCGAAACCCAGAGAGGACATTTTCCTTCCATTTAGCCCTAATTAGGTCAAACTTTCCCTAATGGATACTAGAAAATCCCCCAAAATCAACGGTTTCTTACAGCTGCAGTGTGGTTGGTTGTGACAATCTGGTACATTAATGCATCAGGATTACAACATTCACAGTGTAAAACTGTTCAAAGTTCATTTAACTGATAAAAATAGTTGAAACTGATTATATCAAACATTTAAAGTAAAACTAACTCAATTTTGTGAGTTAAAAAACAGCTGCAAACTATCTGTGTGGTGTTACAGGGGGGTTATGTGTGACAAGACACCAGGTAGTCATTGGAAATAAACTGTTCCCAGTCTCTATGCTAAGCTAAGCTGCTCTCAAACACACAAGAGTGGTTTCAATCTTCCCATCTTAACTCTAAAACTCGCCAAAATACCAAAACATTTTATGGTTTTGAAGTAAGAGCACACATGGGTGTAATGTTCCAGTGTCCACATACTTTGTTCAGGTGTCTGAATACTTATGGCCATCTAGTGTAGTGTCTTCTAAGTCTTTAAACTGCTAACTATCTCCATTAAAGGTTTAAAATGTCATTTTATTACCTAATTTGTTAGTGCACCAGATGCTGCCCAACCATTTTCCTCTGATAAAATCTTCACTATCACTCTGCAGTACTTTCTACCTTGTATGTAACCTTGTATGTCCGGACTACCTATAAATTATTCCCACTGGTCAGATTAATGTAGAGGTAAGTGCAGTGGTGTCCTTCAGCCGGTCCTGCTGCGTACAGAGGATGATAATGTTTTTATTCCTCACATGACGAGGCCACAGATCCCCGGGGGCAGCGAAATGTTACTGTCTCAACATCACTTAACCTTTTAGAAGAATGTGCACCAAGTAAAAAAAAAACGCAACTTTACAACTGTGTACAGACATCTTTTGTTCATAAAAACTAAGACAACCTCTCTTTCAAAGGAGCAGCAGCCTCTTTGTGCTGAGGCTGCGAGTTCTGAAGAGTGTTTCTATTGAGAGCTGAGCTCTATTGATCACACACACACACACACACACACACACACACACACTTGGTCCTGGTTTAATTAGCTGGGCTACTTGTGGTCCCAGTGCTGCAGAGCTCAGACTCCCCGCAGGGCCTGATAAGACCAAGGGTGTATTAAAGCATTAAAGAAAGAGACACTGAGACAGAAAGAGAAAGAGAAAGAAAGCGACTGACTGGTTTTCAGCTAATCCTCCAAAGCTTGAGGATTGTCAGATTCCTCATTTCACAGACTAAATGTCATGTCTCTCCCACTTTCTTACCCCTCTCTCTCGCCTGCATAAAAAGCTTAAAAGCAAGTGCTGCAGCTTCGGAGTGATACAGTATTTCTTTCTGTCCACCTCATCGTGAAACTGAGCTTTTCACCGAGGTCACTTCTCACATGAAACTTGTGTAATCAGTGGGGAATTCTCTCCTCACTCTTACTTCACACGTCCGACCCTGTCAGAAGGCGGTCGTGCAGAAACTTTACGTGCTTCGATGACAGAGAGAGAAAAGAAATGAACTTGAGCTGAGCTGTCAGTTAGGATCCACCCTGAATGAAGCTGTAAGGACGCCGCGGAGGAGAGGAGACTGCTGATTGATTCAGAGGCAGAGCGACATGATTGTGTGCGTAATCACTGGGAGGATTTAGATGAGTGGGCTTGTTTAAGATGAGTTTCCTCTGACTTGCAGAGAGAGGATTGTTGGAGCAGTTTTTTTCCACACAGTTCTGGTTTCCTGAACACACGTTTGCAACTCATTCAGATGGTGGTAATGGATGCAGCACTTTGAGTCAGGGGACGGCCCATTGTTCAGAAAACCCCAGCATCGGACCAAAAGGCTGTTTGTTATCCCAAACACTAAAGCCCACCGCTCTGAAGGCCTGTTTTTTACAAAAAATTACACAGGATTGTGCCCCTAATATCTTAGCGGAGTTGGACGTGCAGGAAAGGACGCAGTCAGGTGACCTTCGTCGTCATGGTAATGATAATAAACACGTGGATTGAAACGGTTGCAGTTTGGTTAGGCATCACAAGTAGTTGGTTGGCTTTGGGAAAAGATGATGTTTGAGTTAAAATAAGCACATTAGTAACGTCAGTTGAAGATATAATATGAAACATTTCTGCATTAAAATGTCTATAAACTCTAGCTCTATGTTCTATATGTAGTTGAGTTGTGTTCTTACATTATCCCAAATGTTTCCAACAATGTTCAAACTCAGAGAATCACTGATCTCAGAATCAATCATTCACCGGTCGCCTGTCGATGGCGTCATATCCCCTTTGTGCCTGCGTCAGCGTTGTGGTTGTCTGCCAGAAGCTGTCATACATTGACTGTTGATCCAGTCTGAAGCCACATTGTTACCATCCACTGTTTAGATCTTGGTGCTTTTTAACTCTAGATTTGAACCGGATGAAGGATTTTAGTCATCGGACGTCTGGATCTTAAGTTATCAGAGAAACAAGCTGAGCTAACGTTAGCAGCAGCTCGGCTCGCAGCCCCTCCGGGACGTCCTTTGTCTGTCCAACAGCGTGGGAGAAGCAGTGATTGTTAAGGTGGAACTGTTTTATTCTGTGTTTTTAGTGGTTTTAATAATCGTATCTGTTTGTTTTTGGAGAGGAGGAGACCTCTGTGGATGAGACTGAGCCTGGACCTTGTTTACTGTCGGCTCTGTTGACAGGATGCTGTAAAAGATCACGTACGCTCAACCAACCCCAGAACTGCAGCTAAATGTGTTGAAAATGAAAATGTAATCCCAGCTGAGACAGAAGGGTCATACCCGTCCTTCTTGTAGAACTCCAGCATCATGTTGTCTGTGGCGACGCTGAGCGGCCGTCGACTCTGGTCGTTCTGCCTGCGATCGATCTGATCCATGTCCGGAGACGGCATGGAGCTGTAGTTGGCATTGTGGTTTGTGTGGACCGGGCTGCCGTAGTTCCCTGTGACATTGAACTCGATTTCTAAAAAGAGAGACAGAAGAAAACGACGAGATACAGAAAGAATTCAGCGTTTTATTTCGTTATAGAAATCAACCCTCCACTGTAGAAACAAAACTCACCTCCAGGGAAGAACCAGTCGGCGTGCTGGATGATGGGTTCGATGATGCCGACGATCTGCAGGGAAACTGTGGTCATCATCTCTGTGATGTTCCTGCAGCGGACAGAGAGGAGATTTTTTTTTTCTTAATGGTGGGACGTCAAGGAAAAGTAGTCGTCTGGATCATAAGAATTTACACTCAGGCGGTGATTAACACATTTTCATGATATTGCGAAAGCATTAAAAGGAGAAAATTAAAACTGTTTCTGAAATGTGGGCTATTAAAATACTAATTAAAAGTTAGAGAGGGATAAAGAGTTTGTAAGATTTACAGAGATATAACAGAAGTGTCCTTCACCCTTTCCAAACTGCTTAGTCATCATCGTCATGAATACACTTTATGATAAAAACGTCTTCTGGATGTGTAGGAGCCTCATGCCTGTTGGCCATTTTGTTATTAGTACTGGTGGCACTTTAAACAGCATCATGAATGTGAGCGGCCCGAGTTCCTCACAGAGGATACCATGAGAGTCTGACTGTCTGCTACATCCACTGAGTTACTGCAGGAAAAACTTTTGCAGTTTGGATTCTTTTGCAAACTTTTCAAGCACTTTGAGCTGATAAAATGTTGCCATTTCTAGACTTCAGCAGCCGTAAAGATTAAAACATTTTAACTTGGTTGCCAACTCATGGATTGGAAAATTAACCAAAAGTGCAGTTTTAATGTCAACAAATCCCACAAAAAGACTAAAAACAACACGTTAGTTTGTCTCTTAAATACTTCTTGACTTTCTGTGACACTCAAAGACCACTGGTTCCTACTGAAGACATAAAATCTTTAAAAACAAGTCAGAAATATATTGTTTAACCTGTCAAACCATGACAGCTCCAGGTTGTGTGGTCAGAAAAATTTTTCAAATTCAATTTATCCAAATAACAAGACCGAGATTTTTCAGAAATGTAAAATATGCCAGGTTGAACTGTGATAATACCTGTGATTCAATACATTGAATGTTCCATTGCATGTTGGAACAAGCATACAGAGAATAAAAATGTATGTCGGGGACTATTTTGAGCCATGGATTAACAGACATATGGTGAGATATATATATACCCATAAATACATGGTCCAAAAATCCTAAATAGCATCCGAACCTGAGATAAGATTCAGACTCAGGAAGTTTCTGTAATGAGGCCCCAGGTGAGCATTTCCAGCAGCAGGAAGGTGTGTGTGAGTCAAAATGTGTGTTGATGGTAACAGAGGATCAGCAGTGTGGCTCATTAATGTGTTTATAATAGTTTCTGGACAACAATGAAGCTCTATGGCACAGAGGAAGAACATATATATCAAGCTTTAGATACAAACACTTCATGGGACTTGTTGACAATAAGTAAATTATAGAACATCATCAGTCTAATGCTCTAAATACCCCATGTGCATGTCTCACTTAAAGCTGTATTTTATATTGTTAATATCGTTAACCTCAAATAATAGCCCAGGCTTTTATTTGCTTAAGTCCCTGAACTCAACCTGCCTATATTTGGGACAGGCCTTTAATTCCTTTTGCACAAAACTTTTATTTCTTCTATTCAATATTACCTCTAACGAATAACCTCTAATTAAAACCTGCTTTTATTTGAGAAAACACGTAGCCACACCAGGCTACTAAAGGAGACCTGTTTCTAATTAGGACCCTGCTTTTAATTAAATAAAGTTTCACGGTATAAAAATCAGTAAACTAGCGTCACTGTGTGTCTCTGCTATCTTACCCTTCGTTGTGCATCCACAGCAGGTTCGGTCCGAGGACGATGGCGATGTTTCCAGGCGTCATCTTGTTCACATCCTGGTATTCAGTCAGTTTGGAGAGAAATTTGATCAAATACCTGTTGACGCAGACACAAGAAATAGGTCAGTCGGTGAAACAGTACATTCATTTAGCAGAGTGAGTGCAAATGAGTACATTGAACATGAGAAGTGCTTCACAGTCACGGTATGGAAATATGACCAGAAACCCTGCTGTACGCTGTATATCGAGTGTCTAAGGATAGGAGGAGTCTTATGTTATGCAGATTGTAGAGCTCTTTGAAGTTAATTTGTGATTTTGTGCCACAGCATATAAAATGGAAGACAGCTGTGTTTTCAGCTGTCAGCACATCCAATGGGTTTTTAATGGTTTATTTAACTTTAGAAACAGAAAAATACAAAATCACCAAATCTGGAGCTACATGGTTTTCACAGATCAACTACAATATATAAAACTAAAGTCGCATCAGTGCAGGAGATGGGGTCTCCAAATTACAGCTACTGTGAGTTTAAAAGTATTTAAATTGTGTACATTGTTTTACTGATGAGGTTGAACTTTTCCTAAATGCACATATTCCTTTATTTTATCTAATTTATAAAGTATTTAACATGTGAATTTACTGATGAGGAAGTTGTGGTTTATCAATCTCTTCAAAAGCGATGGTTTAAATTATGATGTGATGGTCAGTGGTCAATTTTAAAAAGTGGGTCCAGAGAAAAAAACAAAGTTTGGGAAACACTGTACTACTGTGTATATTTTTTAAGCTTTCCTACATCCCTAAAAACCAAGAAGGCCTCGCGACCCCCCTGTGAAGCTTTGGGGACCGCTAGTGGGGATCCTGACCCCCAGATCCAGAACCAGTCTATCTGCCTGGGTTAGAAGATACCAGTTGATGCTGGGATAAATGTAAAGCCATGTTCCTGCAGAGCTACTCTTTTGTCATTAGGGCAGTGGTTCCCAAACTGGAGGTCTTCATGGGGGGTTGTGAGGCCTTTTTGAGGTTAAAGGATGTATGAAAACTATAAAATATACACATTAGGTCTATATCTCAGCATTTGGTTCATTTCTGTGAAGAAATGTAAATTTAAATTGTCTAATAGAACAATGGTCAACCAAATTTGTCAATAAAGAAGCCTATTGAATACGTATTATTGTTAAAAATAATTTAAAAAATACATAATACAGACAGAATTGTTCCCTAAACAGGAAATAATCTGCTCAAAATTCATCCAAATCACTTATTTTACACAAACTTCCTGAATTTACTGAGTTCACTGTTTGGGTTCATTGTACAGTTTTAAATATAATATGAGTCTTTTCACTAAATGATAGAAAAGGGTTCCCTAAAGGAAAGAGGTTGGGATCCAGTGCTATAGGCTATGTACTGGGAGGTAAAATGAGACATGTAAAGTGAGAAATGTGGGAAATAACAGAACAATGCTGAGCTGTACCTGTATGTGAGGTTTCCCACCCTGATTTCTTTAGGTTTAAATAATCCAACAACAGACTCACAGTACACATATAGAACAATGTGCTTCCTCGGTGCCTTCCCGAAGCACCAAAAGCTTATTATTACAGCAAACTATTATTACTATTCCTCCGTCTCCTCATGGGGGCTCTAAAATGGGCTAGTGTGTTTCTGTGGCTCTGTGCGAGCAGCCGAGCTGAATGACTCATCCTGAGCTGCACCACAGTTGAATGAACATCAGGCAGCTCATTCCAGCGAGCAGCGATCATCTGGACAGGTCTGACAGGTCTTCTCAGAGGACGACTGTCTAAAAATACGCCCTTATTTGTGCGATTTGATGATGACACTGACAAGTCCTGCAGTATCTCGCTCTTTCAGTTTTTCTGCCATCCTCCTCCTCCTCCTCTTTTTTAGATCATGAGACAAGCCCTATAGCAAATATCCGCGACTCGTCTTAATCCAGCAGCAAAATACAGCAGCAGTTCTCAGCGCCGTTTCACACTGAGGTCAACGGAGTTGGGGTTTTTTTTGGTGGGTGTCGATTAGAAGCTTTTTCTTCAATTCAGTGATACTCCAGATTGGAGGACAACAACTGAGAGATTCACTGGAGAGTGAAGAGGAAGCAGGAGGGAAGGAAGAGGGAGAACAGGGCCTTGTTCTGCCTACATCGATTTGCTTGTTTGATTTGTCACAAGCCTTGATTTTTAATTTGTATTTGGAGCAACGAGTCCTTCAGCTCAAAGCAGCAAACGTGCAGCTCAAGACTTAAAACTCTCTAAACGATGAATTATCATACTTAGAAAAGAGCCAATCTGAGGTTAGTGAGGCTTCAGAGTCGAGCTGTCGCCTGATTTTTCCAGTGAAAGGGGGTAAAATCGACATTATACCAGCAACATTACACACCTTTCACTACAGTGTCAGTGTCTGTATCTGTAGAACATGACACAGAGCACCTTGGACCTTGAAATATATATAAAATATATAGTTATACTATAAATATATGCATGAAAGATTGATAAACCACATTGTATATCCAATATTTGTGTTTTCAGTGCAATCATTAACTGCCGTAAACCCTCAGAGAACAAAAATATGCAGTTCATATATGGAAGAATGTGTTTAAATGGGATTAGACATTGTGCCTTTTACAGTTAAATAAGACACTGATGGTGCAGTGCTGCATTGCACCTCGTTATATACACACACACAGGCATTTATTGTGCTCAACAGGCGGTACTGGGCTGGAAGATTATTCCAAAAGGGAAGAATACGGCAACTTTATGTGGTGGAGTAAATATTATATATGTAACAGAGTTGTTCTTATAGTGTTTTCTTTTTATTACTTGCATTTCTTTATGGATTTGTTTTCTTTTTGGTTATTATAGCCGTAAAAAATTACACAAGGGAAAAGAGATAAAGAAAAACTGACCTGCACCACCTCTACCTCCTATGTGCTATACCTTTGGTATTTAGGTATAAAAAATGTCATGTTTATGTGTGTTTATTGGGGGGATAAGTTCTCACAGCAGCGCCGGTGTTGCTGCTCGGATCCATTTCTTATAAGTTTGATGCAGTAACTTGATCGGCCTTTGTTTTAATTTGCAAAAAAAGCCTTAAATCAACCCAGAATTCACAGCAAATTAGTCAACAACTAAACTCTAGCTTTGTGCACCGGGTGAATTTAGCCCTGGATATATTAAGCCACATATGAATAAACAGGAGAGGACCACAAGGAGTGAAACATGGAAACAGTGACTCACTTAAAGTTGTTGTTGTTGGCTGGGGGTAGTTTCTCACAGGCGTTGAGGAGAGCCTGCAGTCTCTTGTCTTGATCTTGAATGCTGCAGGACGACAAAAAAACAGAAATATTAGAAATAAAACAAAGGTTGAACGTGTATAAACTTAAAATGTACGCCATAGGCACTGCTCTAATAACAATATGGTGCTGAGGAGATACAGACTTGGAGGCTTGGATCCAGTCATTGTAGAGTTCATATGTCATTAACGGCTCAGGGAGCTCCCGCAGGTAGGACTTCAGAGCTCCTGCAGGGAACAAAATAATATGATAAAAGCATGTATGCATGTTATATACACATGTGCACATATAATGAATATATAATGCGGTTGTCTCTGCATGAGCTCATAGTGTTTCAGGCCTGTTGCCAAGGGGGGCGACTCTGTGCTGTCAGTGTGTTATACTGACGACTAAATGTACATTTATTTATACTGCCATATTGTTTTGCTAATATAACATCATATAGTGCTTTGAAGATGTTATTTCCTATGTTGCAAGGGCATCATGAAAGTCATACACACTGCTTTAATTTTATTGGATAAATTACTAATACACTGCACGCATAAATTGGTTTAGTAGAAAGTGAATCACATAACAAAAAATGTAGAGAATCTGGCATAAAGATCATAAAGCAACAGCTGCAGCAACCTTCCTATATGCTATATGCTGTATTTGTTGCTTTTATCCATCTTCAAAATGTGGTTTCTTTTCAACACACATTGGCCTATCACGTAGCATATCTAAGTTCAGGAAACAAGAAGGTTGATAGAGTGCTATTACTGAAATAAAAGTATTTCCTGTTATCATTTTAATGATTAATGAACCCTGGCTGCCCGGCGTCTCCTCTGGCTGTAGCATCTATATAATGACCAGCAGGCGATAAATTAATGTGTGTGTGAGACAGCGGGAGACAAAAGGGAGATGCTATCTGAGAAAGAAAGAAAGAAAGCTGAATGATGATAAACAGGAGAAACCAGCTTTGACCTGATTAGCACTTCAACTGCTCAATACAGGATCTATTGAATGGAATATATGGTGTCTGATCTATGCTGAGGCTTTTGTTGTGGAGGTAATTTCATATCCCCATGGGGTGAGGATGCACTCAGTGGACTGGTGCGGGGTAAATCTGACAGATCTGGATGTGGTTGTATACGTGAGTGAGTGTAATTTCCTGACAGCTTCTCCTTCCAGTGAAAACGTGTTTATATTTTACAGTCAGTCGAGTTGGTTTCACTTTGAGTCTGACTTTGGATTTAATTATTTCAAACACAAGGGCGTATCATTGATCTCCTCTCCTTATCCTGCCACTCCTGCTTTTGACAGCAATACTTTTCTTGTCTGCAGTCTTTTGTCAAGCACATGCTCATATAAAAAAAAAAAAGCCAATTAGAAACCTCCATGTTTTGGAAATTGTCTCTTGGAGAAATCTAGCTGGTAACAGCAGGTTTCGTTAAGCCAGCTTTGTCGTTTACGGGATGTTTAAGAAGCTTTAAGGTCACAGAAATGTGCCAAGAAGTTGTATGGAAGCCCATTCTTCATGTAAAAAGACGTTTTGACATAATTAAAGACGTTAACGTAGCCTGTGGTGAAGCTGCAGATTGCAACCATTTGAATACCACTCAGCCTTCCAAGTGTGTAGGAGAAACTATGAAGGCCACGAAACCAGTTAACAAATGTGAAAGGGCTAAATTGGAAATTATCCAGTGAAATTTGAGACATTTTGTGTCCAGCAAGAAAACTTAAGGAATTAATAAAATTGGCACATTCATAGATCATGTGATTTTTAACAAAGTAGTACAGAAGAAGATGCCTTTTTAAGGGTTTTAATGTGGAATTTATTATTTTTTTTGTGCAATAAAACACATCAGACACACATTATTCAAATAATAGCCTGGGCATTAATGTGTTTAAATCACTGAAAACTCAACCTGCATTTATTAATTCCTTTAGCACAAAACTCTTAGAACTCACTCAAGCTGGTGACCCGGTGATTATTAAGAGGTTTTATACATCCAGATTTCTATTTCACATTTGTATTAAATCCAGACCAGGCCACTAAAGGAGACCTGCACCTATTAGAAGTTTTACAGTATTTTTATATGTCTTACTTGTCTGGAGGGGTTCTTTTAATTAACTGTTTGCCTGATAATAATTTCTTTACAATATATAGTTTTTCTGTGCACAATTTGTCAGAGATGAGACACCAATATCACCGCCTACGGACCCTAACAGACCCCAACTGACCCCAGTACAACGAGCACTTTAAAATAAACCATTTTCCAAACACTGTTTTGATCAGAACTAGTGGGTGGAAGTGTAATTTTCCAGTGCTGACGAAGACGGCGACGGCTGACTGAGCTTTCCCTTCTGACTCGTCTTCTTCCCTCTCTGGTCTGCTGCGTTTTCATTTCCCCCGGGTGGCTGAGGGGCGGGGGGGACGCGTGGGATGGATGACAAACAACACAGCCAGGGCATCCCCTCACTGGGAGACAGCTCGGAAGATGATGTTCGTTCTGTGTCTGGATCTGTTTATTTACAGGCGTGTTTCTCCGTCTATTGCTGCTAAATAAACATTAAATTGAGGGATTTATGTTGAAGCTACCTGTAACTTTGCTTTATTTACAAAGAAAAGCTGCTGGAAGATGAACCCTTGCACACTCCCACCTCCTCATCACGACCACCACCAGTAGCAGCACCCCCCCAGTGGGCTCACAAATTAGATTTTCTGTTAGAGCTAACCCGGTTTAATATGGGATCATTAGAGAGGGACACAGGATTCATCTCTCTTTTCTTCACATGCTCCAGTGAACACAGCTGATTGACTGACTTTGATCTGATATTTAATTTAAAAAAAAGGAATATAAGGTTCCCAGTGGGAGGAAAAACAGCTTTTGTGGGTTTTTATCCATATAAATGACCTCCATAATCCACTGAGGAGATTTAAAAAGAGAAAACATTTGCAAATTATGCTAATTTTAAGGACATGTAGAGGAGAAGCAGGAGTATGTGGAGTTTTGATTTTTAAAAAAGCCTTTATTATCTACTGTTTCAACCATCCTCAGGGTTTAAATGAAGAGAATCTTACACATTCAGGTGTGTGTCCTAATTGGATAATTGGGACAACAGATAAGGGATGATGAATGTCATACAAAATTATTCTTCACATAACCTCACTGTTTTTATACATCTATTAAATTGTATTGTATTTATACTTGTTGAAGCACTGTACTGATGACATTAGACACTAGTCCTTATTAGCTAACTCCAGCACATTTACATTAAGTGTAAGCGTTGATTAATGCGCATCGTCCCTGGTAAATAAAATAAAAAGATAAAAATAAATTCACCAAACTTGTTGTAAATTGCTTGTTTCGGCCTGATGGCACCTGTTGGCGAGGAGGTGCGCTCACAAGCGTGATTGACGACCCTAGAAATGCCATTTAAGGCTGCCTGTTGTGTTCTGTTCATGACAAAATGTCACCAAAGAGTAAAACGAAGGCAGCAGTTAACAGTTTGCAAGTTTGTGTAAAAGCAATTTTGGTGCATTGTTTAGATTACACCCTGTGAATACTGAATAAGAGTTTTTCCTGATATTTCAGGGAACTTTTTATACAATTCTCACTCTGTATTATGTGTTTTTTTAATTCATTTTAACAATCATACAGACTTAAAAGGCTTCTTTTCTGACAAATTCTGACAAACTGTCTGAAAAAAAAAAAAATTGTTTTTTCTCCCTGAAACTTGTTGTATTAGACAATTTACTTTACAATTTCTTCACAGAAATGACATATCGGCCTACTGTGTATATTTTTTAAGTTTTCCAGCACACCTTACAATGAAGGAGGCCTCATGACCCGCTGTGATCCCAAGTCTGGGTCCTGACCCCCAGGTTGTAAAAACAATTCCTCTGGCAAACAAGACAATATCCCACAAAAGGTGGTTTAAACCTAATTAAATGAAGAAATGACATCAGAAGCACTTGACAGCATTGATCCCAAGCTAAAAATATTTTCCATAGCTCCTGAAAAGTTGTTATTTTGGAGATTATATATAATGTTTTCATCTGACAAGAGCATTATGCAGCAGTCAGCTCCAGTAAAGACAAGCCCCAACCTCAAAAAAAAAAAAAAAAAGATCAATAACAGCATAATAAAGGCTTGAAAGCTTTTCTTTCTTTTGTAGTCTATCACAGTTCTGATTTAAAAGCAAACCTGTGACAGCAACAAAAAGACACAAAGAAAAAACAGCAGCAGCAGCTACAGAAGATGAGGAATCTGTGTGACACTAATCCCAGTTATATTTGGAATTTATCTCCACACATTTTTCGGGGATTGTTTATTGAATATCTCCAGCAAAAATGCACAAAAACATTTCGCCTGTCTTGCTGCCGAATCAAGTCTGAAGTAATCTTTTAACTCCTTTGTGTGACTCTTATATATTATACTCTTACGACATTCAAATTAACCTTTAGGAGGAAGATTCACTGCTGGTTTATAAATGACAGCTGCAGTGAAACGTGTGCAGGAGAAATAAACACAAACAGTAGAAAAGGGATTATAAAATATTAGGGGGTTTTTCTTTGGCAGATCGGTTGGCAGCTTAATTATGATATTCATTCCCAAAACAGTGTGTGTGTGTGTGTGTGTGTGTGTGTGTGTGTGTGTGTGTGTGTGTGTGTGTGAGAAAGTGGGCAGACGTCTCAGCAACTCTGAGCTCGCCAGAAATATGTACAGAAATTAAGACTCCTAATGAGCGACGGGTGCCAACTCATAAATCTACGGCTGTAAGGCGAAGTTTCACATTCTTGGATGGTGCCAATCAGTTGCCGTGGCAACAGATTAGCTGCAGCTAGGAGAGGCAGGGAGGAAGGAGGGACGAGGAGGGTGGGGTGGTAATGTTGTGGATAGCTCACCTGCGATGGCGTGCGGGTCTGCAGAGTACTCCTGAACGTCCAGCACGCCGCAGTCCAAAGACGCCTTCAGCTTCTTCAGTTTGGAGGCCGACGGAGCGACTCTGAACAAACCCTGGAGACACAAAACATGGCAACAAGAGTTACTCACTCACTCCTCTCCTGAAATTAAAGAATATTGAAGGGCCTCCACTGGGGGAACCTCGGTCAACCTTACACACACACTATGTGCTCAGCTGGTCTACGTTGAAAGGATGGTTTTGAATATAACATTTTAATTCATAAACTGAGCTCATGAAGACGCTCTGTATGCACTTCAGTCTCTATATGGGACAGGGGACAACTGTACACCGACTCTAGGTTGTTTGTCTTTGTCCATTTTGACTGCGATGAAGACACAGTTGTGCTGAAACTGTTTGCACTATTAAAGGCTGTGAATTAATCAGTGTCCTCCATTCCTTTAAAAGCAGGAATCTATTCTATCTATGTCTCTGCACCAAATCCCAAAACAGTCTCCATAATGTTCAACAAACATCTGATTACAGTCCAATTACTGTAGAATGGAAATTAAGTTACTCACACTGATGAATTTGACTTTTAATCTCATAAAGATTTACACCCTCAATATGTTTCCATAAAACAATCGTTAGCAATTAAAGCTGCACTGGAACCAGTGAACAGCTCACTGGCCTGAAAACAGGACATTTCTTAAATATCACACATTAATTAAACAGAAGGATTGTTTGTTTCAGGCTGTGAGGGCAGCAAACAGCAGCCTGGACCTCATTATGGACCATTTCCCTTCAGTAACTAAGTGTGACTTCATCTCGGCGCTCGCCGCTGTATTACTTTACTGTGTCTGTGTGTCTTTGTGTTAAAGCAGTGAAGATTGATGCAGCGAGTCTTGTTGTGGAGTCTGACCTCCTCCTGCATGCCGCACTCCAGCAGCATGGTGACACAGGCCTCGATGGGAAAGGCAATATCTCTCCCGCTGAGCGCTAAGTGCTCCTCTAATGGTTTCCCGTAGCATGGTTTCTCCACCCAGGTCTCTGTCAAACACACACAAACACAAACACGGTTACACAAACAAGCAGAAAATACAGTAGCAGCTCAACTTTTAGGATGCTGTTACACTTCACTGAGTACAGATGCTAAGAATTTGCTCTCAGGGTGCAGAAAGTTACCAAACATATAGCAACATAGGTTTCTGGTAGACCTTAAAGGCCCCGAAAACCTATTTTATTATTCATCTTCCTTCACTGAGCGATAGAGTCCCACATGAACCCACTGTTGTCTGCAATGTTAGAACGATACTGGTTCTTCCACTATTATCCTGAAAACAAAAGCCCAATCCTCCAAAGGCTCTTATTGTGAAAATACAGACTTCAGTTACTTTAATTGGGTGTAGGCAACAAAAACTACTTGATAGTGTTGGTTTAGGAAAAGGTTGTATGCAAATTCAGTTATATTACATAATTAAACATACGTTAAATATGTTGGTTGCTAGGTGTCGCTAGGTTATTTGAATGGAACAAATCACACAGGTGTTCACCCAGTGAAGCAGGTTGTAGCTTAATGTGGAGGGAATGAGTAACAATAAGACGTTCAGCTAATTCATTTTTAAAACTTGTTGCTTTAAGACTGTTTCTTTCCTTTTTTTTTTACTGATTTGTTTGTTCACTGCTGGTGATAATGAATGATTAATTAAAATGCAGGTTATATTCTAACCACCCCAAATAAGCTCCTGTACCTCTGCTCGGTGTGGTTTCTGTAGTTGCTATGGTTACTATGCAGGCAAACTGAGAAAGTTCAATTACTGTCAATTCAGTTTGCATCTCTAGTTTTTTTACACTGGAAACAAGAGGATGTTTTAAACCTAAATAAACATGTTGGCTGACAAAATATACTTAATTTCCAAGAAGTTGAGTCCATATTTCTACTAATGCTAAGATTTTAGCGCTCCTTGTGCTGAAGCTGTAATTAAAACAGCTAAAAATTGTAACAGCAGGACCTCAAATTGTTTACAGGCAATCTTAAAACACATGCAAACTAACACACGTGGACACATTGTGACGTAAACTGCAGTAGAGCCTGAGCACCGGGTTGGAGAAGGAACAGTCTCACTGCATCGTGAGTGTGTTGGTCTCAAAACTCACCCTGATGAGCTTTGATCTGAGGCAGAACACTTTGAAGCAGCTCTAATGACTTCCTGTGGTACTCTGCCTGGACTTCTATCAGCTAGACGAGACAGAAAGAGACCAGAGAGCGATGTGACGGACAAGCAGAATATTTTTGTTTCCTCCCTAAAGCCAGAGTCTGGAGAGATGCTGTACTTACTGTCTGGAAGTAGCTTGCATAGTCAATTTCTTTGGCCACAAAACTGTACATGTCTGCTGATAACTGATCCTGGTGGGGGGAGAAAACAACAAAATACATGAGCGATGAGGACTCGTATACAAACATAAAACCCCCTTTTTTTTTTACTTGCAGGGGGCGAAACGCACAGGTGTAATTAATTACACTAATGATGGCTGCGAGCTCTGAGGTTGTTCACGCTGGCTCACCGGGACTCTTATGTAGCTGAGCCTTCACTAATGTTATTAGTTACACCTGTGAGTTTCCTGCTATGATGAGTCAAAATGTCTGCCGTGTAAAAGGTCGAAACAGTTATCGACACGCAGTAAAAATGTGCCAAATTCATACTGTGTGTTGACAGAATATTGTCAGAAATGTCTATTTTAAGATGTTATCTTCCAATCATTATGATTTCTGCAGAATATCCAAATGCAGTGAATATTACTGGCTGTGTACGAGGATAAACTATCCAGAATTACAGCTATTTAAATTAATAATATGTATTTAAAGTCACCTATAGATGTAATTAATCAGATTTTGCAGGAGTTCAAATTTAGTTGCAAATCCATAATATGTTAAAGAATTATAGAAATGTATGTAAAACGGGTCACACATGCAGGAATTTGGCAACCGTCTATAGAAAAAGCAGCGTGGAATATATATATATATTTATATATAGCCTCACAGCTGAGCTCTCTGCTGGTCCTGCAGAGCCAGAGCACAACATATGTTCCATCTTTCCCTTTTCTGCCTTCACCTGATAATCTGGATCAGGAACATTCAGCCTAACAGGAGCTGATCGGGTGTGAAGACAGTAAGGAAAGATGGAACATTTGTAAATAAAGCCAAACTGAGTTATGAACACAATCTAAAGTGCTTTATAAATCTCCTAACGGTGTCACCAGTTTTTACTTTGCATGTGTCTGAACTTTTAACTGAATCTGTTAATTAGTGTCATTGGTAACACCAGTGTTCATCCTACTATTTCTCCATTTGAGGTTGTTGTGTGCACATCCCATCCTATATCCTATACAGCGACGGACAACAGAGTCAATGGAGGAGTGTCGTGTCCACACACTAAAAAATGTATAGACAATATTTCACCACCTCTTCATGCCACCACTGCACTACTGTAAAGCTGTGAGACTGAACCAAAACAGTAAAGTTGTGGCCATGAAACAGAAACAATATACACATTTGAACCATTGTTAGCTTAAGAATATCGATCAGAGCAGCTTTAACTGAACAGATCCCCTTAAATTACTAATACCTGACTGATAAAAGCACATAATCTACAGCATTACGGAAACAAACATCTGCTTTATTGTGAAGGTGATCACTGACTCGACAGATCTCCATGCGGTTGGCTGCCTCCTCCATCTCTTCCCTGAGGTGGTCGGCCTTGGCTCCTGTTGGCTGCAGGTTACTGGACAGTCCTGAAGACTTGGCGGACTGATAATACCTGGGAACACAACATTGCTCTTTAATAACATCGTTTGACTTGTGAAAGACATTTTTCCCGAGAGTGATAATCATCGGCAGCAACATCTAACAGCTACTGTAACAAAATGACAAGAGGCAAACAAGGAGAGCTGGTGGATTACTTAAATTTATACATCCTCATACATTCAACTTAGGCTATTTTCTGTTCTAATTCTCTCTGTCAGACTGTCCTGTTCTGTCTCTGTCCGTCTGTGAGACTTTCTGTCTGAGCTGTGTGTCTCTGGGTGGAGATAATATGTCTCGCTGCCACAGGAGCTCAGCACACAGCGGGATGATGGGAAAAATTGTCTCAGATTTGGGTCACTAAAGAAAAAAACCCCAAAAAACCAAATCCTAAACTGAACTGGACTGGACTGCAGTGAGGAGAATCACATTTCTCCGTGTCACTGCTCATAATGGGACTGAATGACAGTGAATCGACTCAGAGAAAAGTGTGGTGATTGTACGTTTCAGAGATCAGAAAACTGTTTGTGATTGGACGGGAGAGAAATCTGCAGCAATTCAAGGTCACTGAAGTCTAAAGTTTAGAAATAACAACCTACAGAATAAAACACAGGTCTAAAAAATGTGTTTGTTTGATAGCCATCTTCTTCTTCACTGTAATTTCTGGTACATTCCTGCATATCTCGCTGTGTTAATGCCACCTATAGGCAGTGTTGGGCAGTAACCCTCAGTAAGTAATAGTGTAACTAAATACATTTCAGTAATAACATTACAGATACTCCCTAAAACATAATTAGTTACATTAATTTTGTCACCTACTGATTTAAAATCCAACAATTCAATCATATCTTTGGATCAATTTTTGTAATCGTGGAGGAAACTAAAGATGGAAACTCTTAATATTCACATTATTTTGATTTTAACAAAGAAACAAAACTAGATTTTAATCGTCATAAGTCTGAATTTTGGGGAGAAGAGACACAAGAGTAGCATAAAAGTAATATAACTAGTTTATAATAATTAATATAACTAATTACTGTTGGCATGGAGTAATATGTAAAGTAATAACACTACTTTTGAAAGGAGTAATGAGTAATAAATAACTAACCAGCCCAACACTGTCTGCCAGCACGAGATACACGAAACAAAGAACCTTTAATCTTTACTCATTACTCAGAAACACGACTAACAAAAAGACACTAAATAGTTGCATTATGGGAAGTGTAGGATCCACCATTTTTTAAACTGGACCCATTCTAGGCACCAAAAGTCTGGATCTCTTGGCCTCCGCTGCACCATCACCAGCCTTTATGTGCTGCAGACACACGTGAGCAACACTGAGGCACGTTTGATCGCTGTGTTTAAGATAACTATCGCTTTAAACTTTCATACTGTGAAGAAAAGGTTGGGAAATGTCTGTTTGTGCCTTTCGACAACGTGTGTGAGCGTGAATCAGTCAGAGGTCTGTGGTTGTTTGAACCCTGGGAGGCTGTGAAGATTGAGTTTATCAGCATGGTGTGCTACAGACTCAGTGTGAAAGCTGATACTGAATACTGCTGTGCACTTCCAATGAAACATTCATACAGATAAATTCTTATTCTTGATTTCAATATAGTCATTACCTCTAGACTACAATGAGCAAGTGTCTGCTTTATTAAAGAAAAGATTATTGGAAACACACGCGAGGCTCCTGTGGGGGAATCAGGCCGTAGAGTTTAATATGTTCTTCCCTCTTATTGCTTCTTATATTTATTTCCATGGTTTGGATTTCCTGTATTGATTCATCCTCAGTTTTTGTAATATGTTATATCTTTTTGAGTTTCTTATAGACCTGGAGAATTACAATTATGAACTACATTTCCCATTAATGACAATAGGTGAGGTGCCCTGATGAAGGTCAACTCTGTTTTTTATTTTGTTTTTTATGTCTTGTTTCCTGATTTTGGTTTTCTCATTTCTCTGTATTTGAGTAATTTCGGCTCTTATTCATTCTAGCATCATGTCCTGAGTTCAATTATTGCCTTAAAAGGGCTGATAAATTCCCAAAATATATGATAAGATATACAGAATATAGCAAATTACCAAAAAAAAAAAAGCTTTCAATCTAAATCAATCTAAAAGTGTTTTGGAATTTGGGAACTTACACTTCTGTTTTAAATAATTCTTTAGGTCTTTCATAAGACTGTGTGTGAATCTAAAGCCTGATTTATATACGTTATATGTTCCTTTATCACCCCCAAATATCCACTAGAGGACCAAATGTGTATCAATCCGCAGCTGAAAATAGTCCCCAATAAATGCAACATTTGCTTAAAAAACCCCAAATAATATCATTATTGTTCCTTATTCTTCAAGTAAAAAAATAACTAAATTGGCCAAAACTGGCGTTGAGTGAAGTTTTCACGCTCTGACAGCAGGCCGCAGCGTGGGAAGAGCTGGCGGGTCCAGACGTACGCTGGTCACAACTTCACTGTGTGCAATCAAATCCCAGTGACATTCACTGGGAAGCATCGGGACCGGTCTTATTCACAGGGGGATGGAGTTTCTCTCAGATCACAGCCAAGTCTCTTTCTCACACACACAGAGAGAGAGAGAGAGAAAGAAAAAGTCACACATAGTAACAGACTCACCGTGTGCGAGCGGAGTCCATGTCCAGGACCAGTTTCGCTAAATGTTTCCTTTGTTTCTGGATATTTGGGATTTCCACCTGAGGAAGACGGGAAGAAGTTTTGACTAATCTGTTGTTCGTTGGTGTGAAAGAGGACGAGAAACACACTCAGTATTGTCAGAGGCTTTTGCACCTGCTGTACATCTGTTTCTTGGTCTCATGCAGATTATCTTACTGATTTACAGCATTAGACACATGTAGGTGCAGCCCTGAGATTACGATTCACTCCTATCAGTCGACTCAAATCAACAGTTTTTCTCTTATTTCATGTCATCAGTCTGGGTTTTTATCTAATGAAAACCCAAGAGACGGCGCCGTAAATAAGCCCTGGACTTTAACGTCTAATACGTTGTATTTTTCAAATATATTAAAAATAAAAGAGGTAGTTTAGAAAGAATGTACAAACGAGGAGCCACGTAAAGAGTCTGGGGGTTTATTAAGTAAAAAGAAACTATTGTTGAATTTTAATTTGGCTCATTATATAATTATATTATGCTGGTGTATTGTTATAAACAGAAGAAGCTGTCATACATTGACTGTTTATCCAGTGTGAGCCACATTGTTACCATCCACTGTTTAGATCTTGGTGCTTTTTAACTCTAGATTTGAACCGGATGAAGGATTTTAGTCATCGGACGTCTGGATCTTAAGTTATCAGAGAAACAAGCTGAGCTAACGTTAGCAGCAGCTCGGCTCGCAGCCCCTCTGGGACGTCCTTTGTCTGTCCAACAGCGTGGGAGAAGCAGTGATTGTTAAGGTGGAACTGCTTTATTCAGTGTGTTTAAGGTGGAACTGCTTTATTCAGTGTGTTTAGTGGTTTTAATCAGCGGGTCTGTTTGTGTTGGAGAGGAGGAGACCTCTGTGGATCATTGGGCTCCCGGTAGAAACCTCCTGAACCATGAACACTGAAGGAATCCTAACCGGGAGAAGCTGACTGCAATGACGCCAATGGTGGTGAAGACAACAACTCCCATGATCCCACACTGCTTCACCACCTCATTTAACTTCAATGTTGTTATTGTTTTGATGTTTTGATGCGAGGGATTATCCACAGGGGCTGCACACACTTTGGCGTCTTAAGAAATATAATTTGTTGTTGCTATTAACGTTGTTTCCGTACCTCTGCGAGGTCGTACAGGGGCTCGATGACGTCTCTCTCGATGGTGAGCTCGAACAGGATGAGCTCCTGAGCGAGTCTCTCCTGCGTGTCGCCGCAGAGCTTCAGCATCTTCCTGCAATGGAGAATGAGACAAGACACATCAGAGAACAGAGAGAGAGAGAGGATGGTCTCTGAGGTCGCTCCTGTATAATGATTATCTGTTTATCTGGAAGCTCTGTTAGTAAACAACAGTGATTCCTATACGTGTACTGTGTGAATTAAGGTGATGTAATACGATGTAATTCAGTGTGCGTATGAAACATCTTTATTTCTCTTTCAGTTTATTTGCAGAAGCTGTTGAGTTTTATTCCACAGATTTGTTTTTTAATTGACATTAAAAAAATATAATCTTCATATACGGTGGCCCTGAGATATAAACACACACAAACTGACAAAACATCATGATTATTTCAGATATTGTTTCAGATGATTGCTGTTTTTCTTTGTTTACTTGTGTTTTGTGTTTTGTGTATATATATATATATATAGTTTGTAATGTGTTGCAGTGTGTTGAGTCCTCTGGTTAAATAACGGTTACACTGAGTAGAGAATAAGTTTTGTCCTCATCTGACTGTATTTATGGACGTGAATGCAAAATCACTTTTGGGTCACTGAGTGATAAAAACATTCCTTTCCATGTCGCCGCTTCTAGAGAAGAAAAAAGTTACAGATGATCAAAAGATAATGTAAATGATTGTGTGTGTGTGTGTGTGTGTGTGTGTGTGTGTGTGTGTGTGTGTGTGTGTGTGTGGTGTGTGTGTGTGTTTGTGTGTGTGTGTGTGTGCTCACCCTAGTAGGGACTCGTCCCCGAGCACCGCCGCCCCCTCCACCATACATTGTGCTAGCGTTGTAAGAGGAAGCTTCTTCTGCACAGAAACACACAAACAATTAGTTTTATGTCATTATCAGAACTTTTCCTCTGCCAGCCTTATCTACTCCTAACATTTTAGTAATGTTATTATTATTATGAAAGCGTCTCTGGGTTGATTTCTCACCGAGGGGGACCTGACAGACTTCTTGTCCACGTCCACGCCCTGCTGACCCTGCAGACAGGCGGTCAGCTTCTTGTGTGTGCTGTGGGAAACCTGCTTGACGAGCTCCAGACGTTTCTCCACCTGAACAGACAGAAACCCTCGGTGAGAACATACAGTATATACAGACACATACATACATATATATAACTTATGTCTCAGGGACACATTATGTCAGTTACAGACGTGCACATGCAGGCAGTTAAAGCCTCGAGCTAGAATAGAGTCTGATTAGGAAATAAAGGCTCTGCAGCTGTTCGTATAGTTGATTTATGTGCTCTCATTTGTATTAATGCAGAAAGAAAGGTAAAACAAAAATTTTGAAGAGTCTTGTTTATCTCCATGTATAAACGACACCATATAATACATAAATAAATTATTATTACATTTAAAAATGAATAAATTAAGTTAAATATTATTCTATATTAAATAAATATGAGAATTAATACAAAGGTAAATAAATAAAGAAGCATGTTTTTTGTTTATATAACATTTTAATTAGAAAACAAATATAAATGTCACATTTATAAATTACCTTCAATCTCTATATTTATTTTTAATATGATTTTTGGTGCATTTAATGGCATATAGTTAGTTAGTGGTTTGTTACACTATCTAACTAACTAATCTACGTCAATAGTTAGTTAGCTACTTAGTAAATGTTTTGCTAACAACTCGCTTTTATCTTTTAACAATCTTCTTTTTGGTTGTCACTAGTTAATCAATCAAATTTTTTTTTTATAGCACCAAATCATGACTAAAGTTATCTCACTTTCCATGTGACAACATTTTTAATTAAAACATAAATATCAGTGTATTTTAATATAATGTTCATGCATTTAATTTCATATTAATTTACTTATTGAGTAATTTATTCATTGTTGATTTTGGCAGTTTCGGTCCTCCATACTTCACTCAGCCATCGACACTAGTACAAGCACATTACCTGCCTCACTTAAATGCCTCTCATTTCATTATTAAACCAACTCAGTGGAACTGATGTCGCCGCCACCGAGGGCGGCATTAATCAGATCAATTACATTTCTGCAGCCCGAGTCAATCAGTGGGGACGTTCAGCCTTTTGTCTCACAACGAGGTTCAATTTCAGCGCTCATTAACGTTGCCTGAAGGCATTTGAAAAAGTCATTTTATACGCCACCAAGTTTCCACTAATAATGATTTTTTTCTTTTTTTGTTCCTACGAGAGGCAGAAAACATATCGAGGAACGTCACAAACACACAAACACTTGTTCATTAGTACCTGCAGAAGGTCTTCGCTTAATACTTCTGTTTTTTCAGCCCTGGAAGAGAAAAAGGAGGATTGTTAAATTACATAATTTGTTGTTAACTGTGGGAACTGCCTGGGCACACAAACTGCTCTATCAGTGTAATTACATCATTTGAATTTCTGTGCACATAATAAATAATATTGCAGTTGCAGCCTGGAGTTAATCACATAACGGGAATGTTTATTTTTTCAGCTGCTTCAGAGGGTTCAAGCTGTACAGCTATAAAGTGAATGGATGTAGAGATCAACAAAGACCTTTTTATAGCCGCCAGGCCTCTATTTGGGACAGGCCTTTAATTCCTTTAGCACTAAACTCTAACTGCTGCTTCTTTTGAGTTCTGTTCAGCAAATTTGACAACTAACATGATGATTTTGATGCTTCAGAGGTTTTTTTTCCATCTCTCTTGTTTACCGTGTTACCGGTAATTCAGAATGAATTAACATTATACTTTGTTGTTGATAGTTTTCATAAAATATAGTGAACGATTGAATTGTGGAGAATCTATAACTGATCTAACGATGTGCAGCGTGTACATACTGACAGAAGTTTAAACATTTATATTTGTGTAGGAGATTGAAACGACTCGGTGGGTTTTAAGAGGTTTTATACATCGAGATCATTTCTATAAAATCCAGACCAGGCCTCTATTGGAGACCTGCGTTTATTTGTCAAAACATGTAGCCACACCAGGCTTTTAAAAGAGACCTGTGTCTATTAGGGACCCTGCTTTTATTGGAAGTTTTACGGTATGTACATTTGAAAGCCAATGTTAGCAAAAAAAATGTACATCAATAGTTAGTTAGCTACTTAGCCAACATTTTTCAACACAGACAAGCGAAAAAGCATATTTAAGTTACAGGACAGAACAAAGTTGATTGAGGTTTGCTCAACTGTTATTGGAGTACAGAGCAAAAAGGGGTTGAAAGGGTCAATTAGTGCATTAACACCTGTCTTTACCTGGTGTTTACCCTACTATTTCATGTCAAAATAGCTGCAGTGCAAACGCAAGTAATTTGGCGTACAGAACGAAGTAACCTTCTGCATACTGCACAGAAAAAATTAAACAGGACAAAAGTATCTGTGTGCTTGTACACCGAGGAAGGATCTTATGCTGACCCAGAGCTCGTTTGTATCCTCATCTAACTCCCTAAGGATGGAGGTGGCTCTTTCCATGCTTAAGAGAAAAAGGAATTCCTCCAGCCGTCTATCTCTGGAGAAGCAGGAGGGTTTCCTCACCTTCCAATTCATTAAAATCATACGCTTTATTGAAAGGCACGCAAGGGCAACCACTCTTTGGTGTTTATTGCTTTGGATATTCTCAGCACGGACCCCGAACAGGCATGTTATAGGGGAAAGCTGAAGGTCAACTTTGAGGATCCCTGACAGGAAATGTGCCACCTCTCTCCATAGGGACTCAATGACTGGGCGGTGCCATAGCATATGGAGGAGCGTTCCCACTTCTCCACATCCATGCCAACATTGAGCTGATAGGCTCTGGTCCATCTTTTTTAGTCTGACCGGAGTTAGATATGCCCTATGCATTATCTTCATCTGTATTACTCTATATCTTACGCATTTGCTCATATTAATTGAGTTCCTCCACAAGCTATCCCATTCAGAAGATGACAAATTAATTCCCAGATCTTGCTGCCACTGCAATTGATGAATTATTAATAAACACAAAGTGGGGATGTCATCATCTCTGGAGATCATGAATGTCTGAACCAAATTTCATGATAATCCATCAAATAGTCTTTTTTTAAATAAATCTTTAAAAACAGGTCACAAATACATAGTTTAATTCTTTTAAAGCCTCAGTAAGTTCCCAAAACAGCTCGTCACCTTAGTTTTTTTACAGTCTCTAAGAAATAACTTATTTCTTAGACTGTTTTCAGCATAACTGCAGGAGGTATATGAGATTTAAACATGTTCATTTAGATTGTATCAGTCATGCATAATTCCCAAAACAATTATACTATAATAGGCTAAATAAAAATTAAAATTAAAGTTTGATAAACCACATTTAAAATTCAGTATTTTACTACGATAATTGTTGTAAAACCTCGAAAAAAGAAGTAGGAGGACAACAACAACAACACCAAGGCAACAGAATCAATCACATTCAGTTTCGATGCTGAACGACAAACTAAAATCAACAACATTGATTTGTGATTGAAAAGGAGAAACAATAAAACACAGAAAGAGTTGAAGAATAAAGAGCAACACAACAGCGTCGCTATCAGGACGAATATCTTTAAACGAGCTGCAACATTCCCAAAGCTACAAACATGTTTGTTTATCTGTATCTCTTCAGGCTCACAGAGGAAATGACATATATCAGGATCAATACCTGTTAGTTGTTAATTTATTGTTTGATTATTAGATTCTCAGTTCCTTCAGGCATATTGATACGACTCATATCCCAATCGGAGGTGTTTCGGCTGATCGACAGGTCGGCCTCAATCAATGTGGACGTTACAACACGAGAGGAACTTAAAGGTTAATAATAAAGAACAATATGGACACAAGTCTTGGCCTTTAGAGAACAAAACAGTAATACGAACATCAAGAAAGAATAATTAATTCAGACCTTCTGCTTCGTATCAGCCACCAGTTTTTAGTAACATTCTTATTTTTTATGCACATTTTATTCATAATTATTAACGTTTATAGATAAAAATAACCTGCATTCTATGTAACGGCCAGCAGGGGGAGCTCCATTAGCCGATACCATTCAGTCTTATGGAGAAATGAGTCAACTTCTCAGTTGATTTATGAGCTTAATAAACAGTTTCCTAATGAGTTTATGGTCTCAATCTCTAGTTTAACGTCTCTTATATACAGCATGATGTTCATTTAGTAAATGATGGTCCCATTTAGAGTAAAATAGACCATAAAGGAGTAGCTTCATATACAGTAACATTATGTGTCCTGTTGCTTTACAGCATTGATTCCTATATGTCTAAAGCCAAGGCTGACCTTTAGAAGCCGTTTACACTCTTAATATATCATCAGACTGCGATATTCGACACATTACAACCATTACTGGAGTGTTTTTTTATGCCTTTAATGTCTTTCATCAATCCTAATAAAACAGGAGTGAATTTATGAAGCTCAGCGTGACGTTCAAGCAGTAAAGACCTTCTCATTACTTCTGAATCAGCTGATTGTACTCTGCACTCTTTAACCCAATCAGACACAATCTCCTCCAGCCAATCCCGTTGCTGCTGTCACACTATTATATATAAAGCTTCTCTTCATTGAACTGTAGGTTACACGTATATATATGTTTACACACAAACACAGTGTATGAAGAACAAGAGAAAAGACGTTTTTCTGGCTATTTTTAGGATTCAATGTGTGTCTGGTTGTGTTGAATTGTGGACTGATGAGGAGACATTTGCATCTCTACAGGGTAAAAATCTCGCTGTCTGATTGAGCTTCTTGAAAGACTCACATGATTATTGGTTTCTGGAGGAATAAAGAAACCCTTCAGTTGGAGCTTTATGCTGCTGAAATTATGCATTTTCTTTAGTCGGTTTCACTGCGATTGTATTCAGTGCTACAGGAACCCTGAGGGGTCGTATGGTAGAAAAAGATACTGTGTTTTAAAATCTGTGCAAACGTATTAATAAACCCAAGAGAAAAAAATGTAAAACACAAGAGGAAACAACCTGTCTTCAGTAGCATTTTGATAATAAATAATAAAGTTATTAAAATATTAATTATCTTATCTTTTTATGTGGCTTTTGTGTGTCTGTACAATATAAAACATCCTCTATCATTACAACCTTGATTTAAAGCTAATAAAGAATTGATCCTTCCGTCAGGAGAGACATTAAATCCATGTTGTATACAACATACAGAGTAAAAGAAATAGTATAATGTCAATGTGGATTAAAGTTCAAATATATAGGCTGATATTGAGTAAATATTAAGTGTATTAAGGCAAAATTACAGCCATAATGATATATTTTTATTCTTTCACCAACAAAAAAGGTAAAAAATAAACCAACAAAAACTAAATATGAATGCAAACTTCCTCCTCATCCCTCAGTAGGCATATAACTAATGATTACATTCATTATTGATTTATCTGCTCATTATTTAATGGATTCATTGTCTGTTGATTGAATGTTAAAAATGCCTCAGCCTGAAGCAATGTATTAAAATTTCAAACCCAGTTTCACACAGAAAAGCATCAAATTCTCACATTTAAGTAGCTGAAAACAACAAATATTTGGAGTTTTTGCTTTAAAAAACAACTGATTAATTTACCGTCGACTGACTAATTGACTAACTAATTGTTGTTTCCTCCAAACCCAACAGTTTCCGTACACTCTCAAGGCCTTACAGCCGTTTGTTCCAGCTACATATAACAATACAAACATTCAGAGGAGCTGTAAATGCAGCAGAGAGCGAAAACCAGAACAACAACAACACAAAGCTACAGCAGATACACACTGATTATACATCAGGCTGCAATCGGGACTCACTTTCCATTAAAGCATCTCAGCATTAAGATCCTCTTCAAAGCAACATTGTGAAAACACACTCTGGGTTTCAACTTTCAACGTGGGGAAATCAGAGCAATAAAACATCCAATGTGTCATTTTCAGCCACTGATTTTTAGACCTAAAAAGCCTGAAAGTAGCATCGTTAAACCTGTGATTTATTACCCATTCACACCCTGAAACAGCTGATAATAACAGGCAGAACATGTTTGAGCGTCTCTAACTCAAAAAAGACAAAACAATTATTTGTTACCTTTAAAAGTAACAGATGTGATGGACAGATAACTGTGAGGTCAACCTGAGGTGAACCTGTTTAACCTCTTAAACAGGAAGAAGTTTAAAAATATGTCACATTGGTTTCAACTGAGAGTAAACAGTTAAAATCCTGGTTGACCACATGCTTGTAAAGCCCCAAAACATTTAAACAGAACAATAAAAACAACTCAGAAAGGTAAAAAAAAGGAGGTAGGACTTTCTAATAAGATGCATTTTATAAAGGGTTTATAAGATTTTATTAATGGTTAATAAATAAACATTAAACCAGTTTATTGTATAAAATCCTGCTTACATTATAACGTTTTCCTCATCACTGGCTTAAAACTGATGATATAAAGCTATTATTTGCAACTTATAAATCCTTTATAAAGGCCCGGAAATTAATATAAAGTGGTACCAAACAAGAAATTGAATTAAAATACTTATTTTCTTGCAAACCTGTACAGGTTATAGGAGCAAACAGTGGATGTTTTTAAAGATCAACAAAATCCAAACAACAGCCAGCAAACCTTAAACCATTGAAGTCAGCCTTTCCTCACTTCCTGAACAACAACAACAACAACAACCCCCCTCCCTCCTCCCCTGATTACATCCTGATACACAAACAGGCTTTACTATAATTCAGTCAGAAATAAAAGCAGCATGGCGGCGTCCCGCTGCGGCTGTGTGGACTTACGGAGCCGCGCTGTTTCTGCGTGAGGCTCGAGTCCTGCTGATCTGCAGCTTTCTCTTCCACATCCCCCCTGCTAACAGGAGGGAGAGCACCTGCTTTCAGGCAGCAGCCGAGTGAGTGAGTGAAGGAGGAGGAAGATGGTGAGAGTGAAGGGAGGGAGCGAGGGAGGGAGGGAGAGAGGGAGGAGGGAGGCCTGAAGAATGAGACCTGACTATCTGGTCCTCTCACTCTTTCTCTCATCACCCACCGATCTCTCTCTCTCTCTCTGAGTCCTTTCCTCTGATATAATCTCACCTCTGGCGACAGCTTGGACTTGAACACATTCATAGATTTTATGATTTTATATATGAATGCACACACACACACACACACACACACACACACACACACACACACACACACACACACACACACACACACACACACACACACACACACACACACACACTTACACACACTGCGATAAAGAAACGGATAAAAGAAAAAACACCGTTTTTTTCCCGACCTTTAAACCCTTCCACTTCCTCCCTACGCCCACCCAGCACACACACACACACACACACACACACACACACACACACACACACACACACACACACACACACACACCTTTGCTCTCATGGATTATTATTATTAATCAGGCTAAAGTGGAACAGCTGGAAACAGGAGGACAAACAAACCTTGTATTTCATTCCTCCATCTCCTCTGCTGTATCTGCTGTGCTGTGACTCTCTCGAGCTCTAGTTTGAGCTTTAGAGGATGACAACAGCTGCAGTCAGCTCAGATTCAGTTTATTATTATCTTTTATATCGTTAAATAATTTATGTATTTCAGGATTTAACGGTGCATCTCATCATTGCAACACTTTACTTAAATCCGAGCTACTTTTTCCTTCAATGCAATTTGTAGCTGAAACAGTAAAAAAACTGAATATACGGTATTAGGTATTGTGTGCTAAAAGAACCCAGACGTACAAATTATTATGTTAGTTATTTTAACTAAAATGTAAAACTTTTGTTTTCACAGTACAAACAAAAATTACAAAATCAAGTCACTGTCACTAAAGCTACTTGATCAAGTATTTTTTTTTAACTTACAAAATTGAGTTGAACAATTTTTTATTAAATTTTAACAATTTTCTGTCAGTCGTAAATTAACTTAGGCACAGCTTCTTTGCTTTTGCATTTTAGGCTGCAACAATCTGCAACAATCCCAAAAAATAAGCCACTAAAATCCTGGAGAGACTCGTTAGCATGCTAGGTCTACACACAAAGTAGGAACAACATCTGTGCAGATATTTGATCATAAACCAAAGTATTTGAGAGATAGCAAAGTTATTCTAATTTAAAATTCTGAATCGTAGCAAATTTTATAACAATCCAGCCAACAGTTGTCAAGATATTTCACTCAAAACCACAAATGTCAACCTCATGGTGGCGCCAGTAGGAAAGTCACAGGATCACCAAAGTCCTTATGCTTCATCCTCTGGGGATCATTAATGTGTGAAGAGAATTTAATGCTAATTCATCTGATGATTGTTTAGATATTTCAGTCTGAACCAAAGTGAACAGACACAGATAAAAGCCACAGGAGCTACAATGTTTCTGCTTGTTGGCAACTTGACTACACGTAGAAACAAAACAACATACATATGTATCAGTGCATCAGACTGACAGAAGGAGATTTAATCATGTGTGGACCTTTATATGACTGTATTCACTGTGTGAGTGTGCAGCTTCAGCAGAATGACAGTGTCTCTGTTAGCACAGTCGCAGTGGCTCTGTCTCTGTGTATTGACTTAACCTAATTTATTTCTGACACACTGTGTACAAATCCAGGATTTTTCCTGAGGTTTGAAGTCACTGACAGTCTCTCTCTCTCTCTTTCTCTCTGGATTCATTTCCTCTCTGACAACAAAGCATGTGCTCAAAGAAATGTAAGCAAGTTCACCGGCTCTGTGAATTTAACTGCGTGATAATGATCCTCGTGCACTCGCAAACACACACTAATGAGCAGGTTAGCAATTAGTCAACACTCCTGGAAACACAAATACAAACATACACAATGCAAAAGATTATTTCTCCTCTTGTGGGGACCCGTTGTTGACATAATGCACTCCTTAGCCCCTGAACCCTCAACCCTGTCCAACCCTTAAGGCCTTTACACGCTGGTTTAAGGCATTTAATTCACACGTTAATAATATATTTCAGTTTAAAAAGAACGCAAACGTGATTTTTTTTGCTTTCACACCACAAATACAGGCATCAACTAGTTAAAACTGTACGAAGCAGACGTCTGTTGATTGTTTCTCATCACCCAAAATTATAAAGCTGCAATGTGGGATTTACAGACGGGTCGTTTTTCGCAGCCACTGTAGTTTCTACCACAAACTTTACAGTCAGATCGTTCTCGGGTTGTCGAATACGGGCTCTGATCTGAATCTGATACTTCACTGTTAAGATTTACACTAAATCCTGCACACTGGGTCTTCAACGTATTCATACAGGCTTCAAACTACCTCAGACAGGCAGCTGAGATGAACCCGGTGAATGTGATCTCTCTATCCGCACCGTGTGACCCCCCTCAACAACCCTCAGGGAGCTCTGCTAGCAGCTTCTGATGCAACATATTGTTTGTGTTTATTCTTCCCCGGTATGTTTTCTAACCCTAAAAACCAAATCTTAACCCTTAAACAGCCCTTTAAACATGTTGCGTCCAGCATATTTGGTCCCCACAAAGCTGTCGGACCCCACAAGTACAGTACACACACACACACACACACACACACACACACACACACACACACACACACACAGCTATTGTCAGGTATGGTATGATAAATAAAATACTTTAACACAAGCACACAAACTGCTGTCAGCTGCTAAAATGAGTTTTTTTTCCACCCAGATGATAAAAATTCACTGCTGACTCTTTCTTGACCTCGCAGTCCTGTGTGTATTACATCTGCAAATGTACCTGGATAATATAGTATAATAACGTCTACATGCACAGCAGACTATTCAAATGTCTTCGGTTTGAACTGTCATGTCCTCAATTACCAGCAGGAGGCAAGATTCGATAATACTTTGACCACACGTCTCCCTGAGGGAAATGAATGTAATATTAACTGTATATTAAAGCTGCAGCTGCAGCATAATGTACCTGCAGTGCTGCTGGATGCATGAATGTCAATTCTGTGAAAGCAGCTTGGACAAAGTGTGCCTATCAGAGGTAGAGAGCACATACTGACACACACAGCACGTGTCTTTCTCTGCAGATGTTGCTGTTTAAATAGTGCAGAGGACAAAAATGGAGGATAAAGCAGCAGAAATGGCTAAAAAGATGTTCAGATTCGGTCAATTTGAGTGAGAAAACAGTTCAGGGTGCATTTTAAACCCAACATATCTTCAACTAAAGGCTTTTAAAACACCTTTTTTAAACTTGCTCTGCCTGAATTGCTAACATTTTATGGCGTTTGGCCGAGTTCCTGTGTGTCTGCACGTGTGAGGAGAGGAGAAGGTCAGCTGTTAACGTTGTGCTGACGTCTCCACTCGGGGGATTTGGTCCTCGTAACGCGGGGTCACAGCTGAGGAAGGGAGAGGCCTGAAAAACACATGGTTCGTATTTTGGAAAATAGATAAAAATTTAAAGGGGACGGTGGATGAAATAACAACGATTAAATAATACGTATGATTGCTTTTGGATTGAATATGAAGAGACACAGCCAAGTCTGGCTTTATCCAGAGTATTACATGAAGGTCCTCCATCTTTCTCCTGACTCAGTCTGACTTTCATGTCTCCTCGCTGCAGCTTTTTGTTAATTCTCTGACACATCAAGGGCGTTACAGCGTCCTGAATCAAAGCCTCAGCAGCACAGTCGGTACTTTACTGCAGCATCAGCTTCTGTCGTCACACCCGGGATTCCCACTGGCACAGAGAAAAGAGAGGGAGGAGACGAAGCATGGTTGGGGGGGTTGGATGTGATAAAGAGTAGGGAAGCAATAGCAGAGGAGGCGATGGAAGTGAGAAAGATAATTGATGTGTAAAAAGGGGGTTTACGGTGATAAATCTTTTGAGAGATTCAGAAAGGGATCTGGAGCGACAGAGGGTGAGAATACAGATTGTTCTCTTGTATAATGACTCAGCTCTCTTTGATTTTCCTCTTTCTCGGGTTCAGAACATTTTGCACAAGATCAGATACCTTTGAATTTTCATCCTCTACCCTTACAAAAGGCAAGAAACAAAAGTTACTGTCTTAATTCAGTGACTGATTCACCAAGACTGAAAGACTGGGAGTGATCTCTGAGGACTGACGGTCTCATTGGTTGAATGTTCTTTTGGTTACTGCAAGGAAATTAATAGCTAAATAAAGATATACACTCAATGGCCATTTTACTAGGTACACCTCCAACACTTTCAACACTCATACACTTAAAGCCACTATGTATAATTATCCTTTTTTGGATAACAACAGTTCTTTTCAAATCTGATGAAGCGACATGTAAAACATGTATTTTTGTTTTGTTTTTAATGTTATATAACAGTGTTAATCACCATTATCCTGGTGTTAGCTGGAATATATTTTTATTGTCTGGTCTTCAGTGGTTCCCAACCTGGGAGTAGGGACCCCCACTAGGGGTCACCAAAGCTTCACGAGGGGTCGCGAGTCCTTGATTTTAAAGTGTGCTAGAAATCAAAAATATCTCTGCATTTGGTTCACCTCTGTGAAGAAAATGTTAAGTAAATTGTCTAATAGAACAATGGCCAAGAGTCAGGGACAGAAAACACTGAATTTGTAACATAAACAGGAAATAATCTGCTCAAAAATTTTAATTCTATTCATATCGGATCATCTTAGAAGTGAGAGACGCTCACATCAGCAACACGCGAATCATGTATTTTATTTTAAAACTTGACTGGATTCTCTATGTGCCAGAACAGAAAAGCAAAGTTGAGCAGATATTTTAGAGCGAAGAGAAGCCTTAATACTAATGAGAGTAATTAAATTCATCTACACAGGTTGACATTTGATAAATATGAATGCCAGTGACCCTTGAAGGCTCAAAAGTCAAACACATCCCTCCTCCATGAAGCTGCTGTGCTTGTTAAAGCATTTTTATTTTGATGGTACAATGTTTTCTTCACTTTATTGCACAAGTTTGCAGCTTTAATTACAACTAATCTCTCTGCATCATATTAAAACCTGCACCCCCTCCAGGTACTACTGAACTCGACTGTGAAATAACGATAGACGGGTGGATAATGTTACATTTAACTGCCTAAAGAAATACAGAATACAACCTGGCAGAGAAGAACAATAAAAACAGAAATGGCATCATAAACACACAAAATCCTAACGAGATTTTCCCACATTTTTCCAGCTGATTTCTCTGATAATGTTTCCATGAGGCTTCTGTCATACAGACACAACATAGCAGCTATAAGCGTTGTTCTCCTTCAGGCATCTGGACAC